TGTTTCTAGTTTCAAATTCACATATTTAAAGATTGAAATTAAATATTTTAATTAGAATACTCGTATTAGGGTGGAAAATCTTTCTAATTGCCTAAAAGGTCAATACAATGTCAACCTCTCAATATACAGGGTGGAGCAGAACCAATTGAGCAGTTTTGAGGTTAAATAATAGAGTAATGGAGGTACATGAAGAAGAAAGTTTATTTTCCTAGAGGTTAGCATAACATACCATTTTGAATACTTATGTTTCGAAAACAATATCTGGAAGATGGGGGCCTTTAGCTGCAACACACTGTTGGAGTCGTTCTCAGAGGAGGGAGTGAACAGTGAGTTCCAATTGCTATGCTGCAAAATTTCTTACAGCCCATGATGGAAAACATTGTTGAAAATGAAGCATTGAGAGACATGTGGTTCCAGCAGGATGAGGCTAGTCAGGCTACAGCTCACACAGCCCGAATGTCACTCAATGTTTTGAAATGCATGTTTCCCAGAGGTCTGGTGTCTCTGAGGGGTGATTTACAGTGGCCTGCAAGGTCTCCTGATTTGAGCATTTGTGATTTCTTTCTTTGGGGACATCTAAAAGGAAGGGGTTCAGAAGTCACCCTCACACCCTACCACAGCTAAGGGAACAGATTATTACAGCAGGGGTTATGGCCATACCTCGCCATATGTGTGAACGTGCTGTAGGAAACTCCCGAGAACAACTCCAACAGTGTGATGCAGCTAACAAACCCCATCTTCCTGATATTGTTTTCAAAACATAAGTATTTTAAATGCTATGTTATGATAATCATGAGGAATATAAACTTTCTTCTTTATGTACCTCCATTACTCTTTTATTTTGCCTTAAAACTGTTCAATCAGTTCTGCCCCACCCTGTATAAGCTAGCTAACATATTTAAATTGTATAATGTAATCAATATATAACAAATAGTCAAATAGTTAGACTACTTATAGCCTTATAAGAATTAGCTAAGCTGCTAGCTAGGTTCAATTTATTGCACTCTTGATGCCTCTGTACCAAAAACATTCCATTTATTGGAACCTAATACACACTAAAGGCAACAAGTTTATATACCAATTTGTAATTCATAGTACATTTATACTAAAGCATGAATAACAATACCTCAATATAAATTAAAGACTGCCACTCAATATTTGTAAATATATGAAAAAATCAAAAAAAAAATAAAAAAAAATCATGATTTTTTATAAAAAAATCAAGTGATTTAATCACATGATTTAATCATTTTGATTTAATCATTGCCAACCCTGCTCAAAAATGAACTTGATGGGAGATTGGGGAGTCTAAAGAACTCTCTGCTTTGCCACTATGTTAAATGGAACCCGATCTTTCCATAACTGAAAAATTGGTTGAGATAGCTGCTGGACTTATTGCCTGGTCCGTAATTTGCTAGTCATTTTAAGACTGAACATATGATAGGCCTATGCTCCTGAGTCCTGCATAGCTTCGTCTAGTCTGTTTTTGAAGATGTTCATACTCGGAGCGTCAACGAAGCTATCAGGGAGGCTGCCGCTGTTCCACATGTCGGTGACTCGAAGCAAGAAGAAATGTAAAATGTTGTCACATGGAAGTCATGGATGTGTTCCAACGCTGTTTTTTTAATTTATAGCCATGGCCCCTGGTGTTGGTTCTTGTTTCAAATTCTAGTAATCCTTCTTAGACCTTGTATAAGCCATGAGTAGGGTAAACGCGGTATATTCCGACATCGTGGGTAATTCCGTCACCTCTCTAGCTTTTCCTTTATATTAAGCTTTGTTTTAGTTCCATGCATTTGTTGATGGTTGAAATGATGACGTCATACATTTGTGCGTCAAACTACTGCCAAAACACTAGGTCTTGGCCATCTAGTGGGAAAATATTGAGATCCAAAGAGAGACAATGCATGCTAGGTACCCAGTGAGATCATCGAAAAATGTGTCAAATTTGACAGTTGACCTTGCTGTACCAAATAGGTACAGCACACTTTGTATAGGAAGAATATTATGGTTTGAGACTTTTAAATACGTCTGTGAATATATTAGGAATCCTTTAAGTATACTTGTATTCACTGATTTCAAGTGGTAAATAAATTAATAGATGATTAAGTTGAGATATGGATTTAGACACATGAAAACTAATTCCGTCACAACTTGAATTGGACACACACAGATCGTTCCAAGCTTTGTACAAAAATTAAAATTTGCCTAATTAAAAGCTTAATAGTGGTTAATCAAAAGCATAATTAAGTAGTGTTCAATATTCATTAGTGTTCTAATTCAAAGCCGTGTTGTATTCCAATACAGCTCACACAGCGAACGGAATTTGAACATGTGGATGACGCCATGACGGCATTACGTATCAGTAGAATTTGAAGCGCGGACGGAATATAGGGATTTGGTAGGTTTGCATTCTAAAGGCTTTTACATAAATATGGCAACATTTTGTGACGTTTCATCATTGCCAACGCGTAGTACGGTGTTTTGAGAGTCACCTAAAGCAAACAGAACTTGAGTAACGCATACGGTTATTTTTTTATAGTTTTTCATTTCTCGATGCGTCCTTAATGTGATGGAATATACCGCGTTTACCCTATACATGGATACTTCAATGAGGTCCCCATGCAGACATTGATAACGGAGGCTTGGAAGCTTCATAGTTCATAATCTTTAATCTTTCTCCATATGACTTGCCTTTCAAGCCCAGAAGTTCAGAACTATCCTTGTTGCATATCTTTGAACACTCTCTACTAAATTTTTGTCCTTTTCAAATTTTGGTGACCACACGACGTTTCCAAACTCTAGGTTCGGGCGCACGACAGCAACAAACAACTGCTTCATCGTTTCTGCATCTAGGGACTCGAAAGAGCTAACTTGGCCTTCAATATGTTTAGAAAATTTCAACTCATTGTTGATAATAACTCAATATTAACGCCTAATTCCTAAATCCTTTTCCGTTGTCAATTGTCGGGGACTCGGGGTTATTGTAATTGCCTGGGTTATTGTTATTGTGAATACAAATAACAGTTATTCACAAACTGTGAATAACTTATTCACGGTTTGTGGTGCAGTTCTACGGTAAATCTAGACTCTAGCGTAAGTTGTAGTTGTATGATTTTAACGATATGCTACTTAATACTTTTTGCTACCTTAATTTTAATCATGAGTTTTTCCTTGACACTGCTCTCCTTAGCAACTCGACTTTTCCTAATTCCTCAACAACTTAGCATAACAATCTCAATTCTCAGCAGTCATCATCCATCTGTTCCATCAGATGTCACTTGTTAGGCTTCCAGTCTGTTCCACACTCCACAGCCTGTTAGCAATTCTGTTAGGGGCATTAGGCCTGATACTTGTATTTTGATTTAACCCTTTCATGGGTAAGTTACCAACTTACCATATATGATCACTTGAAATTGCCTCACAAAAAGCCCCACCATGGCTTCCTGTTTGTTTTTGAAGCATCCTTATAATGCCTCAGTCAATTACTAATTATCTGACCTTTGTTCTATCTATAGCATCACCAGCTGCAAAGTCCACAAATTGAAATATGAGCATTTAAATGAAGGTTTTGACTCGGGACAATGGAATTGACGCTCTTTCCGCATTTTCTTCAAAAGGTGGAAGTATCACTATATATTTATTTATTTCAGGTAACTTGATTAAATTTGATTAAATTAAATTGTTATGTTTTTAATTTTTCATTTGCATAAAGTCATAAACTGAATTTTGATTATAAAAAAATTTTGTGTACTGACCACATTTATTGAATTCTTCAAGTGCAATTTAAACCTTCAACAGCCAAACTTTACAAAAATACATAGGAATACTAAATATTTTGCATAATACCGTACTTCATACTTTCTTGAAATGGTTTCTGAAATTTTAATTTCTGGATATTTAAATGCTTGCCTGCTAAAGGGTTAAACTGTCTACTGATCTTTTGATAAGATCATAAGATCTAATAAAGGTGGGAGACTTGTCTACACTGTATACAAACTCCAGCATAGCTAATTCTATCCAGTCTGTTCTTAAATGTGTTGAAGCAGGAAGCTGGGAGCCTTCCCATACTGCAATGTTGCTTTTAAAGTCTGTAACTGTGGCCTCTGCCCTCTGGTGCGCAATGGAATTCTGAAAATTAAGGTTCATATATTATTTCCATAATTCCAATCCACCTCCACCACTTTTTCGATCCGAAAATTTTAGTTGAGATTGAATAGAAAGGATAAAAATAGGGAGGTGTTAAAGTTACTCTTGGGTCTTGAAAGACTCAAGAATATAGGTTGCAACTTGCAATACTTCAAGATTTCAATTAGACTAAAAATCACTAAATATTAATTCATTAGCAGTTTTTCTCAAAGTCATACACAACAAATTAACATTTATGAATTAATAACAAATCATGCCAATAAGAGTTAACTGTTGAACTTAGCATGATGTACCGCAGAGCTATTTTGCAAGAGCAAATTCTCATACGTGTTAAATCAGTGAAAGGTAACGTGCAAGTGTGACTGCATTTGATGGTTGGCTGTCAGCAATACCACTTCCGGGAGGTCGGTGGTATGAAGCGGCATCAAGCGGTAGTATTACAGTTGGCAATGCCACCATGCAACCATAATATTACGGTACTACCGTAAACTGGGGTAACTTTGACTCCCGGGGTAACTTTGACCACTTTTGGTTTTTTAACAAAAACCCCCAAAACTCAAAATCCATTTGACATAGAAAAATTTTGTCAATGGGCATTAAAGACCTAATACATTTAATTACATCAAAACTATGAGAGGCAGGAGCCAGCAATTTATGGTGAGTAAAGCTAGAGTATAGACCTGTATTTTGCATGTTTCAATTTAAGTTTAACTTATCTAGTAAAAAAATGGCATCATTTTGAAAAAAAAGTGGTCAAAGTTACCCCAGTTTACGGTATGCAAATACTGTAGTATTACGATTATGGTTTTTGCCATAAGTATTAAGGTACCATCAAACAGGGTAATAAGGGACGCAATAGTGGCAAACCAGAGAATTTTTAGAATCAGTTCATTTCTAATTTCCTCATCTACTCGATATTTTAATAAATTTTTTATGTATGAAAATGCTGGTATCCAAGATACTGTTCTGGTCTACTTATAGGACTCAAAAGTGAACTTGAGGAAACGTCTAAAAGAGAGGGGCTAAAATCACAATCCCATCAACCAATCACAGCTGGAAAGGGATAGGATATGTATATAATGGACTGAAAGTGAAAAGTTCCAGGCCTTACTTAGCTTTCAGGTCCTGCTTTCCAATATGCTATGTATACTGGTTAATTTAATATCCCTCTAGAATTCCATACTGCTCCCCGGGGTAATATGGGACACCCCTAAAAATGCATATTCAGTAGAACCTCAATTAGCAAAGGCTCCAGTAAATGAAAAAATCAATTAACAACAAAATTGATATTGATAACGAGAAATATTCAAGAAGAAATTGATTTCTTAAGGCAAGCATCTTTTTAGCAGCTTGGCAGCGTGGTGTTAGCGCATATTTGATCATTTCAGCAGAGATTGTATGTCCAGGTTGAGAGCCTTTAGCTGTAACTTCTAATTGATACAGTTTGGTAATAGGCCTAATAACTTTTCCAGAGTCTCAATTCTACAGAATGAACAAGGTTATTGTTACCAGCAATCAAATAAATTACTCTTCCTAATTTCTTATGTGCATGAGGGTGATTGCTATGAATTTGTACAATATCTCCCACTGCACAAAACAATACCTTAAAAAGTTTTTATGCATGGGAAAATTTCCCAAAAACATACATCATCTTGAGTGGGGCTTGTATATGTTGTTAACTTGAGGGATACTTTTTGGTTAAAACCAGTAAAAATATTATATATAATATAAACATGCCATAGTGGCCAGGGTGCCAGGAGGCTGCCCTGGGTAGGGTTCAGAGTTTGGTGAATGTGTTACAAATTTTTGCATTTGTAGACCGAAAACTTTGCCAATTGTACCCGAAATGCGTTGTAGCGTTGCCAGCAGTCTTCAAAATGTGTTGCAAATCAAAATTCTTACAAAACCAACTATGATGAGTTTATATACAACACCCCAGGACCCAGGTAGTGCAGTAGACAATTGCCTTGCAACTGAAATTACCAAAATGTGGATCATGTTTGCAACCTCATTCGAACAACTGGAAACCAGAAATTTTTTAAAACAATGCAACCACTGGTCAGTGAGTGGAGTATCTTATGTTCAGCAGTCAGCATTGCCAAAGGTTTGCAATTATCAAAAATGCAATGATTTGCAAATGCAATGATTTGCAAATGCAAAGGAACAAAAATGCAATGCAAAGGAATGACAAAAATTCCTTTACTCCTGATTAATTTATTGTTTTCAAAAATCAACAAATAAATAAAATAAAATGATTTTCTTTTACGTTCAGTTCAGAATTTGCAGTTTTTTCTTTATTGTGAAAGAATGTAGGCAATTGCAATAAAATTGCATGATATTGATTACAAGCAGGGGCATTTTTGTCTTGCTTGCTGGAGGCTTCTACCCAGTGATGCTTTTCAAGCATACATTTTTGTGCAAATGTTTTAAGCTTCTGTATGTACATGTATTGTTTTCTTTTATAGTTCCTTATTGTTTCATCAAGCAATTCTTGAAACTTGTATGATTGCATCTGTTCAGTATAGACTTTAAACTTTTGAAGCATTATAATATTTAGCTTTAATATCCAGAATTTTTCTTCCTACAAGTTCTCAATTTTTTTCAGAATGCGGGTCTAAAATAAGGCCACCATGCCTAAAAGTTACGGTTAGTGTGGCACTACGCAGCAAGGTGCATCATTATCCTGTGACCCGAGGGTGGGGGTTGACAATAGGAAGAGTCATGCACTGGGGTCTTAAAAAATTTTCCTCATCATGCTCATTGTTTTGCTCAAAAGAACACTATGTTACAAGTGACAGGAATGCCAAAAACTGCCTCCACTGCCACAAGAAGCATTTCTTGTTGGCCACGATGCTCTCAGTACTTTTTTGCCTCCTGGTTTTCTTCACCAATCCTCTTCATTCATCTTATTCATTCATTCAAGGTAAGCATTACCTATATATATTTATATATACATTTTGAATTCTTGAAGACTCTCCAAATAATTCCAAATCAATGTGTTGTTGATCTTGTTATTGAACCAATTTTTGTTTTGAATATTCATCTAATCTATGTATATGTGTGTAGAAATGTAAGTTTTAACTGAATTAACTGAATTTTTCTTTTTTTTCAGATTCTTCTGCTCTTCAAAGGGGGAGTGAGAGGTCTGATGACTTCCTTATAGGTTCCCATCAAGCCAAAAACATCACCAATTTTAATTATGGGCTTTCTTCATCTTCTTTTTATGTGGTGGAAGACGTTCCGTCTGAACCTGAAGGTAGCAACGGATATCCAAGACTGAAAGTCAAGGTAATTCAAAGTAAAGCTCTCATATTTTTTCTTATACAGTAATATTTTAATTCATTTGCTTAAGGTGATGTGTGTTATAATATGGTTTTGTGATATTTCTGTCATACGTACATGTTCAAATTGTTTTATTAATTTTGATAGTTTGCTCTATAAAATATATTGTTTTGTTTATTGTAAGTTTATATTTGGTGCGTTTTAAAATGCTAGATATGTAAGAATTATGTTCAATTTAGATTAATTTTGGACTATATCACTTAGTGTATTTTCTGTGTTCAGGGAACACAGAGGAGACTGCCAGCAGCCCTGATCATTGGAGTACGTAAGTGTGGAACCAGAGCACTCCTGGAGATGCTCAATCTCCACCCAAACATCCGTAAACGAGATGCGGAGGTGCACTTCTTTGATGATGATGATCGCTACAACAAGGGGCTTGAGTGGTACAGGAAGAAGATGCCTGTCTCTTTTGACAACCAGGTGCAAAGATATTATTTTAATATTAATAAGACTTTTTCCTAATGTGATTGTTTGCAGATTTGTTATGAATACAAGAAAGCTTCAGGAATGAAATTCACTTCTACAAAATTAAATACATGTTATTGTTATTATTATTCTATGAAGCAGTTCTCGTGGCGTCTGGTTCTAACAAACTTTCTGGGCATGTTACATATAAGTTTAATAGCAAGCAAAAAATAAAAAGACATCAGAGAGGTTGAGAACGGATAAGAATGACTAAGCACTAGATTCATGGGCTCTACGAAATAGTTATGTCTTTAGGCGTCAACGAAACACATGCCACGAAGGAGCTGATGTTACGAAAGCAGGCAGGCTTCGAGGTTCTGGCGGCGGCGACCGGGAACGCCTTGTCGCCGACAGTAGATGCACGTGTAGATGGAAGGAAGAGGTCCGCTGTCGATGACAAATGCAGATCTACAAATCTTCTGCAAATCTTCTACAAGGCAGATCCGACACGAGCTGCAGACATTCCATGAGATAAGGAGGCGCCAGACCTTGAAGGCATCGGAATGTCAAAACAGCGACCTTGAACTGCATGCGCTGCTGCATGCCTAGCCAGTATAGATCACGCAATGTCGGCGTCACATGATCAAAATTGTGCTTATTGCAAAAGAGTCGCGCATCAGCGTTCATTGCAGATTGCAGTTTATTTAGTGCCGAAGTCGGAGGTCCTTAGATTATTTATTTAGGTTGGAAGTCCATAGAGCGTGGCATTATTATAGCCCAATCTGGTCAGAACGAGTGCCACCACGAGGCCCTGGAGGCAGCGGCTTTGTAGAGTGTAGTAGAGCCAAAGCCGGGAGTGTAGTAGCGTAGTAGGTACTCTACTCTAGTAGAGAGTGTGTAGTAGAATGTGTAGCGCCCCAAAATAAGTGGGGGTGACTTTGGCAGTGTCATTCTTCATAGAAAGTTCCTAGTCCAAAAGAATGCCCAGGTTACAAACCGAAGACGCAGGCGTGACGAATTCGTTGCCCACGCGAACAGGGTTGGCCGGAAGCTGGTGCTGGCGCCGAGCAGTCGCAAACCAAATGAAGTCGGATTTCAATGCATTGAGCTGAAGCCGGTTGATGCGCATGCAGTCTGAGACGGCGTCCATGCAGACAGACATTCGGTCCTGCTACGCTGCATCGTCAGCCGTAGCACAGTAGCCATAAATTTGGGTACCTATCGTTGCAGATTCGTTGCGAAAATATGCAGATTCAAACCATGTGGATCAATTATTTCCAACGCGTTGACAGTATATAGTGGGAAGAGGATCGAGCCGAGAACTGATCCCTCTGGTAAGAGTTCCCGCTTCAAACGCATTGGAATCCATTGCCGAGATAGGACCCGAACCACCGCAGCACTGTGCCGCGCAGGCCGAATGATACGTCAAGTTAACGCAATAAAGTGGCGCGGCCGACAGGTCAAGTAAAGCCAGTGCCGCAATGTCGCCGCGGTCTGCTGCTTGCAGAATGTCTGAAAGCACCTTCAGCACAGCGGTTTCCGTCGACCAAAGATGACGGTATGGAGGCTGGAGGCGTGCCATGAGACCGGACTGCTGAAGATGGTTGTTCAGCTGTCTGGTCACAATGTGTTTCAGGAGTTTCGACAAAACTGACAAGTAGGAGATGGGTCACTATGATTTGAGATCAGACGCATCAAGGTCTGATTTTTTTAACAGAGGCATAATGTAAGCTAATATGAAGTTCTCTGGAACAACACCGTCAGTGAAGCGCCGTTTGAAAAACAGTGAAACAGCGATTGCGTGCTACTCGGAGCACGCAATCAATCGGGCACACCACAAATGTTGTTAACGGAGCATCGGCTGAAGACGCGCGCACAGCAGAATTTTTTTTTCCTTAGTGTCAGTAAGTTACAAGTAAAGTGTCAGTTAGTTACAATGTCAGGATGTTTCAGGTGACTGTGGAGAAGACACCAAGTTACTTCGTATCCCGCGAGGCCCCAAGCCGCATACATGCCATGGACCCGGACATCAAACTGCTGCTCATAGTGCGGGACCCCACCATCAGGGTGCTGTCCGACTACGCTCAGATCNTACTACAACCACACAAAGCTGAATGAAACAATTGCAGAACCTTTTCACACTGTTCGGAAAAATAGTGAAAAAACTGACTGACCGTTTTATTTTCCGGCAGCTCCGCGTCATATCAAACCACTTTTTCATTTTTTAAATTAACATATGAAACTCGACCCAAAATTGATAAAAAGGAGACGACATGGTTTAATTTCACGAGACGGCAGCCATTCGGAGTCCTGTCACTGGAGACTTAACAAGTAGTGAGGCTGGGTTTCGTGGTAAAGCAACATAGTGGAAAGTGATTCTAGTTAGCGACATTTCCTTGACATTCTAGTAAATCGGTGATTTATTTTCAGCTACAATGCGATCCAGATCAGCCAGTACGTGGTGCACATCTTGCGCTGGCTGCGCGTGTTCTCGCGCCACCAACTGCACATCGTTGACGGGGACAGACTCATACGCAACCCATACCCCGAAATTAGGAAGGTGAGGCAGCAACCCATACCCCGAAATTAGGAAGGTGAGGCAGCAACCCATACCCTGAAATTAGGAAGGTGTGGCAGCAACCCATACCCCGAAATTAGGAAGGTGAGGCAGCAACCCATACCCTGAAATTAGGAAGGTGAGGCCGCAACCCATACCCTGAAATTAGGAAGGTGAGGCCGCAACCCATACCCCGAAAATATGTAGAGGAAGTCTTACCTCCCGGCTCTTTTATGTGGATATGAAAGCGAAGCCTTCAGGCCAGCTTCTTGAGGTATGAAAAAGTCAGGTCTTGTGTGTGTGATGGCGTGAGATGATATTAATGATCACATTAATGATTACAGATCGATGCCAGCACCGAATTCATGCCATTAAGTCTTGATGGATATGGAAACGCCTGATAACGCACTAAAATAAACTTTCATCTTGGAGTAAGAATTATGTATAAATTTCCATTTGCACCCTGTACTGATATTCTATTGTATTAAAATGATCTTCTCACCTCCCTCCAATTCTTCAGTGAATTGAAGAATTCAATATTTTGTGTGCGTGTTACAGAACAAATGGAGTATTATCATAGAAGCAATTGTAAGCGTAAACATTTTTTAAAGTGAACTTTGACCTTTTGTCCTATTGAAAAGAACTTACTAAACTTTTAAACATATACTAAAGTATTTAATGACTTATTTTCTTGAACAGCAAGAATAATTTGTAAACTTTACCTCAATTTCATAATGCGCAATACAACGAATTTTCAACAAGATTAACATCAGAATCAGCTGTTCGCAAAATTTTTAAACCGACCTTAAATATTAAAAAAAAAAATTCAGACTAAATCGTTTCTAAAAGTGATGGGATTTTAAGTGTACTAACTTCCGTATCCGAAAGTTAGTTAAACCGTGTGCAATTGTTGTTTAACCGTGTCCGGAAGTGCAATTGTTCTTTATACGATACCAACGATTAATTTCGGCAATAATACTAATGATGTATTGTGATACAGGTGGAGAAGTTCCTGCAGCTGCCGTCCCGTGTACAGCCGAGCAACTTTTACTTCAACCGCACGAAGGGCTTCTACTGCATGCGCAACGAGACGCACCAGAAGTGCTTGGCCGAGAGCAAGGGGCGGCGTCATCCTTACGTCGACCCTAGCATCATCGAGGCTATCCGCCGCTACTTCACTCCCTTCAACGAACAATTCTATCAAATTGTCGGGCAAAATTTCTCGTGGCCTTCTTCCTAAACCTGTGGTGGTCAGGCTTGTTTCTTGAAGGCAGCTCTAAAAGGAAATAATTTTCGTATCGGCGCATTCGAAATGAAAAAATAATACTGGTGAGCGAAACCATGCCAATGATATGAATGACATTATGCTGCTGTGTATCAAACTCAACCTCTCGACTACAAATACCCATAAAGTTGACAAGCATTTTCTGCACAGTTTCGAAATAAGTTAGGCGGTTTAAATAGTTAGATCGAAATCAGTGCAACTGATTGTCAGGGAACGTATGAGATGAGAGGTACGTATGAGATTTATACACAGTCCAGATGCGGCCTGCAGACCATTGCTAGGGAATGGCTCTATTGTGAACAGAACTTGCTGGTTTTCTATTATCCATCTTCACTTCTTCAATAACTCACTAATTGACTCGGGTATTTTTTCTCGATCTCTTCATCGTCAAGCAATCAAGAAGTGGTACCTGATACGTATTGTTCCTTCAATAATTCATTACATTGATTTCACCCGCCACGAGCCTTTCACCTCAAGCTCGTGGTTGTTCTTGGGATCTTCCCACCATAGCTCATGTCATAATTTGTGTGTCATTAATTTGTCGTATGTGCGAGTTGGGCTCGTGTGGCCTCCAAAGAATAGCCTTCAGGCATACACACGTCGCTCTATGTACGCGAAGAAAATCTACTTATAAGTGAAACGAAGAATCTCCAGCTTCAGGAGTAAGGCAAAAACATATCACCCTAAATTTACTTGACGTTTTTATATTGCATTATCTTCGTATTTCGTCGATCAATTCTTGGGCTAGACCTCGCTTATAAGAGCGCCTGGTTCAGCTCACTATATCTCATTTTTAATGTTTTGAAATTCTCTCCATATCAAAGATTTCTGCATCAATTTCTCTCATATGTATAGATGATATTACAGATGCATCAACTTCTCTCATATGTATAGATGATATTACAGCTGCATCAACTTCTCTCATATGTATAGGTAACATTCGGATAAAACCTTAATTGATTAGCAACTACCTGATATGAATGCTTTCCCATCTGATTCAAAGCCATTCATTCCAAGACGTCCGGCCCTTCATGCCACATGCTGAAACCGAATGATTGAAATTAGTATAATTTATTAATGGGATGGACCCGATTCAGGTTTTGACATTTTAATTGAAATTAATTGCTCTATTTTTGTTACTTAGCTGTTAGTAACTTGACCAGACTTTCTATTCGCAATCCATCGTCATAAGATCCCATCTCTAAGTTTCCATTGTCCAGTATCGTTATTTTTTGTCTCAGTGTTGTTACCGCCTTTTGCGTTAGTGGTTACTTTATTACTGAATACTATAGTGCCTATCGAGCAAAGGTACTTAACAGCCTCTCTGCTGTTAAGTACCTTTGCTGAGGGACAGCCTCAGCCAGCGTTGCTTCAACTCCTCGAAGTAGAACAAAAATTTCTAGAATTTATGACTTTGTAGCATCTGCTTTACCTCCGTTCGTACGTTTATATTTTTTGTTTGACTAGAAGCTGAAACAGACGACAGAAGTTTTTTCTCGTACTCGCAATTCATCCAGGATGTCAATATTTTGTTTTAATGTATCGTCGAGCATAAAGGATGCTGTATATGCGTCCTAGCAAGTGTTCTCTTGTTCGGCTCACACTATCTCTCGACTAAATTTAAAGCTGATATTGCATTGGCCAAAATAATTTATTTAGAATTCTTCTATGCCTACTGTTGAGTTGACTTTTTTCTGTTACCATTTTCAGTGTAATATTTCTCTGCGAAGTCATATCAGCAGCAATGTTGATCCTTTGGTTATCTAAACCAATGATTGATTCTGCTTCGTTTCTAAAATTGGCATCAAAATTTTTGGAGAACTTCCTCATGACTTAATTTGTTCCATGACATCTAGTTTCTTAAGTTTTTTTATTGCTATCTATAAATCTTTGTGTTCATTTCTACGTCTAGTTCCTTCCATGCACTTCCTGACACCTGATGTTCTGCCCGCTGTTCTTAACGATTCTTTGTGTAAAGTTTTAATTGTGTTGTCAATGTGCACAATAAAAGCATGGGATTGTAAGTGTAACCTGCACGGTTCCTCCATGTCTCGCTCGTCAGAAGTTCTAATATAGGCGCCATGACACCTCTGACGCTTCTCACACTTTAGACGCTAGAAGAGCTCAGCTCTCTAATTTAATTTATTTTCATTTAATTTCTTCTTTCTTATTACCTTCCCAAGCTTTATGCAACTGTTTTAAATCGATAACTTTAATGCTCTTACTTCGAGATCTTAATTTGCGTACGTTTTGATTGTTCACATTTATTAGCTTTATTCGTAGATGGTAGCGATATTTCAGCCTCTTGACAAATTTTGGGCTGCAAGATCTTAATTTGCGTACGTTTTGATTGTTCACATTTATTAGCTTTATTCGTAGATGGTAGCGATATTTCAGCCTCTTGACAAATCTTGGGCTGCTGATCCCTTATGCTACGACAGGATCCTGCCGTGCTAAGCAACTAGTTGAGATCCCACCGTTAAATGACTGATTCCTTTATTTTTTGCTTTAATGATCTTTTTCCCTCTATAAGTTTCTTTATTTGAATAGCAGATGGTGAATTCCAATTGTCAAAGTCAATGCATTTTCTGGTAGCTGGAATTTAGGAGGATTTGTGGGATATTGTTTAGATTCTACGTTTTTTTCTTCCGCATCGTCATGTCCAAATATTTAAAATGAAGGATAATTTCAACGTATTCGTGACTGTTATGGTTTTACCACTGCCTAACTTGAGTGTTGTTTAAGTTTGTCGTAAAGCAAGACGCAGCTACAAGTTGGTTAATCATTAATCTTCCTGGCCACAATATGTACAATTATGAGATCTATGTTCTACAAACGCTAATTGAATTATGGCTGTCATGATGTGTGATGCGATCACTTATATTCTATTTCTCTCATCCAGCGAACAATTTAGTATTCGTCCCTGTTGTGTTTCGTGTAATGCTAGCAACGCCAACTAAAACCCTCCTGCCTAACTAGTTTCCTGTTTATAGTTGCGCGTCTGATATTCCTCGGTATTTTTAGCGCATTTTCTCATTTATGGAAAAAATTCCCTATTGTGCTCGCCATGTCTGTCCGTCTGTCTGTCCATCCGTGACTTCACGTTTTCGTCGATGAGAAAATGCGCTCTCTGTCACTCACTGCAGTGAATACCGAGTTATATTTTTTTAAGTATCTTGTATTTTTAGTGCAGAAAGACATGGGAATACCTTGGGAGTTGAGGTTCCTCTTTTTCTTTGCTATGGTAGTTATTTAAAGCCAATGTATGAATTTCAGTTTGGGATGTAACCTGTTTCAATTCGGTTGTACGGCTAGGTATTTTTTAGCCATGAGGAATTGATCCTTATTCGGTTAATTTGCATAAATCCAGGAAGGCATGAAAAAATGGTTAGATTGTTACGAATTTGAGGTTCACTTTCCTTAACCAAAATGTTTTCCGGGAATATTTTTTGTTTAACTCAAGCACTGTGTCTCTGGTGCTGTGAACTTCTTTCAAAGAATATAAATAGTAATCGAAAATATTGAGAGCTTTACTCCATTGAGTAGAACAATCTGAAATTTATTGTGCTCTGTATCAGAGCCTAAACTTGAATGCGATGCCCAACCTTTTAGCTAATTTAGTGTTTGTGCTTGTGAAGGAAGTTTGCTCTGTATCAGAGTCACAAAAGTTTGCAAATTATATCTTGTTATTGTTTGTTTGTATCCCATATGTTGTCAGCGATGCATGTTTAATATGTTTACTTTAACACTCTAGCCCTTTTTCTCCCCTGGACTCACCACAATACCGAAGAAACAAAAGACGACGTCGTGGCTCATACATTGACTTCGCGACTTCTTTAAAGGGTTCGACACGAGCGTGTTGCCGCTAGGAGCTGTTGTTACTGTTACTGATGAATTATTTCTTATGTAATAATGAAGTCCTGTGGCAATATTCAAGCTGTTTCTTGATGTTACGTCCGCATGCCACATCTTTCACCGATGTCAATGATGATACTAACATTGTTATGTTGCTTACTTTATATCAATAAATTTTATCTAGTGATATGAATAATCTCAGATATTGCAGCTTATCGTGAAATGGCTGCTACTGTGCATTAAAAGCAAGTGAAACCATCCTGCAGTGTTGTGCCAACTGAGACTAGGAAGAGTATGGCGCGGTCTCCTCTGCGAGCTGTTGTTTTGTTCACACTTCCTACTGCAATATGAGTTTATTTGCAAAACTTGTGTTCTTTTTCGGTTATATTCTTGCAAAACGTGTGTGCTTTTTTTGTTATATTCTTGCAAAACGTGTGTGCTTTTTTCTTATATATTTTCAAGAATGCATGCATATCAAATTTGACTTGCAATTGAAAGAGCTTCAATCTGAAAGTTTAAATGTTAGTTGAATAATTTTTTAAGAAAAAAAGAATCGGCAGAAATGTCCACCTCTTATATAGCTGGTGTCAAACAACGTTGTTATCAATGATTAATTCTTCGTGAACTGCTTTGCATAACTAAAATGTCATGGTTTGTAACCTTAAACCCTGAAGATGAAAAAAAAATAAAAATGAAGACGAAAAAATACAAATGAAGCCAATAACGTAGCCCCCGTGAGATGGGTTGCTAGCAGCGCTGCGCTGTTGCTTTGGTAACAACGTCACCTAACTTGACATAGTCTGCACTCGATGTACCTGTTTATTCTGATTCCTTTATTACTTATGCCAGTGAATGAATTCATACTTTGTATTAGCGATAACAACCTACGGTGCTCTCTTTGTTGCTCTTCTCATCTCAGATTGTTTATCTCTGAAAAATTGTTACACTGAAGCGGAATGTGGTGAACCCCATCACTAGTTCTTTCCTATATCGTCTCCGATGTCACTAAGTCATTAGTTTTGTCCTATTTCCTCTTCGCAGTCACTACGTCATTAGTTTTGTCCTATTTCCTCTTCGCAGTCACTACGTCACTAGTTTTGTCCTCACTTCTCGTCGCATTCACCAGGTCACTAGTTTTATATGTACGATGTTAGAGTTATCGTCTGATTAGAAATTGTTTGTAAGAACAACGTGCACTTCACCTTAAAACTTAGCCTTAAAATGCAATTCTATTGTCTTATGTATCTATAAAAAATATATATATATATATATTGCACATCTTAGAATAGTCTATTTTTGCACCGATCATTTCCTAGTTGTGCTAATGTTGAACTTGTTGACGAGAGTGTTTAATGATGAGGATGTTGCGATATGCTGCGTGGCTCTTCACGCTCTTTCTCAGGTCTCTTATGTGTTACACAATTTAACCTACAAATGGTACACAAATATAATATTGTCTATTGCACAATTAGAATTATATAACCAAATAAATTATAATTAAACCTATTACATATTTATGCGATGAAATTAATCCGTCAACTTGATTTCCAATAATTCTCGTTGTTATGCAATTGTTAGTCGTTATTCCGAGCACAATGCAAGATGGAAATATTTCGCATAGTCTTCAAATATTGTGCGTGTTTGATTTTATTCGTTTTCATCCATTTTCGTGTCATATTTTTTCTTTCATTTTTCTCGCCATCTATTCCTCTAACAAAATGTAATGTGGACTAACATGTTTTTTTTTATATTCAAATTGTAGGTAATTTCTGCGTTTTATCAGGCCAATTGGATCTTCTAACAAATATATGATCTATAAATATTCCGGAATTTTGATAAATCCTGTAGAATTTTTCGTAATTTCGTATTTTCAAATCATTTGAGTACCTACGCGATTAAATATTTTAATCGACTCATGGGTTAACTGACAATGCTCATGGAATTTGTTGACATAAATTTATTTTCAATGATGTTTGATGCTGCCTAGTCAACACATCGTCCGTGACAAGCTAGTACACAGAGTTTATTACGCTAGGGAAAATATCATAAATAGCTAAGTGTTTGTAACTTTGTCTGCCGAGCACTGACAGCTTCCATTGCTAGATCCTACTAATCACAGACCAGCTATCGTCCGCCACATGTACTTTAGCTAGTGTTATATAACATTCGTTTAATATTGATTGAACTGTCTCTGATGTACTTATATCATGTCAAGCAAGCACTAATTTGCTCTGTCACGTGTTTTTATTATATTTTTGTGGGTAAAATATTGTTTTTACGGTGGAAATTACTAGCTCAGCTGCTCTTATTTTGTTTAGAATTTTACGAATCTTCTGCATCATCTGTTTTTTCGATACTGAAAACGATGTGGGGGGATGCGATCGAACCTGGTCTATGAGTATGGTTGTGCGCGCTGCGCATCAGCGTACGTTGGAATGACGTCGCGAAATTTCTACATCCGAGTTTCTGAACACCGTGGCAGGAGCTATCGTTCTAACTTGCCTCTCGCCAAGCCTCCTCATTCTCCCGTGCGCCTCCATGCTGAACAGTGCGACGTGGCTGTAGCTGAGAGTGATTTCAGGATACTCGGTTCCCCCCCTCTAGCTGTTCGGACTTGAGGATTCTGAAATCACTACATATCTTCAAACGAAAAACCGTGTCTCAATAATGCTAACAGTTCATATCCTCTTGAAATAGTGAATCGCTAGGCTTATAGTTTCTAGTGTGCTTGTCAACCCTAAATTGCTTGTTTCTTGTCAACCCTAAAATTGCTTGTTTTCAATTTTAGGGTTGATTTGTCTTTTACCTGTAAATTTTAGGTTTTGATGTCTGACTTTGGATTTTGAATTTTAATGATTGTTTTTACTTTGTAGATTATCGAACTGACGGTGGAGCTGGACTCTGATACGTTTTCAACATCGAAATGGTTAATTTGCTTGGCGTTCTCTTTGCTTTAAAATGTTTTGTTAACTTGCGTTTTAAGCAGACTGAGGATATAAGTATCTGATTATTGTTTCTTGAAATTTATGATAGTTGTAGCGGTATTACTTTAGATTAAGTACATAAAAAAAAGTTTTTTTTTAATTATATGTTTTTGGGGTGTAGATTAAGAATCTGAAATCCGTTTTTGGCGGTCGGCATCGGAAAACTGATTTTTTATATATTTTCTATAGAAAACAACAATGGGGGACGGAAAAATCGGAATTTTTTTTTAACTGGAAATGATCTATATCGATCTGGGAATGACTGTAAACCTATCCGCCTGTCAGTTTGACAAGTGTCGTTTGCACTTTGCAAGCTAATGGAATCTGTTGTGAGGGATCGATTGATAGATCATCTGACTGCTAATAATCTCCTATCAGACTGTCAACACGGCTTTATTGCCGGGAGATCCTGCACCACTAACCTCTTGTCGACTCTGAACGAATGGACCCGCCTGCTGGACGAAAGGGAGCCAGTAGATGCAGTGTACCTCGATTTTGCCAACGTAGATATTGAGTAATATTGGAGCTTGAAGGCTGTTTGCCAGATTTCTGCATGCCTGCCCGGGTGGGCTAGCTTTGGGTAGTGTTTCAGCCAGTATGATGTTTCGAAAATTCAAGCCGTTGGCAAATTAGTTCACCGCATTAACAAATTAAATAGAATTTTGAATATAATATGAGACGGTTTTCATTCTTCTATACACGGTGTAAATTCATGGTTGAACCATGGCATTGATGCTAACTAATGCCCGAAGAAAAATTCATTTGAAACTCGAGATGCGGAGATTTAATTTTTTTGCGGATGCCGTCCCGTCCCACTTCAAGAATCAAAATACTACGTTGGCGGCCTGCTTGATTTCGAAGTTTTTTATTTGAATTTGACTCGTTCTTAGCTTAGCTTCTTGAATATTTTTTTAATATCTACCCAACATATCCGCCATAATGTTACCTTTCAATCTAGTCCCAGACAAACATCTTCTTTTGCCCGACTTTGATGGATACAAGTTGTCTAATTCGTCTGGAATTGTTACATCGTATGCCAAGTCGCTGCTAGAAGGTTAGTTATTAGAAATTGCTTTTGCTTGGAAAGTTGTTATGTTTATTAATATAATGTCACCAGTCACCACCGCCTTCAGAGTCAAGCTGATTACAAGAAATACTGTGCCGGTGCCATTGACGTTGCTTGGTTGATTCAGGTTGAAGTTGGTGACTTGGTGTTAAGGCTAAGTTAGGCTGTTAGCCGTTAGGTAGAGGCGTAGACCTAATGTCAATGCCACTTCACTTAAGTTGCCATTTGCCAATTGCCATGCTACAATTGAATAAAGAGGAAATAAGTCTTTAAAAAGATGCCAGGGTCCAGAAATTGGGTGAATATCTGAATGTCTTTCTTTTCTTGGCAATGCATAAGTGGCAAAATTTATGCCTTCAGAAGAGTTTTCTGACACATTTGGATACTACCTATGTTCAGTGCACAAACATTTTTATTTTTAATTCTAATGAAAATTATACATCTGAAAATAGAAAAATACCATACCATCAAGTATCAACCGGGGCTACTCGGGAGTCGGGACGGGCGCCGGGCGGGGTAACTCGGGACACTCCTCCAACACGGCGTAAAACTGTTTTAGTAGCAAAACAAATTGGAATATTGCAAAACTAAATATAGTGGCGTAAACGTTGACATTTTTCCCATCTAGGTATGCAGTATAAACTATAAAGGAAGTTCAAAAATACTACGTTTACTAGCTTTGAAAAATTCCTGAATAAAATGATGAAAAACAATATTTTGAAAAGTTACTTCTGCTAAGGTCTGTAGTAAAATAAATATTTGCCATATTAAAAAATTTTGCTTAGAAAAAAGTGGCAGACAAGTGTCAGCATGAAAACTTTATTTACGGAATTTACATACCTCAATCCTAAAAACATGGCAGCCATTTTCGCATGGCAGGGCTTCTCGTGAGAGTCGGGACACCCCGGGGCTGTTTGGGACACCGCCAAAAACACATTTACATTAGAACCTCAGTTAGCAAAGGCTCCAGTTAAGAAAAAAATTGATTAAAAACAAAAAATATTGATTACATTTACCTCACTCAGCAAAAAAATTTGTTATCAAAAAATTAGTGCATCATCATTCATCAATCATCAGTCATCCCAAAATTGTGCATAGAATGTCATATATAAAATTGTGCACCAGGCATCATAGAATGAAAAGTAATTGACCTAAACTAGGTTTTATTTCTCTAAAACATATGATGGTTGTCACTAAAACATTCCTCTCTGTTTCAGGTATGTTTTTCATGATATTTTTTATAGTAATTTCACTTAACCCATATAAAATGGTATGAAATTACAAGCCATTCTGTAAGCTTACAGATACAGAAAAAATGCTATAAGGCTGCTGATATGAAGCTTGCAGTGGACAAGGTAGTTGAAATGCTCAATGGCCTGTTCATGGATACAGTAATACTATGGCATCAATAATATGGTAATTAATGTATATGGTAATATCATATCAATAAAGGAAAAACAAGTAAAAATCACAGAAAATGTCATTTATTCTACCTCTACATCATCTACAATGAAAGAGGAGGACTTCAGATTACTGTTAGTAATGGATGAATACACTCTGCATGCTTCAAATGTTTTAAAATTAAGTTTTATTCCAAGTGTCCCAAGTAGCCCCATATGGAATTTTTTTTGAGAAGCCATGTGATAGCCCTTGCAAAGAGCTTTGAAATGAGCCTAAACTTGTTTATGAAATGTTTCATGGTAAGAAGTTATGAATGAAAAACGGTTTAAATCGTCCCGAGTAGCCCCGGTTGACAGTATGTTTCAATCTTGAATATTGAGCAGAATATTGGTTAAAATGTGTATTGTTGGCTCAAGAGAAGCAGTGACAGCTTTAAGATTCCATGTTTTCATTGAGAAGCCATGTGATAGCCCTTGCAAAGAGCTTTGAAATGAGCCTAAACTTGTTTATGAAATGTTTCATGGTAAGAAGTTATGAATGAAAAACGGTTTAAATCGTCCCGAGTAGCCCCGGTTGACAGTATGTTTCAATCTTGAATATTGAGCAGAATATTGGTTAAAATGTGTATTGTTGGCTCAAGAGAAGCAGTGACAGCTTTGAGATTCCATGTTTTCCCGCACTAGATGTCACTTACCTTTAACACAAAAATCTATTTTATGAGCAAAAATGGATCATTAATTTCTAGCTAAGAGAAACAGCTTTGCAGCTGTCAAGCCACATTCAGGAAGATGATGGTTTTTGAGCAATTTTCCTATGCATAAATGAGCTTTCTGGAATCAATGGACCATCCAGTTTGTGTATAAAGATCACAATTTGTTGAATTGACTCGACCAGTCATTAGGATAGTCACTCTACCAATATTTATTGTTTTTGCCTGTGTTGACATATAAATTTTTCAATGCCTGTCTATTGCTTTCAAATGCCAAATGGAGACTAGAGCTTTCTTGAACATTGTTAAATTAGTTTTCATAAAAACTTTTCATTACTTCCACTCTAGGTTTGTGTCCAAAAAGCAGCAAAGAGGAGTACACAAGTTACTTGAAAACAAGGTTGGATGCACTGCACAACTGCCTCTTCACTGACACTCCTGACATCAACAAAGACTCATCAGACGGCTCAAGTTGCACCATTTATTGCTTCAACAAAAAAGGGCATCTTCTTGCTTTTGACTGGTCTCCTGTAAGTTATGCTTGTCATTTAATTATTTTTCATTCATTTGCTAATTATAAATATTTATATTTTTATTGAAGGTTGTATTTCGAGAGAAAATCTGAAAAAGTTAACTGAATTTCCGCCTCATTCTGGATCTGAACTTTTTAGGTGACCCATTTAGATGCTGGCAGAGTAGTATGGCAAGCAGATTTGTCACAAGATGCTCCATCCACTCCTAAGCTACAACTCAAGGCACCTCATTTACCTATTGCAGGTATATATTTGTTGACGACATTATTAAAGCAAATTGTGCGAGTACTTATTTTTTAACCGCTACTTATTTACATGACTGAACTTTTCACAGTTATTAATTTGTAGATATCATGCTATGAACCTCAATTTTTTTTGTGCTTGCTTTTTAAAAAAACATTTCTAAGTTTCTGCAAGATTGATTAATTTTGTAATTAGTAGTGCTTATATCAGGTGCAGAAAACAGTGATGCCACTCAAGATGGAACTGTCATCAATTTGTTTGGAACTTTACAGCCAACTCTTAAATTTGCAAGCAGCAATTTGGCTGTTATGGCCGATGGTCGCAGCAAAGTGTTTGTGTTGAACACCGGAGACCGAACTCCACAGTCTCCCCACACTTGGCATGTAAGTAACCACTTGCAAACATAACACAGATCATACCTATCACATGCTTTCCTTCATCTTATATGCTCCATTTTTTGTACACAAATATTTTTTTTCAGCAGTTCAAAAACTTTGATGACAATCTACTTTTCACTTACACTGATATACTCCTTCTTTTTGTTTTAATTGAATGCACCTGTTTGGCTGTTGTATTCTGATGTCACTTTTAGAGAGTTCAATGCAACATTTGTTGCATCTTTAAATTTTACACATAAGATGGAAGTTACTGTCACATGTGATGGAAGTTCCTGTCACATGTGATGGAAGTTCCTGTAATGAATCCCTTTATTGTTACTAATTCAAATACTGACCAAAGAGGTTTGATCAATTTTTTTCTTGCATCCAGTTCTGAGCAACGATACATGATTTTTTATACCTAAAACAAATTACAAATTGGGATGATTTCCTTCCATTATTATATTGAAATTTGCTGTAACTAATGAATCATTTTCCATTTATGAATTGATATCATTATGTGCACTACTAGCAATTACAGTTACTATTTTTCTTCTGTCCAGGTAACCAGTTGATGATATAAATATTAAGCAGTTTTGCCAGATGTTTGTCCTGGTAATGACTAATGTTTAACTGATGTTTGTCATGCTGAGTTATGTTGATTGCATGTATTGACATGCATTTAATCACTGTTTGAGGCAGTAATGAACCATTTGCTTGACTTGTGGACATTCTTTGATGATAATATTCATTTGTTTACGAGAACAAATATCCTCTAAAAATGCTTTTAACAGGTTTAACTGTAAATAAACTGTTTAATTAAAGAAAAAGCAATTTTTTTCTTTCAAGATGCTTTATCACATCAGCTTTGTAAAAAAAATATGTGAACCTATATAAAATTAAAATGGACAGAATCACCTCTTGGTGTGGAGTTTTAAGATGCTTCTCCTATTTGGTGCAGGTATTTTCTGTCATCTCCTGGTCATTCTTCTTGAACCATCACTCAATTTTTGCCTGTCTTTTATGGGAAGAGGTTCAACAAATATTGTTTTTAATTATGTTCATTACTGAAAATGCAGGCATGGAATATTTTCATTCCCAGAAAACTAAATAAACTGTAATATTTAAATTGTTTAACAAAAATCAGCTGAGAATTAGGAACTATTAATTTTTGGCAATGTTAATTCAAACAAAATAGAGCTTAATTGTATTAGAAGAATCCAATATTGTAATTGTCTCACTCTGGTCTGGGAAACAGAAAAATTTGACATTTGCTGAATTAGGTTTAGGGCTCTAGTCTTCCAAATGCATGTTTCTCAGCTTTTTATCTGGTTCCCATAACTCTCTAGACAAACTAGGCATTCATTATTTATGTCACTCAGTGATACAAGGTTTTTAACCTGAGGTGTCTCTACAGACTGTTCATGAGCTGACTCTGGGTGCATGTGAGGTTCACGATGCGCGCGTTGTTGACAAGCCTGGCAGCAGTGACCAGGAGGTGCACGTGCTACTGGTGGCCGTGGTACCTCCCTCGGCACTGCCTGTTGACCCACCTCCTGCTCTGAGTGCTGTCCCATCCCTGCACCTGGTCACATGGCTCACCTTGACGTCTTCTAACAGTTTAGTGCTTTCTTCCCCGTATCTACAACTATTATACACCAAGGTTTTATTTCATTCTTTGCATAAATAACTTGTTAACATTTATGAACTCAAGAATGTGCCTCTCTTTTGGGGCTCTCTCCTTTTCATTCTTCACCACTTTCACTCTTTAAATCACTTGCTCACGTTTTCTACTCCCATCTGCTATTTATTCCATTTTTAAAATTATCTTCTTGTTCACTATTTTTCTGTGTACTAATCAAGACTGTCTAATGTTTAAGTGAATTATTTTGTTTTGAAACGTTTACTTGAGGCTTGCACTGACCATATTCTCCTACTGTTACCATACTTCATGTATATTCTCTTCAGTTTCATCCAATATAGTTATTTTTCACATGCTTTTTGCCTAGAGTTATTTTGACCCAGTCTTATGTTTTAGATGGCGAGTATCACGTGACTCAGGAGCGCCTGTACTGCGGCTCGTCAGCGCTCCAGTACTGCCAGTTCGACCCTGCGTGCTCAGCCGTAGTGCTCCTCACACACCAACTCTACTGCGCTGTATACAACTCGTCTGGACCTTTGACTCTTTCTGAACCTGTGGGCACCAAGAAAGAACCTCTCTTTATGTTCATGCAGACTGAAGGTCAGTAAGCATAGACCATTCATGCACTGAACTGGTTCTGATATATAGGTACTAAGTTAATGTTAGTCCTACAGCACTCATAGCAGGTTGAGCGGTTATTGAAATGCGTTATGATAAATAATTTTATATGTCATAGAGTTCTTATAATCTCAGCAGGCTTATTGTGTTCATTAAATAGTTTATGAAATTTATGTCGAGAAGCGACGTCTCCATTATAATTCATAAATGGTCTAAATGATAATCTGTGTAAGTTTCATTTGCTATTTAAATCTGTGACTATCACCTAACAGATATTAAATTCTCTAGTTATTTATTTGCATAGCACTCTGAATATCCAGTCGTTACCACCATAATGCATGGTAAAATTTTGATATCAGCTTGTTCCCGCTTGAGGGTAACATTGAACAATATAAATTGATTACAATCATATGCCAAAAACATTTTAAATGAAGACGAGAGCGTGCTGGGTCGAAGTTTACCAAATACCAATAGACCATCATTATTCATTGGCAGATGACGTGACTGTGCAAATTAGTGCCCCGGAATGTTCGTCAAGCAGTTCGATGTCCATATCTGTCACCCGGCTGGACCTGAGCATCGCACGTCGGGATGACGCTCGTGCCATCTTGCAGGGGAACTTCTTGCATCCCGTGCTCCCCGACACTGCCACCTGGACTGTCGGTGAGCACTCGGCTATGCAAGTTAAGACCATAGATGATCTTGTTGGCTAACTTCAGAGGTTTGCATTCTCGTCAATATAATCTCGAAGAATGTTTCACTGCCACGCACCGATCTTTTGCTGCTCCTGGCCTTGAATCCCTGTTGGTGTACCCACGCGCGTCTTTCCTCGTCATAACTTTGGAAAGAATTCTTCAAAGAAGTATTGCATATGTTGTATCAACTTGAGCTTGTGGTACCTAGAGGCAGACCTAAGTGATGGTATTGAGTCGTTACGTGTAATTGGGCTGGCAGATATTTTTGCACTCCCAATGTCATTTCGATTTTCCAGTAGATACAATTATGTAAAATAACTTGTGAACATCAAGAACATCTCTTGTGTTTCCAGATGACAAATACATTGATATTTTTCGTTTGAGAAAGCTGACGTAGAAAGAACAGAACTTGAATAGCTTGTGTGTCTTAATGACAAGTACGTTGATCGATTTTTCAGTGATACAATTACGTAAAAATGACCTCGAGAAACCCATGTGTGTCCAGATAAGGGGCGTGTTGAAGTGACCGTGTGCAAAGCCACCCCAGGGACCAAGTGGACGCGCGTGTTTCAGGACGAGCAGCTCGTGGGCGAAGAACTTCTCCCTGACGAAGACAACAACGACCGCCTGGCGCACCTCACCTCAGATACTTGGGTCAGATAAAGCTGTTACATAACTTTTTATTCATTGCTATGTATTGTAATTCGTTACAAGGTAATGCGCCACTTACTTGCACTCATTTGCATGAGTGCCTCATCTTGCATTCCAGTCGCTGGCATGCTCATGGAATGTGTAGTTTATAGATGACTTGTGTACCTCCTGTTCATTCGGATACGCTGAAAGGCTTATTTAATTAGAGGTGCTTAAATGCAGGGGGGCGGTTGCGACGCAGAAGACAAGCCTTCATTCAACCCAGGGCAGTTGGAGTCGTGTGATGACGCAGACACAGACCTCGTGCTGCAGGTACTGGAGGCTGGCGACTCTAGTGCAAGTCCTGAGAATTCTCCTAGGGCGCTGCTGGGCAACACACAGTATTTGGCTACACTGCAGGTCAGTTCGTTGTAGGATTACTGCATTCATCCAAGGTGTCTTTCTGTTGCACGATTCCCATTCTATCCACTGTATTGCTTTTTACATTTTGTATTGTTGTGTTGTTGATTATATGTATTTTCTCGAAAAAGAAGATAATTTCATCATCTGAAATTTTAATTTTCCATACAAGTGATTGTATTGGTTGAAAATTCCTTTCACATTAAGCCTTTTCTCTTATTATATACAATTTTTTCTCGTCTACAGTAATAACTAGGAAATTCCTTCTTTATGTGAAAGTTCATGTAAATCTACTTCATTACCCTTAACCGACTTCGGCGAGTCCATTCGCCTTGAAGAAAATAAATTTCAGAAAACAAAAATTGACATGTCTGAGAATTCTCCTCCAGAGATAAAAATTAATTGGTCCAATCTATGAATATTTCAACAAATGACGGTAATTCAATAATTGAAATAGTTGAGAAAGAAGCCGTATCAAACGCATTCGTGCGTCATTTTTGTGCCATGCCCTCCTGACATTAACTTAATAACATTTACGTGCAGTCGTGTAGCGGGAGTCCGGCTCAGTTCTGCCTGCGCCACGACGTCGACGGGCTCGTCTGGCGCACGAACGACCAGCGCAGCTCCGAACGCTTCTCCCACACCGCCACCTTCAACGCATTCGGCTATGTCAAGGCCAGCAAGACTATGGCCAAGTACACCTCTGCTCCTCATGGTCAGTGACGCTAGAAGTGATTATTCAATCGGCTATTTAATCACAAATTAATTCATCAGATGTAGACCAATTTTGTTATTAGGATATAGTTCAGTTTACGTTAGTTATTTTAAAGGTTGTGCTTCAGTCACTCCTAGTTTTCCATAACAAATTTTGGTAGATAACTATTTTGAATACTGACAATTCCTTCTTTTCATAGTTGAATTGATTAATTTATTGAACTGATTATTCTTTTCTTCACGGTTGAATAACGTGCTCCATATGACTGGTGGGCAGACTGCAGCTACGTGTGCGTGTGCGACGTACGCAGTCACGTGTACGTGTTCTGCCAGCCACTACCGCTTGGCGGGGAGCTCAAGAACCGACGCACTGGGCGCGTTACCAGCAAAGTAGCCCGGCAGTTCCTGCTGTCGCTGCCCTCACACGACGAGATCCAGGGGCTCGTTACCCTCCCCGGGCTAGTGGTCGTCTGCACTCGTGAACAAATTTTCGCCTACGCTTTGGCTCTGCACGAAAAATAATATAAATTCAGTTTACTGTGTTTGGTCGTCACATGAGGAATAAATGACTGATGTCCACAATATACCGGAGAATTGAATTGCTTTACTTACTAAGCACACGTATAATACATGTTATAATTACACTAGTTGTCAATACCCTTTATTTGATAAATTTAAAAAACGAAAGTAAGAGTGGTCATGTGTTCTATTTCTGATAAGAGCAGAAGTACTAATTTGTATCAGGGTCTCTGTTCGTTTGAAATGTTATTACCGCATCTTCAAAGTTATCCAAAGAATGCTAACGATTTTTAAATTTTTAAAACTGCGATCGACTACCTGCTCATAACCTATGGTACTGTTTGAAAGCAGCTCTCAGCGCGTAGCTTCAGATAGCGAAGCTCAGGCTTGAGGTTGGTCCCAATTGTTTGATAGGAAGTTGAACACTAACGGCTTATCTGTCGGAGAGTTTCTCAATTGATATCTATTCCAGATCTCATTTTTATAGCAATTTAGATGCATAAAAATATTTTTTCATACCAATTACTTCGTTTTTGCGATTCAATGCTACATTTTGTGGTAATGCAAGTGTCAAAACATCCTCTCCATTGACTGTACACTCCAGATGTCTATTAACAATGGAGATTTCACCTCACATTTGTCATCGTTACGTGCCCTGGCCTCCCAGTTCCTTCCGGGACCACCATCATCGAGCAGGTCACGTGAGCTTACAATAAATACTGGCAATCTTTAATTTGTTATCATTACCCAACCAATTACATCAAGCCGTCCTAGTTAATTTCAATCTGTTCCTGTTGGCATAACTCTTGTTACCCTGGCCTTAAAATCCCTTGAGTCGGAGTCAGTCAAACAAAAGTGTGGTCGGGTGCTAGCCCACACAAGACAATTGATAAAACAATTAAAGCCATATTACCACAATTGTTGCTTTGTTAACTAAAAGAAACTTCATTAAGATAAGCCTAACTCACATGGACGGGTCTGACTTTCCTGATGCACCCAACCGACCTCGTCATCGGAAAACCTCAGATTATGGAGGAAGGAGACCAGTCTTCATTGCGAGCACCATATCGCATTTAACCGCATGGTCCGAAGAAGATCTGGCTCCAGACGACTTACGGACCTACTTGGTGCGGCTTATTCCCTCGGACTGCTCTTTGGACCAATCTTTTAACTACGCTCAGTTCCTGTTAAATCAGATACTGCCGTATCGTAACAACTCTCTCAGGTGCACGGCTGATTGGTGTAGGTCCGGAGAGATCCAAGGCGTTCGATTCAGGGCTTATTGGTGCAAAAATTTGGTGGTGCACGGCTGCGTACCCGCTCTCTCCATACAAACTAAAACGTAGGCCGGAGTTGACCTGGATATTGACGCTATCCGCTAGAATTCGTTGCTTTGCGGACACTTACATTAGACAAGACTGGGATCAGCTCCTCACACAAATGTCATACCAGCGGTATGACATTTGAGGCATGCGGAGTGGATATTTACATTCTACAAGTGCAGCTTTCTCCAGCTTCTTCTTATAAGGACATGCGTTGTGAGACGCACTCGAAGTGACCGTGTGTTGATGGTGGCGCGGCTAATGCTGGTAGCCTCCCAAGACTAACTCGTCTGGATGGTGGATGCACTATTCTACAGCATTATTGATGACCAGCTGCGAGGGACGAGCAAGAGAATTGGTCTGGTTGACAAGTTGTGTCGGGCTGCGCTCGCATCTTTTTGTTCAGTCGGCTATCAGGCATATGACGAGCTTAAATCAGCTCACGCCGTGTATGTCGGAGAGATCCTCAAAATAGTCGACAGCGATTTGGACCAGCTCCTCAGAGATGAAGTGCTCAGGGACCATCCTTAGTGCTCCCTCTAGAGGTTGATATCTCAGACGAGGGCAAATGAGACAGAGGCGGCAAAGCATCACGCTCTTGCAGGACCGGCCATATGTTTCACATACCCAGTGGTGGAGATACAGGAGGCTAAGGATATGGATAATGTAGTAGGGTAGTCCCTCATCTATGACCCACGTGAAAAAATAGGCAAGAAGGCCCACAACGCGTTCAGAAAAATCTTCCATACTCATGTCCGTCGTCATGGGGTATGGTCACCTATCACCCTTGTATGCACAGTGAACGGCAAGCAGGGGACATGGTTAGAGAGGCCCAACCGACCCTGGCTCTATAATTATTTTGCAATTGTCCAGATCAAAGAGCGCCTTGAATTCGACTAGCAGCTCGATCCCACTGCCTTGCTGAGTGACAAAGCAGTAGCCGTAAACCTGCGGTTTGATGTAGGAAATAAGATTTCGTTACCACCGTCCCAGGTACAAGCGCTGCAGTCCGGGGCCTCCACAGGAGATGCGCTTGTTGATCGAATTCATTAAGAGGCTTCAAGTTGACATGAAAGAGGTCCTGACGGACTAGGCTATGAGGAAACACCCAGAGGGCCACGTGAGTGTCATGTGTATAAAGGAACGAGAGTTGAACAGGAGAAAGGGTAGATGCTTTACCAAAAATACGCTCCCCAGCCAGAGCCTACCAGGTCACACTTCAAGACAATATGAAGACAATCCTGGAAGACTGCCTCGTGATAACGATGATCCTCTCTGGGGACAATGTACAACGGCTCCTCCTAACTATATCCTTAAGAGCTGGCACCATAAAGACCGTGGTGGACTTCTCAAAGTTGTGCCACTATCAGAGACTATTTCTCATAGTCGCCATTGCCCAAGAAATAGACCGCATTTTTAGAGTATCGCCTCTATACAAGTCTCTCCATCTCTATGCCTATCCCAATGGTTTTTGTTCCAGGATAGTGCTCGGATCCCGGAGCAGGGTCCTAATGGGCTCCCCATCCCCGACTCAAGTGCCTTCCCTGGCTTGACCGCATTCGGGGAGAGGATGTTCCAGAAGCTCTGGACCCTTGTGACGGCCTGCGGCATCGTATCATCACTCTAAGGGAATGGTCTGAGCCCATCTATATTCGCATGAGAGACAACCAAGTGATTAGCAGGCAGCACTGCTAGTCATTGAACACTCTCACAGGACGTCAAGCTTAGCATCAAGTTAATGGAGACGAATGTCTCGTGCAACTATCTAGAGTACGGGAAATCATCCTATCTCCGAGGCAAGAAATTGGACGGGGACATTAAAAGAGCGAGCAGCATTGGGACAGCATCCCATGAGAATATCCCCTCCGTGAACACGAAACTGCGCGGCTGTTGTGCGACTGGGAACGCAACGGCAGCTGAGGCTAGCAATCCGGCCGCAGCCTACATGACCACCCTATGGAAGTACTCCTAACTCTGAGGAAGAGGGGTTTTCGCGGTGACAAGCACCGTATGACCGCGTTGCTTCTCCTCAATCCGCAATCTGGTGGCTTGAAAGTTAGCCTATACCCTTCGTATTGCCTCCTGGGAATCTCCGACCATTTGACAACTGCGGTTGAAATGTGTACCTATATCCTCAAGAACAGGGCCGAGTATGCCATGGTCATAAAAACATTCGAGACCCTGCCTTTGATCATAGGCCGCGTTAATTAGGCACAACACAGCTCTTTAAAGACCCTTACTCACTTTCATGTGTGCGGGCACCTGATATTGACTCTGGCGTGAAAGATCTTGTGAGGGATGCTTTTCGGATCGAGTGCAAAAACACTCAATTGAAACGCTCGTATGACGGCGATGCTGCATGCGCGAAGAGATTGCAAGCTATTTGCTGTCGGTCGACACTATCCCAAAGAAAAAGGGCTCAGAAGTTAACGAATACTCATAAGGAAGCAGTGTAAGTAAGTCTACGGATAATGCTACCTCGTTATTAGGCTGTCATGCAGTGTCAGAATTTCATAATAAAACGTCAAGAAAAGATAGATATGTTCCTGGAAAATATCCAGAAAAATGCAATTTATCAGCCTCTAAAGTCGATTAATGATCGCCAGAATACATGAGGTTTTTCAATGTTAGAAATCCTTAGATGCATTTGGACACTTGACTAATACTTTACCTTCAATTATGCACCCGACCACGAGGTTCACTGTTCGAGGGAACCGATGTTATTTCCTGTTACAGAGCTTTACCCTCACTTGCACCACCTGTCATGAACAGGCCCTGTAATCGTACCCCCACGAAGGTCAAAAGCTGTCATGACAGGTCCAAAATCGAGGGGGAATTTCCCTTCTGGGTAAAGGGATAGGTATCCGACAGGTGCTTCTAGTCGACTTCCGATCAACTTTCTGTAAATGTATATATACAATTTGAAAGAGCTTTTTTAAGACGAATAATATTTGCCGGAAGTGAATTCTTGATATCTTTCAACTTAAAAATTTATTAAAGATTGAAATCTGAGGGTCACCTGAGGAGGTAATTCCCTATTAACCTCCTTTAGTAAAAATCCGGCCAGAAACGGTTCTCAGAAGCTCATCTTTACGTATGTAGTTTGTTGTTCGCTTGTGACGTAACTGATCGAAGTGACGTCACGGGCATTAACCATCCACCGAAATGCGATCAAACCAGTCAACCAATCTGTCATGGGAATGACGGTACCGGTATAGGGTTTACGCTTCTTGATCTCAGTGACGTAACTAGAACGCTGAACTGAAACAGGGAAATCCTCGTGGGTCAACCTTGGATAATTCAACCATGGGTGCAGCCGGATGCGGAACTGCGTGCTTATGAGCAAACATGTCAAAGTATCGGTTGAAGACCTACGGCGCTATTATCTTTAGGCAGGGTGTCATTGGCCGGTATTGCGGTTCCAGCGCAGTATGCGGCTTTTAGTTCTGTGACATAGTGAAGTTGAAGCATGGTTAGGCTGGGCGTTGGCTTCAGGGCTTATCTAAGAGTTAAATTTGTGGCCTACGGATGCTCTCCCGCGTTCTAACGATGAGAAAAGTACCCTGTTAGTATGCAGATAACACAAGATTATAATCATTTGTAATCGTAAGTTGTAGGCTTGTAGCTCGTTAATATAAATAATATATTTAAGGAAAACAACCGGGTAACGTCGCAAACCTGTCGCAAAAGGAACGGAAGTCCTCAAATCGCCATTGAAATGTGGATACTGATTAATCTGCGATGTGCGAAACTGAGGGAGGGGGGGGAGCAGCCGTGAATCCCAAGTTCAACTTTTAATTAAATGAGCCCTGGCGCCAACGCCCAGCCTCAGCATGCAGTAACTTTACTCAGCCACAGAGTAATCACCGTAATCTTGACCAGTGAAACGCTGTTCGAAAATAATAGCGCCGTAGGCCATCAGCAAATTCTTCTGTTTTCTGTATGCTCGCTCATAAGCAGGCTGTTCTGCATCCGGCCTCACACACTCCAACCTAACCTCTTCTGGCCGAACCTATTCACGCTGCCTCGACTCCCCACCATCTTGAAGCCAATCACTGGCTCTCCTTGCTGACGTTCCGCCTTTCTAACTCCTGCCGTCAATGAGGTTAGGTTAAGAGGGTTGCGGTTTGTTTTGGGTGGAGAAATGTTGCAACGTGTATGGGTGTGACCAGCAGAGGTTAGGCCGGAAGAGGTTGGCCAGATGCCGTATGACCAATAATTGACCATGCTGAATTTGGACATGCTTAATGGGCGGCTGTGGACACGTGGCGACGTTTTGCCTTCGTTTGCGAGTTATACGGCTATACGTAAACGGCTCTTGGTTAAATCAGCCGGTAGAAAAGCCGGTCGTTCCTCCTATATCTGTACAACTTGCGAACGAAAGCGAATAAGGAAGTTTTGAAATCAAGAATGACGGTGAAATGAAAAAAAAAATCTCGCAAACGAAGGTAAAATCAAAAATTTGTTTAAAATCTAAAAAACACCATGTGGTAGTTAGGAATGTTTATTCAAAATTTCGTTCAAATCTGTTCGGTAGTTTGGAAGAAATTCTTTGATCACTGCGAATTTCGGCCTGTATCGCAATATAATTCACGAATGAAGGTGATATTTAAAAATTTTTCACATGATAAACATCACCGTTAAGTTCTGATGAATACATGTTCCAAGTTTTATTGAGCTGCGTTCATTAGTTTAGGAGATATTACTTGATGATTGAATTTGGAGATTGGTCGTGAGATCGGTCACGAGTCCGGGCAGTAAATTTGCCGAGACGTCCTAGGTTTCTAGTACTGAAACGGTAAAAAGAGCTGAAAAACATAATGGTTCACTAAATGGGGTCCTATTTGTGAAATACACATTTGTGTTTAACCTTTATCTTTTAAAATTGCAGCGTACTAAATTTCAAGAAAGAGGCGTATGTTTTTATATGTGTCTGTGGGGGCGCTATAAATTCACTAGGGAGCCAAAGAGGGCGCCAGCCTGAAAAAGTTTGGGAACCACTGGTCTAGACTTCAGATGCTGCTATTCAGTCTAGCGTTCTTACCTACGGAGAGGAATTTGACACAAGTGTAAAGTTGGCGAAGCTAGCCTCCGGCATGCGCCCCTTCGTGGGTCATAACTAAAATCGACCCAAATTTAACGCTAACATATGTCGTAATTGTCGTTTAAATCGTTTTTTCCCAATTCACGAATGTCTGGAAAAAATTTGGAATGTGCCATGGGCGCATTATCTAAAAGGCATTCACATTGATCATGATAATACAGATTATGATCAATTAAGTCGTAAATATTGGTTGAATTGAATCGATTTAAGTACAATCTGGTTAACGTGCTGTTCCACGACAAGGCAAGCCATATCCTTGATCTAAGCTGACGCAGACTGTGTGGCCTTATATGCCCCGTCCACACGCCCAAACTTTTCGTCCGTATTGCATGTCACACCAAAAAACCAAAGTTTGACCGAAAAAGACGGACGACTGACGAGCGTCCACAATATTCAAACTTTCCTTCAGTCATGTGTGCGTTCACGGCAATGGAGGAGCTAGTGCTGCTCGCTGCAGTGATCGCAGTTTGTACCTACCACCAAAATTGGGGTAAAGCGATACAAACCCACTCAGTGGTCCCGAAAATGGTTTTAAAAAATACCACAATGAGGGTTGATATACAGCATCCCTACCACTACCAGCACCAGGCCGCATTGACGACTTCATTTTGGCACATTTTTTTCGATAAAGAGTTAATTTTCTTCGTTAGTTTTCTTCGTTACAACTTTGCACACAACTTCAGATGCCGCTTAGGCCAGTGCTTTCTTGGTCTTGTCACTGTAGCTTTATGATTGAATTTACCACAAACCAGGGAAACTACTATATAATTCGATTAACTCACCTAAATAAATCGTGAAACCAGTGTCAGAAATCTTGAGATACGAAAAACTAGACCTAGCGAAGAACAATGTCACAGCTCTCAACATCAATATAGACTAAGATAGAGTAAAAGTTTGACCAATTAGTCGGTTGTCCGTCCACACGCTCATACTTATAGTCAGTCTTGCATGAACCCAAAGGTCTCGCCCGTCCGTCTTTTCCAGGTTTGTCAAACCTCAAACTCCGCCCACCCGTCATGCAATACGTCAAGCTTTGAGCGTCCACACGCTCCGTCTTGCCAGTCAAACCTGGCATGACATGCAAGACTGTTTGACGATAAGTTTGAGCGTGTGGACGCCTCACGGGGCTTTACAGTGCAATGCTTGTGCCCTCCGGGACATTAAACGAAGAAGGCTCGGCAACAACTTACAGAATCGAGCATGCTAACTTACAGCCAGCCAATCCGCTCTCAACACGTAACTGCTACTGTACCAAGGCCGGACCATTATGTTACTGAAGCGCTCACGCCAGATGCGATAAAAAATTATACGCAGGTACACACTAACTCGAAAAATGCCCGTGTTAATAAATGAATGCTGCTAGTAAATCGACTAATTATAGAGGATGGCTTTTATAGTTCACATAATATATACGAAAAAGATCACGCTGAAAAGAATAGGTAGGCTGACCTCTGTCATTCCAGGCGAACTGTGGATAGCAGATTAGTTTTGAAAGATGAACGAACTTGCACAGCGCCTCTATCGTGAAGTTTACCCACCTAGATGGACTTTCAGCCCAGTCCATAACTAACTAGTGTTTATTGGCCGCTTCGGCAATCCAATTTCCCTATGCACGATTATGCTGCGTTCAATCAAATATCCCTATACACAAATATACTTTAGCCCTACAGACTATTGATTTATAAGATAACAGAACCTACCTCTCGCAGTGGAAACATAGTTACGCTTTCTCTCATTTTTCAGAAGCACGAGAAATATAAAGCATGTGTTAGTGTGCAGTCTTAGTTTTTAGTTAAGGAACAAGCACATGCGTAGTTCGTGGGCAGACCGTGGAACGGTCATCACCACTAGTATAGTATCTTCGGCATTAAAGAATAAACCTGTCAGGCCTGGAAAGGCCACTAGCTTGCCTCAGTCTTCGTCAGATAAAATGACTTAAAACAAAGATAGATATTTGAAAATTATTTATTCTACAGAGATCCAAACAAACTATAAATATTTCTCAGTAAATAAAAGTAATTGGAATTTGATTCTGATTACATTTCTCTGATAAAAGTAGAACTCAACCGCGACAATGAAACATCTATCCTGGCGAGGTTAAAATAAAAAAAAATATCACCTTTCACGTTGGTCATAGACTGCTTCTTGAAAAGCCATGATCTTTGTTTCGCCAAGTTCCTCATAAATAATATGCTTTTAAAAATTAGTTTGTAAAGACAACACTTCTAAAGAGGCCAGTGTCTAAGATGTTACACATGTACAATGAATTTCTTATTTTATTTTTAAATGTTAAAAAAATTATTTTTCATTCTTTTTTCAATCTATAATTTTTTTAAATTATTTATTCTGTCAATTGATTCAAGCATTGTCTTCGACTTTACGCAAGTGTGCAAAATTTCAAATCGATTGGACAGGTATAAGTGTGTTAAATATCGATTATAAGATTTGTAGCAGACGAACAAACAACTAGCAGTGGTTAAAGAGAAGTGTTGCAATAGTTAGACACTTTGATTTGATTTATAATAACTAATGATAATTTGATTAATTGATAAATGATTAATTGATAAATGAATAACTGATAAATGATTAATTGATGATTAATTAATTTATAAACGATTACTTGATGAATAATTAATTTATAAATGATTAATTGATAAATGATCAATTTTGATTAGTCGATAGCTGATAAAACGAGGTGATTATTAACTGATAGTCGATCTTATTATAACTGATGCAAGGGATAATTGATGATGAATCGATTTCTCATTTTTACTTGTTCAAGCGAATTCCTATTGTCTAGTGTCCTGGACGTGATAGGTCGTGTGGAAGAAGGGGTGGCGCAGCTCGATTGCCCTTTCCATGGACAGCGGTTTAGCTCCATCTTGCTCCAGCGGTTTAGTCAATTTTATTTTCAATAAATACTAAAAGATTGATTAAATGCTCAATCGTTGTTAGTCTCGTCCATGCCACGACGTTATTATCGTCAAATCCAACCAAGAATTAGGAATAAGTTGATTACTTTTTTCTAGGTACGATCTCTAGTTTTAGAAGCTATTTAGCCTTCAAATAGAATTAATTACTATATATTACTTCAAAGATCATATTACTTCAAAGAATCGTTACTTGTCACAGCAATTTAATCTGCATGGCAGAAAATTTAGTGGTGAATCAGATATCGCGATGTCCCAGCTTACTGCTGTGTAAAATTATAACTTGAATTAAACAACTTTTACTCACATAATTATTTTCGTTCTGATCATGATTAAAACAATAGCTAGTGCACCTCACACCGAACCAATAACTTACTTGAAGAACAGCACGATCTACCAGGATTTGCTAGCATATGTAACTCTTCGCCGTTTAGAAACCGCGCGTAATTTCTAACACAGGTTGACTTATTCCAAGTTTTCTCTTTGATAAACCCTGAGGACATCGCTCATGTAAAACTGCACAATAATTTCAAAATTTTTATGGTAAGTGGGGTCTCCCATTTTTGTTTGAGCAAAAGTCAACGAAATGTCATTTGTATCATCCAAGCTCATACACACGTTCGACATATCCTTAATTAAAAAAATTGGAAGCAAAGCACAGACTCGTGTGTGAAAGTTGGGATATATTTCAAATAATACTCCAAAACTATCAACAACTGAGAGACAAATGAAGCTAGAACAACTCATAATTTCTCAGACAGCAACACTTTCTGATCTTGCTTGCGATAGCGAATATTATTGCGCTGACGAAGATGGCGAAGAAAGGCGCGATCAAGATGACCGCCGTCCTGTTGGTATCGAGGAAGCTCGGCTGGGGTGGAGGAGTCAATATCTGGCACTGTTCGGTGAGGTCTTTTGGCATGAACTCGCTCACGTGGTAGATGAAGTCGTCCAAGAGACACTCAGTGTCGCAGGTCGTCAACTTGAGCTCCCTCATGGGGCTCTGGGCGTATGTGTTGTTGTGGTAATACATCTGCACAAAGTTCAGGTTTAATTTTGTGTTTGAATTGGGAAATAATGCTTAATTATCAAAGAAATTTGAAAAACAATGGGTGGGTGGAATTCAGGCCTTATGAACAGTTCAAGTCTACCAACAATGTTTTTGAGACTTTGTTTCAGGATAAAAAGTGATAACATCCATCGACTGCAGACCTTAACGAAGTAGGTGCCATTTTTCTCATGGCGATGAAGTTCGTAGAGCAGAGCTGTGGCGTAATCAGGCACTCTGTTGTCGTAGTTGTCAATGGTGATGAGCTGCACGGCTAAGTTCGTGTCGTGTACCGCAAACAACGACATGTTCACAGCATTCAGCCCGATGTCGTGCTTCAATAACATGTTGTTGACGATCTTTTGTAGCAGCGGTCCTGCATGAATACGTGGCTATAATGAGGGACATTTGCGCTAGTGGTGCTCTACTCCTCCAATTTGAACTATAAATTTCAATGAAATGTTGTTATTTGGAATTTTAAAATGTGAAATCAACTAGATGTTTCGATCACAGTGGACGACTCGATCTGGATTTTAAGAATACATGATTTTTTCCGTTGACTAAATCAAAGTATTTACATTTGCTAATGTAAACATTACTTGTAGTAATTGCACATAACAAAGGCTGTCTTCTGCATATGCGACATTGCCGAGTTCTTTATTTAAAAAAATCTACGATTCATTTCAAAATTACAATACGAATGAAAGCTATTAGTGTCTTACCATATCCTAGAAAAGGATAGAAAAAAGGATAGAAGGATCTAGAAAAGGATAGAAAAATGAAATAAAAAGTTTCATACAAATTCGAGTTCCTAAGCGGACTGACCAGCGCTAAGAACTTTCTGCTCGTGAGTCACCGCCAGGAACTGGAAGTCGCGGCGTCTGGCAAGGTCCAGCGTCGGCATGAGAGGCTCGGCCCAGTCTGCCAGAGTTAGGTTGTTCTCTTTCTGCGCCAGGGAACAGAATACACACACTTATTTGCTTACATTTATGTCGAAAATATATTTATTTAGTGTATGATGCTATTAATCAATATTTGATTGGAGTAAAGGTTCATCCTGATTGAGATGCGATTGAGCGTGTCGGATTAGCGTAGGTTTTAGCAAACTTTAAAATTGTAAATCCTCACGAGCTTTCTGCATATGGTGGTATAGCATATGACGATTTATCTAGAATCTGGTATCTTCTCTTGGATTAAAAATAACTTTAGCGGAAAATGGCATTATCATACTTGAACCCAACACAGCTGGAGATTTGTTTGATTATTATTACTTCTTTTGTAATTTAATATTACTCCCGAGTAATTTAATAAGCACGAGTTTTTAGTTTCCTGATTAATTTCTGAAAATTCTGAAGTTTTAGCAGTTCCTACATAGAATACGTTAATAAAACCAGTGCAAGCAGATGTTTAAAAAATCGGTTATTGGTAATATCAACCAGGATTAGGCAAGGTGAAAACTCGGCTATGAGTCCATACAATATTTTGAATTCAGATTGAACCAATATTCCTTATGAAGTCTGGAGCCTCCTTTCAAGAATCATATTTCCACAAGAATTACAACGCAAATAAAGTTTTTTATGTCACTTTGAAGGTAACGCTAAGAAATGATAGCATGATGACTCACCTCGACTCTGAAGGTATCGTAAAGAAACGATAACTTGATGACTCACCTCGACTTTGAAGGTATCGTAAAGAAACGATAACTTGATGACTCACCTCGACTTTGAAGGTATCGTAAAGAAACGATAACTTGATGACTCACCTCGACTCTGAAGGTATCGTAAAGAAACGATAACTTGATGACTCACCTCGACTTTGAAGGTATCGTAAAGAAACGATAACTTGATGACTCACCTCGACTTTGAAGGTATCGTAAAGAAACGATAGCTTGATGACTCACCTCGACTCTGAAGGTATCGTAAAGAAACGATAACGATTGGACAGTGTCGAAGGACTGGTTGAGCTTCGCGGCGAGGATGCTGCGTGTCGAGTTGATTGATTGCAGGAACTTCACCACGCTGGCATCTTGGTGCAGTTCAGCTTCGATTTGTTGGAGTCTCGTGCATGAATCCGCAGTATCTATTTCCTGTAACAAAAAGCCAGTAACATTTTGCCAAGAAAAAAAAAATAAATTAAACATTTATTTCCTTACAGATAAATTGAAGCAAAGCGCAATATTTATTTCGTGCAGATAAACAGATTGAAATCCCCAATATTTATTTCCTCTGAAGAAACAAAATTAATCCTCTATAGCCTATATAGTGGAGATATAATCATCGATATTTGTTCCGTTTATAAATGTAGCCAGTGTTTCAGTGATATTGCTTGTCTTGAGGAACTCCATTGCCAGTTCGAAAATTATAGAATACAAGTACGATCTACCAGCAGTCAAAATTTGCAAACAAAAAATTGAATTGATAAAAAATACATGACAACAAGCAAACAAACCTAATTTAAAGTCGATATGAACTCAAGACGGCATCCAGCTGTCATACTTTAATTTGTCAATACGTATTTATTCAAACTTCTCATGTGCTATTTGTGACCGTGCTGAATGATTGCGGAAAATTTTAATATTAAATTTTCATGCTTGCAATTGGAGTTGAAATCCGAATCGCTTTCTATGGTGGCCATCTATGGCCTTTTATTTCTTTAGAAATACTTATATTTATTGGAAGTGCCCGATTTTTCTCCATTCGTTTAACACTCGATGAAACGCCCAGGGTTGAAGAACGCGTTTGGGAAAAGATTTGAAAAAGATTAATTTGGTAGATGGATTAATATGGATCTTTTGCTCCCGAAACTAAAATCTAACATTTATGCAAGCAGTTTTTAAAGTCATTTTTGTTGGCGAACCTTTTACAAATGAAGCCGCCGTTATCATCTGTTGACTTTGTTAATAGTTTGGGAAAATTATAAATTTTTCGTAGAATACTCCATCACTTCTCTTCTTTACATAACGTCAGCTACTCCAAAGTGAAAACTGTTTCCAAAGTTGAAGTCCAATCCGAATGATTTTAGAGTTATTGAAATCCGGTTAATCTAGTGTATGTCCTCATGTTTAAATCTGAGAGCAGTCGACTCCCTAAATCTTACCCCTGAATCCTACTCCCTAAATCCCAATTATGAATGATATAAATATTTGACCACACCGTGTACGAGTGCCTTAAACACACACCAGATTTCGAGGTCACTTTCCAAGATGGCACGATTGCTTGGCCAGGCCAAGCAATTCACACCACTCAGAAATCGAATTCCAAAATTTTCGATTTTCGAATCAAACCCTTACCATGTCCATTTTAGGTGGGGCGCTGTGTACGGGTACGGGAGACCAGGGCATCTCCTCATCGAATCGCTCGTTCGGACTACGCAAGAAATACTCGCTGTAGAGGCCTGCCGACAGAGCTGCGGCCGAGTTCAGCTCACGGTCTTCAGCCGAGCTCCTGACGACCACTTGATTGTAGCGCCACGCGACCGACAAAACTGCGCTGTAACGCTCACGTAACCATCGTCCTAGCTGGTACACCTGCTTCAGTCCTTCCTGCACCAAATGATGATGGCAAGTTGAATAATCAATCCGAAGTTGAATATTGTAAAAATTTAATTTCATAAATATTGCGTGCAGATTTTGGAGGTCATATGCAAGGTTAATTTGTGGATTTAATATTCTGCATTCGGCCGCTCTGTCAGTAAGCCGATATTTTATTCAGGAAGTGCTACCGTGTATTTTCAGATGAATTTTTTATCAGCAAATTTGTAATATAGTTAAAGGCAAATATAAGCAGCTTTATTTACGATAAATAATGTACTAACGAGTTCATAAGTGGAATTGATATAATGAATGCTCCCTTTTAAAGTATGAGCTTACCTCACATCATATCAGCAGATACAGAGCTTACAGGTGATACAGAGCTTTCAGCACAGCTACCGTATTAGCATTAACAAAACATTTGTATCATCAAAAATCTCATTGAATAATTCACCAGGAGAGTCGATTGTAAAAGTTGCACTTATCTCGTCACACTATTCTATCATTCAGAATTTTAGAGCTAATTAGATAAAGTATATTAAAATTCATAACACACGCCTCAAGTCGAAGGTTCAAGAGGCAAATTGTAATATTTGTCTAACGTGTTGTTTAACTTTCGTTCATTATTCAGAATTAAAATAAACTTTAACAAAAAACATGGAAATTACCACCTACATACAAAGGTCAATCGTCAACAATTATACGGAACTAAGGATTGCAACTCGAGCTTCATTCTGCCACAAAACATTCTATGTAACTAAACATTGTCTTTAATGTACTCTTTCTGACACTATCCGTAGCACTTCACCATCTAGTCGTTAGATGCTACGGATATTAAGATCTTTGATAATAAATATTGATGCCTACAATGACATTACCCGAGTTAGCCGACCAAGGCCCTGTGGCCAGACATCGGGGTGACTGTTGGGGTCCAGGGCGTAAGTCGAGATGGGGGAACGAGCGCCGTGCCGGAACAACTGAAACAAACACAAGATGAACGTGAAATGTTACGGGCCTTATGGCACAGTAAGAACAACCACACAAGTGAGTGGGTGCAGTGCCGGAACAACTGAAACAAACACAGGATGAACGTGAAATGTTACGGGCCTTATGGCATAGTGAGAACAACCAGACAAGTGAGTGGGGGCAGTGTCGGAACAACTGAAACGAACACAAGATGAGCGTGAAATGCTATGGCATAGTGAGAACAACCAGAAAAGAAACGTAAACAGCAGATGTCCTGGGAGAACACCCAGACTGGTTTCTAATACCGTGACTGAAGAGCTCTAACATGAATGGGAAGAACATTGAAAAGCTAAGTAGTTCTTTACTCCGTAAATTTCTGACAAGCGGGAAGTATTTCAACGAGTATAATGAACCATTTCTCGTTGCACTGAATGTTTATGGGCAACTAAAGCTTCACAATGCGTTCAGGAAATTCTTTTAATGACTACGTATAAAATTAAAATACCACGAAAACTGCAGCGCCGTAGGCTTGCATTCATTCAATATGTTTAAAAGGTATTATCGATGCGATTCGTCAGTGTATGTGAAGATCATACAGGCAAGAGGCTTTCATGGCAGAAAAAAATTTCGACTTCTGTCATAAAATTTTTGGACTCTTCTGCAGTCGGCCAATATGATAGAAGTTAAAAATGTAGCATTTTTGTATCAGTTGAATAGCTTATTTAGGGTTAGGCTAAATACAAAATGAAGATTTTGCATGAAGATTTTTATAATTCCAATGCAACGAAACCATATTTGCTTGTTTCATAAAGGATAATGTTCACAATTTACATACTAATAACTAAATCACACACACACGTAAGTTAAAATATCACCGAATGTTCGCACGTTCATCCACAATATCTAATATCAATCAAAGTTAACCTTTTTTATCAAAGTTTATCAGTCGTCGTTATCCGTAACAAACTCATCTGTCGTGGCAGAGTTCACAAACAGCAGTTACGTTATCCGGTCAAATATGGTTTTAATTGTAGTATTATCTGGCGCTGGTAAACAATCGACAACGTATGGGACCGCATGTACTTCAAGCTCTACTAAAATGGTGCACGTCAAGCTCTACTAAAATGGCCGGAAGTGAAATTAGCGTCTTCCATTCGACGTTAGCGCGCTCAGCAAAATGATTCCAGTGAGCAACCAAAATGATTCCAGTGAGCAACCAAAATGATTCCAGGTAGCAACCAAAATGATTCCAGTGAGCAACCAAAATGATTCCAGTGAGCAACCAAAATGATTCCAGTGAGCAACCAAAATGATTCCAGTGAGCAACATCCCCGCATGTTGGAAGTTTGTCCGTACATTAAACCTAATCTACCGACGACCACATATGGGAATATGTCGTATCATTTGAGTTACTCATGTGGGAACCTCAGAGATAAACAGAACTTGAAGGCACCTCTTGGTTTGCGTTGCTTCAATAATCTTAAATCTATGTTTTGAATATGTTTCTCTTTGTCTAAGAAAAAGTGAATACCCCTTAATTGAAGTATTAGTTCCTGGAATTTGATAGATGTTTCCATTGATTTCTGACTGACTGTAATCCCGGCGAGTGCGCTTTTTTTCAAAATTACAAGTTTTGTTCGTAAACTTTGTAAAAGTTATAATATCACTATTCCACAGAAAAGATCTTAATAAAGATTCATGGTACTAATTTTTTCGGTGATAAAATTGAACTTTTGTTCGTTAGCTTAATTACATCTGATGGTGATAACTGGCGGAAGGAAGTTTTCCCGTGATCAAATCTAATTTATATAAATATTTGAATACCTTGCCAGTAATGATCTGCTTACGATACAGACGAGATACTTACGACACAGACGAGAGACACAGACGAGGCACTTACGACACAGACGAGGCACTTAAGACACAGACGAGGCAATTAAGACACAGACGAGGCACTTACGACACAGACGAGGCAATTAAGACACAGACGAGACACTTACGACACAGACGAGGCGCTTACGACACAGACGGAACCCTTACGACAAGGTACTCACAACAGAGACGTGTTGCAGGGTGGGGGCCGCTGGAGTGTAGATGTATTCATCGTACAGGATCTGTCCAGCGCAGCTCGATGCGGCCAGGAACAATGTGAACAAATGAAATAACATGGCGGTTTCAAGGCCTTTTATTAACGCGATCACACCGACTGAAACAGCCAAAGTTCAGGTTTCAGGTGAACTTTGAAATCAAGGGAATTTAGCGCAAACCTAGAATATAAAATTCATTTTTCTTCTTATATATATACTATCCACTTGTATAATTTTTTAACCTATTCATAACAATCCTGATGAATAATTTACGTCGTGACTTAAGACGCAGCCACCGTACGATAGATCTGCCGACTGAACGTTCAGGGCGGTTCTTAAAGCTATATAATCTACGCTTATCGCGTCCGCGATCTCCACCCACCGGAATTAAACTTGATATCAAACACAATGAATTTCATTACTTCTGTGGTTGGGCATCTTTTGGTTCTAGATATCCTTCGTCTAAACCATGTGATAACGAGAAGAATGATTATCTCTGCGTCATTGTTTTTTGAGTGTACTTCCGCCGTTCATATTCGTTTGTGTGATGCCCAGATGAGAGTAGGATTATAGAACATTTATTGATTCTAATCCTGCGCCTCCCATTTCCCTTCTTGAAGTTACCCGCTAATGCTGGTTCAAACAAACGATAATTTACTTTCCTATCGTTTTTTTCTTTTATGTATCATTCTTTCAGAGAGCCATTTCAATAATGAAAAGATTTGATAGTTAGAAAAAATGATTGCAACTATATTGCTATCTTCAATTATGCGGATAAACCTGTTATGTTAAACCTGTATCCGTCCATTTACGCCCGTCACCAATAGGACAGACATCATTGATTGAGCACAGCCACTCTATTAACCGCTGACTATACAGTCATGACTAATCACTGGTTACAGTCGCTCCAGTAACTCAAGTCATAACTGGACACAGTCGTACCAGTCCGTGCATCCAATTCATTGGCACCAACGTCAACGTACATTCGTCGAACGCATCGGTCCACACCAACCAACAGTATCGGTCCAGACTGTCACCAACAGTATCGGTCCAGTCTGTCACCAACAGTATCGATCCAGTCTGTCACCAACAGTATCGGTCCAGACTGTCACCAACAGTATCGGTCCAGACTGTCACCAACAGTATCGGTCCAGANAGGTAAGAAGGATCGAGGTGATTGAGCTAGGGATTACCATCTCTTGTTAACGAATACCTGCCACTCATCATTTTAAGTAAAATTTGCAGGCTGTTCTCAGACTATATTTACCTTTTTATATATATAGCGGTTTCATTGTGCACTAGGCCGTAGGCATGTCGCCCATTCTTAACGTCGCAGAACATTCACAGCTCGTTACGGCCTCGAACTCGCAACTCATTGCTCTAATTTTGCTTCGCTTAACCGCCCGGCCTCCTCGCCGATTCTGACCAGAAATTGCCGCACAGACGGGATCGAACCCGAACCTCTGTACGTGCTCCAATCCTGGTACTCTGAACTGTATCTACTGGGCCAACTGCTATATGGATCGTGGGAACTAGAGACCTTTCGGTTAGGCAAAACTTCAGCAAACATTGATGGTAAAGTCAATGAAAAAAAGTTTAAAGGATCTTTTACCTATACGGCCGATGTGCATGCCCCAGCGGCCGATGTGCATGCCCCAGCGGCTGATGTGCATGCCCCAGCGGCCGATGGCGTGCCCCAGCGGCTGATGTGCATGCCCCAGCGGCCGATGGCATGTCCCAGCGGCCGATGTGCATGCCCCAGCGGCCGATGTGCATGCCCCAGCGGCCGATGTGCATGCCCCAGCGGCCGATGTGCATGCCCACGGCGCGCACGTGGACGTGGTTTGGATTTCGCCATGTTTGGCAAGGGCTACTTGAGCATTGCTTAATGCGCGAGTACCGATAAAATACATTTGAGGCATAATTAAGGTCTATTTTAATTCTTAAAGCTTTTGAACAAAAATATACTAAAGCAGAAGTTTTGTTTCTTGGTACGAACAATTTTGACCAAATATATCCCTCGATTCTTTAAATTTTTCAATTGCTTGTCTGCCAAAAATATTGAAAACGATAAAGCGAAAGATGTTATTTTGCCTTCCTTAATTTGCGCCACTCTGCTTCGGATAACACGATAATTCTTAATGTCATAATTATCCACCGTAAAAGTAGCCAGAAGAACGCAATGTTTCCTTATATGTTCATTAGTCCCAAATATTTGGCCTGACAAAAAAGCTCGAAACATTCGAATCAAAACACACGACACTCTTTTAATAAAAATTAAAATGGGACTACGAGTTCAGCCTAAATCTAGCGTGAACCTCGATCTGGCGTAAATTTAACGCTTAAATCTTACGTAAAATCCAAGCTGCGACTCCAGCTTAGGAGGTATTTTCATTTTCTCATAATGTATTTAATAGTCGAGGTTAGACTAGCAGATATAATAAGCATCGGTGCACCAGCCATAATTTTATTTGGGTATATCCTATGTTACATATGACTTTGAATTTTGTATAATTGAAATGCACATGGAATGGGCAGGGTGGCCCAGTGGTCACAGTTAAGAGTACCAGGATTGCAGCAGAGAGGCGCGGGTTCGATCCCAGCTCTGTGCGCCAGTTTCTGGTCAGAATCGGCGAGGAGGCCGGGCGGTTAAGAACAGCAAAATTAGAGCAGGGAGTTGTATGTTCGAGACCGCAACAAGCTGTGAATTATCTGCGATGTAACGAATCGTCGACAGGCCTGCAGCCCATCAACGTTGAATTCGTTATTGTTATCACCTAAGATTCATCAGTATTAACGGGATTAGGGATACTGGAATTAGCAGAATTTGGATAACAGGATTTAAAATTTCCCGAAATTATGGAACCAAGGTAATGCGAGGCTTACCGTGTAGCAGAGAATAAATTTGAACACCATCAAGATAAATCAAGGTAAGAAGGATCGAGGTGATTGAGCTAGGGATTACCAAACGAATACCTGCCACTCATCATTTTAAGTAAAATTTGCAGGCTGTTTTCAGACATTATTTATATTTTTATATTGTTGGGAAAATTCTTCAACAAGCCTTCTTGGAGCTTACTAGGAAGAAGCAGAGCGGGCTCGTCTTAAGGCAGACACGCGGCTCTCTGCTAATAACTTTAACCGCGTACTTGAACGGTCACCTGAAGTTCCACTGTTCCTAGTTTTGTGCCACGTTTTCCTAAATATTTACTTACGGTCTTATTTTGTTGTGCACAACCTTAGCCTATTTATTCCTTTGATTTATGGTGCATGTTTTTGTCACTTCATTACGAACGCTTTGGCTGGCCCGTCAACCATGGTGTCTGTCTGCCCTGATTAATTCATTTGCTTAATAGTATAGCCTTTGCTGACCAACACTCTAAATTATGATTAAACCTGGGGAGCATTCTACTTTGATTGGCGGGTATAGTTGAATCTCTTACTTTGCTTTAACTATTACATTTAACCTATAAAAGCCAAAGTGTTCTTGTTAAGTTTTGGTGCATTTATACGTGGAAAAGTGGCGACCTATTTGACTTCTATAGCTCGCGGGTTTCAATATCGTCTAAATAATACCGCATTAAAACTTTCGTCAAAATTTGCATATTTATATGGACACGGCATCTCTGAAAGCACAGCTTGTGTACTTTTGATTTAATAAGGTGAGCTCTGAACTGGAATTAATTCAATACTGAAACTCTGAAATTTTAACAGCTTAGCCTAGTACTTGTAGCTCCGAGGTTTTAATACAACGTATCTTTTCATTCAGTATGTCATCTTCTAAACTTCAAGTTACGACCACCATAAAGCCGACCTGGACGCTACGTTTTCTAAAAACTGTATTTCCTCGTGGAGAACAACTACTACCTGTACAGCAGAAGATATATATGATTAAATCGGTTTAACTCCTTTCATTGTTGTCACTTGATTAAACCTTGATAAATTATTGCGTCTCAACTTAGAGTTTAGGATTACAATCTGCGTAGGGAGAAATACCCTACAATATTTATAGCCGTTTCATTGTATACTAGGCCGTAGGCATGTCGCCCATTCTTAACATCGCAGAACATTCACAGCTTGTTGCGGCCTCGAACTCTCAACTCATTGCTCTGATTTTGCTGTGCTTAACCGCCCGGCCTCCTCGCCGATTCTGACCAGAAACTGCCGCACAGACGGGATCGAACCCGAACCTCTTTGCTCCAATCCTGGTACTCTGAACTGTATCCACTGGGCTATTCTGATTATTTATTCCTGCCAAGGGAGGTAGGACTTGTGTTGAGTTAAAATGTATGGATGAATTAATTCGTTTTCTTATCTCTGTTTGTTGACGGACATCGTAAATAAGTTCAGGTAATCGTCACATTACACACAGCTAAGACCAGGGCTAAACAGTCTGTTTATATAGTCAGCAATGGTATAGAATATAATATTCAATTCATCATGCTATATGGAACGTGGGAACTAGAGACTGTCGGTGAAGCAAAATTTCAGCAAACATTGATGGTAAAATCAAAGAAAAAAAGGTTTAAATGATCTGCAATATCGGCACTGCATTTTTTGGAAGACTTTTATTTCAAAGTTATTGTTGAAATAAACACTGATGATCATCTGTTATGTGATGGGTTAAATTTCAAATTACCAAGATCGGCTCAGTGACTTAAGAGTTTATTTTCGCGATCCTGACTCAGTTTTCGCGGGAGCGCAGCCGTGCACCACCAATTTTGTGCACCAATAAACCCTGAATCGAACGCCTTGGATCTCTCTGGACATCCCCAATGAGCCGTGAACCACTCGGTTTTGTCCTCCTCCGGTCTTGCATAAAACCTGCCGTGCACCACCAGGCCGCGGATTGAATATGACTACCGGGCAACGTTAAATTACGTAATTTTTATGTTTATTTATGTCCACCGCGTCTCAGGTTTGGTTTCAGATGGCATTGTTCTGTTCCAAAATTTATCGTCCTTCTACGAGTGGCCGTTCCACCAAGGGCTGGGTCGACGCACGACCCAGGTATGATTGTCCAGAAGTGTTAAAGGCTACGGTCCGGAAGGCAGGAATCATGATGGTCCATTACATCCAGGGCAGTGGTGGTCTTCGGCAGGCGAACCGTTTTCGTCACAATCGGTGAAATGCTGGATGGTTGAGAATAGTAGGGCAGTGAATTGAAAGTTAGAAATCCAAACCTGCTGGAAGAATTGTGCGATGTCTAGTGTTGGCAGCAGTCCAAATTTGGCTAATTCAACTCTGATACCACTATTAATTGACAATAATATTACTCTGTGATATTTGATAATGCTCTCTTGAAAACCAAAGCTTCGTGAAAAATTAAATAATTACATCATAATAACTTGCTCTTCATTCATCATAATAAATTGACAATGAGAAATTTAGCACAGCGATCACAATATTCATGAGGATATACCTGCATCTGGACTGCTGAAGAACATCTAAACTTTCTTCGATTTGCAATCCTTAGAAATTAAAAAAAAACGACTTCCGGAATTTAGGCCTAGTTCCGGAAGTAAATCAACAGCAATGTTAGGGACGTGTGGTCGTCAGTTCCGTGTTTGAATTTCGCAGCTGCTTTCGTATATAATTAGGTACTCGGGACTCTCGGAAACCTTTTGGGGACGTAAATAAAGAATCCCATCTATGATTTCAGTATTTTAAGTAAATTCTACAATTCGTATAGTTTTCAATCGCCAGAAAAAATTTTCTGAAATTTAATCATGGAGAAAGATGTTTCAGAAACGAGAGCATCCACCTCTCAGTCCCATGTACAAGATGCCAGGAATGAAAGAACTCCACTACTCCAGGGGGAAAGATCTGGAGGTGATGGAGATAGAGGAAATATACCTCCAATCAGAATAAGAAGACCTTCATCAGCACTAGAAGTTCCAAATCAGCCTGGAGATAGAGGTTTACGAAAGATTTCTTCTTATGGGTGAGAACAAACTTTAGTGTAGACTGTAGAAAATATATTCTTTCTGACAGTGGTGACTGGTGAGACTGATAAAACCCCTAAATTCAACTTAATTACCTAACTATATATATTTTGTCCCTAAATTACTTATTTTAAGCATTCTTCACTTTCAAATTAGAAAAATTCTATTTGGATTTGGGACATTTCTAGGTACAGATACTTGAGATAGTATCTAGTAGAGATAGGATCATAGGTATGGCTCACTTAGCCTCACTATGGCCCATTATGACTTTTTCCTAAAATTGCTGGTAAGAATGATCATTTTCCTGTCTTACATTTCATGTGTAATTTTTGAAGAATTTAGATAGAAATTGGCGATTTTTCTTATATTTCCTTGAATAATTTGGAAAAAAAGCCTTTGAGAGTACGAACAGATGAAATTGGTCAGATTTGCAGGCATTTTCCATTTTTTGCTGATTCAGAGGGACTTAGGCTAAGGCTATAACCAATTTTTCACCTTAGAGAAAAATATGCATTTTGCCTGCAATTAGGTATCAAAATTATTTGTTATATGATTATTTTTAACATGGATTTTTTGAAAATTCTGTCTAATTTTCCAAATTGGCATTACTTACTTAGCAAAGGCTAAAGTGCACAACTTGAATCACATTTACTTAATCTGATCAAAATAATAAATTATTAATTTGACTTAAGCTCCTAGTATTGGTTATTTAAAATTCACAATTCTTATATCCTTTTCAGAACCCAGCTCCCTGGTTCATGGGCAAACTACTACAGCCCCTCTCCCTATACTGAAGAAAACAAACCTAATAGGTAACGGCATAGTGACAACTGACAAACCAGAGATTTTTTAGAATTGGTTCATTTTCAATTTCCTCATTTACCCAAAATTTAAACCAATTTCTTATGTATGATAATGCTCTGGATACTTTACTGGTCTACTTATAAGACTCAAAAATGAACTTGATGGAGAGTCTAAAAAACTTACTGCTTTGCCACTATGGCCGTAACGGTATGCTTGTCTCACATACATAACTTGCTAAGATTGATAATTCAGAGGCTTTGCTACTCCTCATATTGGGAATAGTTCCTGTTATTAGATTATTTCCAAAATTTAATGCTAATTTTTTGTTCCAGACGTCCATTCCACATTCCCCAAGTACCTTCAAACAGTAACTTTTATCTTGGAGGCAGCAGCGCTGAGGCAAATTATGCAGGGTATAGCAGTGCTGAGGAGCAAATTTCACCTGAAGCTGCTGGAGGTGCAGCAGCAAGAAGCAGAGGTAGCAACCCTCCCTCAAGGCGCACTTCCACCGTGACAGACCCGCACTCGCAGCTCTATACTCGATACCGCTACTACTCCAGGCTCAGAGCACCTGCTGAACCTGAGGATCATGCCCTGGTGAGACAAAGTCAATGTTATGTAGGCAGTGACCAGAAAATGTGGTCAGATGGCAGTATATATTTTTGCAATTGTCCCAGAAGAGATTGAAAAATCCTTTTGGTCTTCTTATATTTTTTCTATGTGTACTGAATCTATGAATTAAGAAATAAATAGGAGAGTTGCTTAAGAAGTTTATTTGGTAGGATATATGAATACATTTAGTTTGCTGCATAGTTCTTGCTGCTAGAAATCTTGTGTCATTCATCTATTATTCTGTTTTACTTATTAAAATTCAATCTCTTCAGTGTAGTCCAATAAAAACCAGCTATTTAGCCAAGTCTTCAAATGTTTTTTCCCAATGGTTTGTTGTGTTTTAACTTGATAATATATGATTTATGTGCCATGGCAATAGATTATTTATGATACAATTTCCTGATTGCAGCTGATGCCTGATCACGTGGTGCCTATTGACTTCCTTCTGCCCTTCATCCCTGGCAGCAAGGCTGTCGGACCTGATGGCAAGCAAGCTTCATATATCACCATGTGAGGCTTGTGATAATATCTTGTTTCCTTCAGTGCCTCACAATTACTGAAGAAATTAGCAGGTGTTACCAGTAAAAATTAAGAAAATATACTTAATCCATATCTCAGGTTCTTGAAGCACCACCATGATGCAAGATGCTGGCTGGTAAGCATGAGGTTCTTATCACTTTTTCAAAATCCATGAGATGTTTCAAAATCATATGTATAGCAAAGATAGTTTAGTCAATCACATTGCCACTTGGATTGGACTAGTCCCAATTTGTTTCTACAAAAGTGATTGTGAACAAAAATCCTGCATATCTGAGAAGAGTGTAGAAAAAACTAATTTTATATCCCACAAATAACATGTAAGGAAAATTTAATCAACTATTAGGGGTAGAATATCCATGAAACCTAATTTTTCACATTCTAAGGAATTTTCTATTGTCTGTTATATTAAACAGAAGTATGAAAATATATTGATATGCCCCTATTTGCACAACTTTGGATGACCCGGACATCTCTTTTTGCTCAAATTTGTCCTGCTGAATTATACCTTGTAAAGGGCAAATTTTGTTTGTACAAGCTGTTCCTAAAAACACCACTAAAAATTAGCATTCACTGCGCTAAAATGTTTAATGTTTTCATTTGATTTGTGTTCAGTGTACATTTTACTATTGCTCACAAGAAACTTAAGCTAACTATGAAACTTTATGGATAAGGTTGTGTATAAATGATTACTGGTCATTTTCATGAATGTGATGTGCTCCTAAAGATGTTGAGTTGATTTAGTTAATCAACCATATATTTTTTCTATATAGGTAGTAAATTTACAATATAAACTGTACATCGCGACGTGAGGCCCGTAACGTTAGGCCAATTGTTATGCTCTTTTATAAATTACTTCTTGTATTGCATCACGGCATTAATACGTACCTATGTATAATGATGTGCCCGCAGCATCAGCATCTGGAACACAATGATGGGAACGTCCCTGCTGACAATGCCATGGGCGTTTGGCAAGGCTGGCTTCGCAGGCGGCCTGGTTATCATGGTCACCATGGGCCTAGTGTGTCTTTTCACCGCCTACAGGATCCTAACCGTGCAGCGGGTGGCAGGTAGGTGGGCAAGGTGTCACTCCAGCCATTGTGTATCAGTGCAGCTGCTGTTGCAGTGTCTGCTTCAGCTGATGTTGATAATTCAGTTGTTTCTACCGATTCTGCTGCTTCATAAAACAAGTGTAGGTACATTTTGGGCAGCGCATCACAGCAAATAAAGTGTCGCTCAACATCTCATAACGTGCGTCGCCTGTGTCAGGTGTGAGCGGCCCGCTGCGGGAAGCTTCTACTCTGTGTCGGGAGGTGTTGGGGGGCGTCTGGGGGCGCCTCATGGAGGGGGGAGCTATCATCTTCTCCATCATCACCCTGCTGGGTGCCCTGGTCGTCTATTGGGTCCTCATGTCCAACTTTCTCTTCAACACCGGAGTCTTCTTACACGGTCAGGCGGGTAGCTTGTAGTGCAATAGTTTTACAGCGGTATGTAGTTAACTACAGTCAACTCTTGCTTTACTTCTACCTCATCTTCTGTACTCATAAATAACTATTTACTACTAGCGAGAAACCAGTTAGGAATCCTGTTATTTTGTTGCCTAACTGTAAAAACCAGTTGAGTTGCCTAATCAATGTGACAAATCAACAACTTATATGAACCTACCAACCAGACGTGACCTACAAACCAGTTAACGTCACCCATCAACCAGTTAACATTACCTATCAACCAGTTAACATGACCTACCTGCTAGTATCAACCAGTTAATGTTACCTATCAACCAGTTAACATGAGCTACATATCAGATAATGTTACCTATTAATCAGTTAACGTGACCCACCAACCAGTTTACGCGAATTAACTGTTAGATCAAAAGCAATGATTAGATTATCATTGTATCACATATATGAGCAATGACATGTTACAGACACCATCTACGATGACGCGTCGTCGGACCGCAACACGAGCGACGTGTTGTGCCCCGTGAACGAGAGCGTGACGGTGGTTAACTCGTCCCTGGTGCTCACCTCGTCTCTCGATGGCGATGACGATACCAGCCTTTTTCAGTTGTTGTGGGACCGACGCCTCACCGTGCCCTTCTACCTGCTCTTCCTCTTCGTGCCGCTCCTCTGCATCAAGAACACGCATATCTTTAGCTACTTCAACTCGCTCGGTGCGGCACTCTTTTGGCGGCTAGCTTTTCAGTAGGGCACTAGAGACGGTTGGCCACTCTGTGGGGCACTTGAGATGGTTGGCCACTCTGTGGGGCACTTGAGACGGTTGGCCACTCTGTGGGGCACTTGAGACGGTTGGCCACTCTGTGGGGCACTTGAGACGGTTGGCCACTCTGTGGGGTACTTGAGACGGTTGGCCACTCAGTGGGGCACTTGAGACGGTTGGCCACTCAGTAGGGCACTTGAGACGGTTGGCCACTCTGTGGGGTACTTGAGACGGTTGGCCACTCAGTGGGTCACTTGAGACGGTTGGCCACTCAGTGGGGCACTTGAGATGGTTGGCCACTCTGTGGGGCACTTGAGACGGTTGGCCACTCTGTGGGGCACTTGAGACGGTTGGCCACTCTTTGAGGCATTGGAGGCAGTTGGCCCCTCTGTGGGATATCCTGCTGCTTTGTTCTCCTGAAATCTCAGAGCTTTTGTGTTATCATGAGGATGGTAACTGAGTGTCCCACTGCAGAGACTGCAAGTGTCTGAATGCAGGCCTTAGTTGTGGGGTAAGGTTTTTGTGTTGGCGCGGCAGTTGTGGGGTTAAGTTGTGTTTTGCCCGGTAGTTGTGGGGTCAAGTTGTATATTCAGGGCAGTTGTGGGGTTAAGTTGTTGTGTAGGCAATGCAGTTGTGAAGTCAAGTTGTTGTGCAGGCAAGGCATTTGTCTCTGAAACCTCCAGCTTGAACTTCTTGAGGTTCTTGATGAGCGTACTATACAGGTTTTAGTTGAACCTGTTGGTAATGTGCTATGCATATTCCTTTAAATATAGCCTAGTCAAATGCATTTAAAAATGTTGAGTCTTTACCCAATATTTAGTTCTTCTGATTATCAGAATCTAACATGATTCCGATTTGGAATTATGATTAGGTAGTAGTTGGGGCTTTATGGTAGGGTTTTCTGTAGCTCTATACAGAAAAACAGGCGTCTTCATCTTTTTAATCGTTTGTCAAAACCTCGTGTGAGAACCAAGATTTCATATTTTACTTAATAATTTGTTTTTTTAAATGTATTCACTTAATTTGTGTGTCATCTCTTTTCATCTCATTACAAAATTTTTTTTTTTGAATTTTGGTAAATTTAGCTTAATGGCCAAACTATGTGTTGATATAATTTTGCATCACTTGTTATATTCACACTAGAGTGTCATCATAATGCATATAGTAAGGTTCAGTGTTATGACATTGTGAGCATAGTATAAGATATGTTTGTCCCTGTGCAGGCGCCGTGTCGGTGTTCTTCATCTATTTCTTCGTGATCGCCAAGACCATCACCTGGGGCATCAACGTGGACCTTGTGGACTCAAATAACCCTTTCTTCGTGCCCATGATCCGCGTGAGTGGGGCTAGGTCCAATTATACAGTTCAATGGTTGCAAGAGATCACGTATGGTATGAAAGACAAATTTGTACGTGTTGTTGCCTGTGTCAAATGTATAATAGTCGCATATTTTCATCAGAATGGTTCCTAAATGCAAAACAACTTGGCTGTTACTGTTTGTGATCCTGAATCTTGGCTTGTAGTTACAGTTTTGCCCACCCATCACTGGTACTCTACACTAGCATGTAAAGTAGCCTATTTATATTAGTAATATTATATTTTTTTATATTTTATATATTATATTAATATATTTTTAATGCCTATTTATAATCGCACCAAGAGGAACATTAATGCCACTCTACCATTAATGACGTGTGATGATAATGATGAATTGTCTTCTATTTATCAAAAATCCGAAAGAATGAAATGCCATAAAAATCCATGATTGGTATTTCAACAGGGAATAAATCAACTGAAATATTGCATATTCTTGTTCCTATTTTTTTTCATTTAAATTCCTGATTTACTGGTATCAATATTTTTATGATTAACCCTCCTGTTACCTTCGGAACAAAATGACATGCTGCTCCGACGTATCCCGGAGNTAGCCTCCTTATTCCTAAATACTGCCTTGCTGACGTATGTGTCTTGTATGTGTACACACTCTTATCTCTGTGTAGCCTCCTTATTCCTAAATACTGCCTTGCTGACGTATGTGTCTTGTATGTGTACACACTCTTATCTCTGTGTAGCCTCCTTATTCCTAAATACTGCCTTGCTGACGTATGTGTCTTGTATGTGTACACACTCTTATCTCTGTGTAGCCTCCTTATTCCTAAATACTGCCTTGCTGACGTATGTGTCTTGTATGTGTACACACTCTTATCTCTGTGTAGCCTCCTTATTCCTAAATACTGCCTTGCTGACGTATGTGTCTTGTATGTGTACACACTCTTATCTCTGTGTAGCCTCCTTATTCCTAAATACTGCCTTGCTGACGTATGTGTCTTGTATGTGTACACACTCTTATCTCTGTGTAGCCTCCTTATTCCTAAATACTGCCTTGCTGACGTATGTGTCTTGTATGTGTACACACTCTTATCTCTGTGTAGCCTCCTTATTCCTAAATACTGCCTTGCTGATGTATGTGTCTTGTATGTGTACACACTCTTATCTCTGTGTAGCCTCCTTATTCCTAAATACTGCCTTGCTGACGTATGTGTGTCTTAAAGTACACAAGAATAGAGATCTCTGTATAGTCTGTGATCACTGTATAGTCTCATTAAGTTTGTCTAACTTCTATTTTGAGAGAAAAATTTGAGTGCCGGGGAATCATGTATATACAATTATTAAGTTTATAGATAGTCATCTACAGAAATCATTAATAATTAGTTTGGCACCATACACTTAGTGAATACATTTATTATATCAATCTCTTGATTGAGAAAAGCAAAACTTAGGATTAATAGTATCGTATTGTGTCGAATATTTAACAATAAATCATCCAAAAACGTGCTTTTCATGAACTGAAATATTTATTCCTTCTTATGCAAGTACTGACGACGTAATATTTGTAAATTTTTACAAATGTATAACCTGGTCAAAGTACGGAAGCTTCGCCATATTTGAATGACGCAAGCAAGTTACGGCCGCTCTTTGCATGGCTAAAAGTTGCTTTATTTTCGCAGAATTTCTTGGACAACTTCCCTCCTCACGCGACGGCCCTCGCAGTCGTCAGGATCTTCCTCCTCTTCCAGATGGTGACCGTGAGTTCTGAGGGCAGCTGGCTACTAGCAGGCATTTCTGAAGGCAGCTGGTTAGCCCTGGGCAGTTTTGAAGGCAGCTGGTTAGCCGTGGGCAGTTCTGAAGGCAGCTGGTTAGCCGTGGGCTGTTCTGAAGGCTGCTGCACAGGGCAGTAGTGTTTGTGTATAACGACCCTGAACTAGCATTTGGAGTAGTGACGACTGAGCGTCGGTGACTGCAGTGTCCTAAACATTTCTTTGCGTATGTTCAGCTGATGGTGATTAAATCCCACAATTACCCTCATTCCCTGCAGGTGTTCCCGCTGCTGTGCGTGTTCCTAAGAACGCAGCTGCTGTGCTACGTCCGCGGCCCCTCGGCCCCCCCGCCCTCCTTCGTCGCCTCGTCCGCCGTCAACGCAGCCCTCCTCGCCACCTGCGTCCTCGTCGCCGTCCTCTACACTGAGCTGAAGGGGCGACGGAATAATGTAAGAGGGATGGGATGCGGGCTGCCCGGATACTAAGAAGCCTTTGAAGAGCGGCAGGCATGATGCCAGAAACTATGAGTGACGAGGCCAGAACGGTACTGGCGGAAGGTTTTCATGGTTTCTCTCTCAGAGGGCAGAGCAGCAACGAGCGGTGAAAATTTGTGGTTTGCTTGGAAGACCTCGGCAGGTAACCGGTGAGTTGTCCCTCATCAGGTGACCTGCGTAGTAATGTGAAGTGTTCTGTTATGGACTGTTAACGTGCAGATGGGTAAGCGCGTGCTTAGGGCTGGTCTACGTGCTGGTAACGGTCTTTTTAATAGTCTGTTAACGTGCAGGTGGGTGGGCGCGTTCTCAGGGCTGGTCTACGTGTTCCTGCTGCCGTGCGGTCTGCACCTGCAGGCGCTGTTCCTGAAAGGAGAGCTCACGGCGCCCGCCGTCCTGCTGCACGGCTTCGTCATCTGCCTCGGTGTCGCCAACTTCGTCGCGCAGTTTTTCCTCTGAACGCGCGTCCTGTTATGGCCCTAGTGATTCTGTATACTGAAATTCGCGTATTTTATTGCATGTGTTCTCTCGTAAATTCGTGCTATTGCTTGTGCTTTCTGGTAATCTGGGAAAAATGGGAAAAATTTTGTGAAGTAATTTCCTTGCTTATGTCTAAGCAGAATAGGATGAGCTTGCACATTCCATGGCTCAAGTTTTAGATCACCGTGTCTTACTAAAGTGAATATAGGAATTCGCGTTTTTATAGTTTTTAGCGCATATTTCTTAGAAACGGACTGGACAAATTTTAGAGCCCATGTCCCACAATATAGCTACGATCTCTTGCATTCTAAGTTGAACTTCGCTAGAAAATATGCTACAATCAAACTGTATGTAATGGAATAAGCTAGATTCAATTAACAAATAAGTTGAGACATGTACTACATCTTGATGCTGAATCCTTTTGTGTGGAGCGCCCAAAACTAAATAATCACAAGGTTCATTGTAACGCAATTTAATCTATGGTCTAATGGAATCTATGTAACGCAATGGAATCTATGGTCTAATGGAATCTATGTAACGCAATGGAATGTATGTAATGCAATGGAATCTAGGTAACGCAATGGAATCTATGTAACGCAATGGAATCTATACGCCCATGTCAGAGACGATATTTAATGACATCAGACGGGGATAATTCGCTGACAGTTAATTAAATAGAGTCAATACTGACGATATTCTAGTTTACGAATTAATTGTTTCCATGACTATGGGGTTTCTTGACATAAATTACAGTCAATACTCTTGTTAATGAAGTACCTCTGTGAATCAATGGTAGCTCAAACTAGATGCGATAATTTTAATACGGCGGCAAATTGCCCTCTTGTCAGATGGAAGTGGAAACATGAGATCTAATTTAGCTGGAAATAGCAATGTTTTTAAACTACGTTGAAAGTTAAATACGCTTATTGAGGCTGGTTAAATTGGGTGACATGAGGCCACTCGGGAACGTCTACTGTAAGACAACTAAAGCGATCAGGTGATGATAGTGATGCGTTGTAACATTGTCCCCTGTAGATATTCTATGGGATTCTTTTTTTTCCAGCGCAATTCTTTTTTTTCTCGCTGATTTTAATCTCATTTGTGTTTATTTTAACGCCATGATATTAGTCTCTATTTACTCTATTCCTCTTTCTTTTTACTTGTTCACTTCAGTGCTTGGTTTCTATTTTTAGAGTTTAATTTTGGTCTCTGTTATACCTATGCTTAGCGGCATTTGTTCAGGTGCCATTCATTCTCATATTCATGTTGCTGAATGCCTCATGAGCATATGTTTAATTTACAATACTCTACGTGACTGCTAATGTACTCTCATGAAAGCTCGCTGTATTGCATTTCATAAGAATTCTTTCCAGTCTAGTGCATTTCAAGGTCACCAATATACATATGTTTTTTGTTCGATGCTATGCCAAGATTATCTTGATATTAATGCAGTTTGTATTAGTTTGTATTAATATTATCTTGACCCTTAGCTTCTTCTTAGCTATGTCGAGCTGAAGCTTGTGTAACCTTCACTTGCTCCCAACTCGTCAGGCTTTCAGGAAGCTTTTGCCTTGATGTCCGTCACAGAAAATCCAATGCCTGATGTGCACTAAATTGATGCCTGTGGCCCCTGTCACGCCAGGTTATTTTCTTTGTAAACCTATCATAGCTGCAGGGCAGTCTATTTCAACCATCACTGTAGTGACTGTGCTGCGGTGTCTGTATAACCATCTGTGCTGTGCAGTAGTGTCTGTATAACCATCTGTGCTGTGCAGTGGTGCCTGTATAACCATCTGTGCTGTGCTGTGATGTCTGTATAACCATCTGTGTTGTGCAGTGGTGTCTGTATAACCATCTGTGCTGTGCTGCGGTGTCTGTATAACCATCTGTGCTGTGCTGCGGTGTCTGTATAACCATCTGTGCTGTGCAGTGGTGTCTGTATAACCATCTGTGCTGTGCAGTGGTGTCTGTATAACCATCTGTGTTGTGCAGTGGTGTCTGTATAACCATGAGTGCAGTGCTTCATTCACTCCCCGTCTTCCATTTTCAATTATTGTTTGCTAACGTAAGCGAATTTCAGCTGCCCTAAATATCGTTTTTATTGAACGCCCAAGAATTGTTCACTACGAGCGTCTGGTATGCAATATACGGTATGTATATTATTATACACACTATGACGTGCATACTTATGTATAGTGAGTGTCTGGACGAGGTATCCTGTTTGCTATTATTGACTATTCTTCTATTCATGTTGTGCAAAGTCGTTTATTTACAATGAGCTCTTGACTGCAAACCCCCAGAGAGATTATATCGAGCTGACATCTTCTCCTAATATTATAATTTATTTACTCAATAACATTAGACTCGAACGATGCGAACACTGAAGGCTCCACTTACCTGATAAAAGTGCCCGAGTGTGTATGTAAAGAATATACTCGTGTATGTTTAATGTAGAGTTCGATATATAATAAATTTCGTGAGAATATTTCAGAATAAATTTTACTGCTCATGTTTTAAAAGCAAGAAATACCTCGAGCCCATATTATACTCGCATGCTCATGAACTGCTTCTCTGCCTCCATATTCGCAATAATAATCTTATAGAAAATATATTATTTTGATATGGTACGCTTTTATCTTAAGTTCTTTGCTCTTATTACGCTCGCTTGTTATCAAAGACGTAAGTTTATCTCGTTTAGCGGGGAATAACTTTATTTAACCGTGTTTATTCTGTACATTTTCCACTTACATTGATGCAGATGACAGACGCTGGTTAGCGATAGATAATTACACTCTCGTTCACAAGGAATTTAAATTAGAATTAAGCGTTTGGATGCAGAGCAAACCATTCTATTGATAAGAATTATCAATAGAATGATTATTACCTATTTCTATATCATATTACAGATTATTAGTTCTATCACAACGTTATCTCTTCCCTCATTCAGGAAGTTGCTCTGATTATTTTTAGCCAAAGCTACTGTAAAATTTTGCCTTGTTTTTGTTCGCTGCACTGACTGTAAAAGTTCAGTCAATAGAAATGAATGACCGAATGCTTCACTAACAAGAGATGATCTTTTTAATTTGTATTTCTGATTGTAAAATGTTTGTAACGCGTCCGCCAGACTAATCTCGTAGAACCTTGATTACTTTTATTTGTTTTATATCTGAAGTTATGAAGCTTAATGCTCGTGTTATTGCGCCAGTGATGTTATCGTTACATCACTGCTTCTCGAATCTCGCTTCGTGTTCTTAATAGTTATATATTATTCATTTATTTTATATATTTTTGTTTATTCAGCCTAGTTTTCTTTTTACAAAAATTGTTATCGTCTGTGCCTGCCACTGCCTGGAGTCCACTAAACGTGCAAAAACAGTGACCGCCTTTTCGCACTATTTTTTGTTGCTGTAACATCACCAAACTTTCGTCGTACAAAATAATATTGGCTCTGCATTGCCTTTCAGGTACGAATATCATTGAAAAAAACTATTGTCATCTTTGGTAGTATTTTTTTGTGTCACTTGTCCTAGCCCCGTGATCAATGTTAACTGGTGGCGGTAGCGGTTTTGCACATGTTTTATAAAATCAATATTTCGTAAAATATATATTTTACGATCCTTAGATTTAGTTACTTCGTTCGCCCTAGTCTCTCGTCGGATGAAGCTTTATATATATGCATATATTTCAGAGATGGAAATATTTTAATAATTATAGACTCAGAACTATTGTGAAATTTTCCTTGCCCTGCTTCTGAGTATATTTTTTTAGCATCTCGACGAGTTCCTCCTTCACTGGGAACTTTTGACGCGTGTCTGTGCGCGTCAGAAGTCCTATGGGATTTCGCGCTCCTAGGGGGATTGTTCCTAAGCGCCCCACAATAAAGTGCGCAGTGTCTGACGGCTGGTCTCTGTTGTAGGGTTAAGTTATTATGTAGGTAGGATTCCTTGCATTAAGTTATAATGTAGGTAGGATTCCTTACATTAAAATATTATGTAGGTAGGATTCCTTGCATTAAGTTATAATGTAGGTAGGATTCCTTGTGTTTCCCTTCTCTGTCTCTCTCGTGCGGGCGGCCGACGTCCCGTGTAAGCGACCTCTTGTATGAGTGTCTTAGTTTCTGTTGCCCTTCACCTGTCCCTTCTTGTCACTTCGTCTCTTTGAGATGCTAACGCTGCTTCTTTCGCGCCAGCTTCAGAGGGCTGGACAATTGATACCTTCCGCTTCTTGTGGGTGATGCATAATTTGAGAAATTGTCATTTATAAAACATCCCGCCTTGCTTGCGGTATTAATTTCTAACCTCCGGTGCAAAATAGCTTGATATCTGCTGGGACATTTTCCGGTAATAGGTCTTCCTTCCCTATGAATCTCGCTATTAGGTCATGCAGAGGCGTGTAAGATCCGTCTCTACAAGATGATTGCATTGTACTTCTTTCCTGATGTGCACCGGTCCAGACTTCATCTCCGATGTCCATTCCTTGTCTTTTGTTGCTGTACACCTGTACTAGCTGCTTCTTTGTTGCTGTACACCTGTACTAGCTACTTCTTTGTTGCTGTACACCTGTACTAGCTGCTTCTTTGTTGCTGTATACCTGTACTAGCTACTTCTTTGTTGCTGTACACCTGTACTAGCTGCTTCTTTGTTGCTGTACACCTGTACTAGCTACTTCTTTGTTGCTGTACACCTGTACTAGCTACTTCTTTGTTGCTGTACACCTGTACTAGCTACTTCTTTGTTGCTGTACACCTGTACTAGCTACTTCTTTGTTGCTGTGCACCTGTACTAGCCACTTCTTTGTTGCTGTGCACCTGTACTAGCCACTTCTTTGTTGCTGTGCACCTGTACTTGCTACTAATTTATTTCTTTGCGCCTTTTTTACAAGTCTTGTGAATACAGTCTCGATTAGCTGATAGTTTTCTGCCACCTCTTCATGATTACTATTGCTTTATCAACCTTTCAACAGGTACATTCTCAGGTTTGTACATCTAGTTTTACTTAAAATGTGGCTTAAGTCATGACTAATCCGTTTAACGCAAGGTTGCTATTCATTTAAAACCGCAGCATATCTTCGTCTAAAACACTGAAAGAAAATTCAACTGCGCCCAAATGCAGGGTAATAATCCAATCGCTGCTCAATTTTCGTTGATGCCTTTAAAATTTCTTTTAATCGTTACAAGTTGTTGAAAATCTTGATATTTGAAGGTGCGAAATTGGAGGGGTAAAATGTATTGCTAAATTAGAAATAAATCTCGTTCATACGAAAATAAATTAGGTCCACAAATCCATGCATAATCCTTATGATCCAAACAACTCACTGACCGTAAATTATTTGTATCGCATTGTTGTCTGCACTTTTCATTGAATCTTTATGAAAAAAACTGAGCTGCTACAGGCCCGCAGTTGTGATTTTGCTTGGACGATAATCAAGCAAAGCAGGTTTTGTGAAGACGTTCGGCGATGTCCACTGACGTCCATCAGCAAAGCAGGTTTTGTGAAGACGTTCGGCGATGCCCACTGACGTCCATCAGCAAAGCAGGTTTTGTGAAGACGTTCGGCGATGTCCACTGACGTCCATCAGCAAAGCAGGTTTTGTGAAGACGTTCGGCGATGTCCCCCGCCGATGTCCACTGATGTCTATCATCTTGCTCCCGTCTTGCTCCCGTCCACAAACAGTAGTGTTAGGCTAGCCTCCTACTTACCACGAGCCTCCAGACCCACTCTGTACCAGTCGCCCAGGGATCTGGACCTCTGCTCCATGCATCCTACTAGAACCCAACCGTATATCTGGGCTGGTCCTTCAGACAAATATAATTTTATTGGACCGCGATTTCTATTATAATTCTGTATGAGATTATTCAGAGAGTTTTCACACACGATCCTACATCGCCCTAATTCTTCGTTGAGGTGCCCAATAGGGATCATAGGTGTTAAGAATCGGCACCAGGCCTACAGCCTACTAAACGCTGAAACCGCTATTATTATTATCATACGCTGTAGGTGCATGATGGAAATCATACGCTGTAGGCGCCTGGTAGAAATCATACACTGTAGGTCCCCGGTATAGGAATACTGCGCTGTAGGAGCCCGGTAGGATCCTATAAACTGTAAACGCCCAGTAGAAATTATTGGGCACTCTATTGTAATCTTGCTCTGTATGAGCCCGGTTGTTATCCGGCGCTGTAGGAGCCCGGTTGTTATCCGGCGCTGTAGGAGCCCGTTTGTTATCCGGCGCTGAAGGAGCCCGGTTGTTATCCGAAGCTGTAGGAGCCCAGTTGTTATCCGGCGCTGTAGGAGCCCGGTTGTTATCCGGCGCTGTAGGAGCCCAGTTGTTATCCTGCGCTGTAGGAACCCGGTTGTTATCCGGCGCTGTAGGAACCCGGTTGTTATCCTGCGCTGTAGGAACCCGGTTGTTATCCGGCGCTGTAGGATCCCGGTTGTTATCCGGCGCTGTAGGAGCCCGGTTGTTATCCGGCGCTGTAGAAACTGGTGTCGACAGTTCTCAAGGAAAATATGGTCGCTGAGCCAACGCTCTGGAGCTGCGGCCACACTCCTCAGCTTCGTCGCAGGGAGCAGTCGTGGTTTCATCCTTATCACAGATTTTGGTCAATTAATAAGATTTTATTACGAAGGGAGGATAATTCAGTTGCGATGACGGCATTTGTGAAGTTAACGTTCGCCATACTCATGTGCATGCAAGCAGCCCGCGCTCAGGACTTCGGTGAGTGGAAATCTGGAACTTTGACGCTGTTAGAAGTGATGATAGCCTTTTTTTGAGTAATGAGTGGGAAAAACAACTATGATTTTATAATTTATTCCGCATTAATAACTGTATATCTGTATTTTTTAAATTTTTGAAGATCGAACGCCTGAAATGCTCTTTTCAGCATCTGTTGACATGGCATCTGAACTAAACTTTACCTGAGATTGCAAAAGAACTTGCTAATGAGATACCGGCATTGATTGCGTAATTTAGGCCTGGAAATTTAGAATATAGATCCAGCGTGACAAGACTTCGTAGTTCCATTGCGGTTTAAACAGCGACCATCATAGGAGGACTCTGGTAACAAGAAAACAATCTATCATAGCCATGAGCCCCGAGCTCTGCCAGGGACGTTTGTACATAAGATTTAAATGGAAATAAAGTAAATTTTTGTTTGGCATCGAGAGTGAAGATCAAGCCATGCTCATCCATCAGCTGGACACTCCACCAGCCTGGAATTCTCGATTGTTGATGAAGCGCCGAGTTATCGCTGATGCCGAGCAATAATAATAAAAAGATAGATAATCTAACTTTGTAATATAAGTTGTGCGGTCATAACTTTCGCTACTGATTGAATGGTTATAAAAGAGAATAAAATTAATTACAAAATTGTATCGCTGCCATCAGTAGTGTTTAATTAACTGATTTGCGAAGGGTTCATTCGAAATTCCGGAATTTTCTATCGAGTATAATATTAATTTACTCACAAGCTCAAAATTAAAAAAAAAATTATAAGTATTTATAAGATCGAATGTTAAAATTCACTTTTCGCAAAACAATTTGATTGTGAAGCAAAGAAATAATTCAAATTATCATTAGCTAACCAAGGTAAAACTTGTTACGTAACTAGGAGCTACATAATTAAACGGCTGACTTCAACTGCACCCGACGAGCTCCACGAAGACAGAAAATTATTCCCCATTGGATTTATTATTATTCCATTATTCTCAAATTCTTGTGCAGTATAATCACCAACACTTGGACTGTAGTATTGGTACAATACTCGATACCAATCACCACTAGCATAATCACCAATACTATCACCATGTATTGGTGCAATACTATATACCAATCATCACTAGCATAATAACCAATACTATTACTGTAGTATTGGTGCAATACTATATACCAATCATCACTTGCATAATCAGTTATCACCAATACTATTACTATAGTATTGGTGCAATACTATATACCAATCATCACTAGCATAATAACCAATACAATTAAAAATATTCAAAGATTTTCGCCTGCATTCAAATGTTGGTGTCCTTTGATTTGGAACGTTAACTGTAGTATACAATAGTATTGAACTGTCTGCTTGCGCTCGACTTTGTTCTTGTTTGCTTTGGGTTCGATTACTGGCCACAAAACGAAGATTTACAGAAAAATGAACGCTGTCCATGAACAAAGAATCGTTTAATAGAAAAAACTTGCAGCGTATGTTGCGGAATTTAGTTTTTGCGCGAAGGCTCGAAATCTTTGTGATAAAAATTCGTCCTGTCTGGTGCTTTAGAGGCGGACTGGTTGATGGCACACTCGTCTAGAAACGAGATCCAAAAAAGTCATGAGCTCAGTATTGTGAATGATTGTCAGTCTTGTGGTGCATCAAATTAGAAGACTTTAAAGCTACTGGAACAGGTCTACATATGCCCATAAATAATTTACAATTTGGGTCTTGCAGACGATCTCAATTGTTTTTTACAACCTGAATCTGCCGTATCGCTGCACGGGGGAATAGATATATGTTATCGACGTTAGAGTTACGTAATCATGAGTTAGGCGACCAATCAGACCGCCGCAATAAATCTGAAAATTTATTTTAATAACTTCAAGATCTCAAGGAATGGAAAATCTAGCGTCATTTTCACGCAAAAAAAATAATAAATGGCATTCTCTTATAATAAGTTCAGTATAAGTCCACTCTTACCTTGAGTTACATTGCACAGTCAAAGAAATTTCTTTGTCTTTGAAGGAGGACAAGTGTTTACAAGTTCATATTAAAAAGTTGACCTTCACAAATCATCCCGCGTACAAAATATTTTCCTGTTAAAGTGATCTAATATAATAAAATAAAAATAATTATAAATAAAGGAGCCCTTCAAATTTGTCGGTGATATTTGCTAGCCTCGGTGTTTCCGAAGCATAAAATGCCATTGAATGATCATAACTGGACTGCTGTTAAATTCAAAGTTTTTCCCAACAACCCAGTTATTTTCTTTGTCTACATAGACAATATATTTTTTACTGAGCAGTTCGTGTTTAATGTCGATGCACTGGAGACACTAGTCTGTCATATGCACGGTGGGCAGAGAAACTTGCTTATTTGAAACGTATACATTATAAGAAAAATATTACCTATATGTATACAAATGTATTTTGTAATAGCATAATCAAGATTAGGTAAATTTCACAATTTGTCAGTTTTAAAGATGATATCATGTAAATGACTTCTGTTATCGTCAATACATTGTGACAGTCTTGTCCGGAAATTGGTGTGGACTCTTTCCAGCAGCTCAAATAGGAATGTTGGCGATGGCTTAAGACTCTGCATCACTAAGCTGCGAAGTCCGAGTTCCCTGAGACCAGCAGATCTTTGTAAAATCTGCACTAGCGTGTAAGTTCGGCCGTCACCAGCCCTTGGTCTCGTTATCACTTCAGCCACATATTTGTGGCTAACACACCCCAGGCCTCAAGGATATTGCTTGAGGCAAGGGGCGGCTTTAGGTGGCCATATGAATTGCCAGCGGGCGGCCTGAGCTAACATTCTCTGCTATTATTTATGGTTATTTAAAACTAAGTATTTATATTAACAGGCCATGGGCCTATTTCTTCAACGCCGACACGTTCTATTCTATAATTGCCTTTTTATTATCATATAAATCATAATCTTTACACTCACAGCAATAATAATTTAAATCAGAAATTCAGAATTAGAATAATTCAGTGGGCTGATATTAATATTCAGTTTGATATTATTATTACAGATTATTAAGCAATGTGCAATGTGTTGTTACGGCCTACTTTTTAGACTTAACAAAATGTCTACAGTAATAGAATGATATTAATTTAAATGCATATCTTAACCGTATTTAATGAACTTAATTTTAAGGAAATGAACTTTGCGCTCTTGATTAATTATAATAATAATAATAGCGAGGTCAGCGTTTAGTAGGCCGGAGGCCTGTCGCTGATTCTTAACATCGCAGTACATTTACAGCATTTTGCGGTCTCGAACTGGCAAATCACTGCTCCAATTCTGCTGTGCTTAACCGCCCGGCCTCCTTGCCGATTCTGCCCAGAAACTGGCGCACAGAGCTGGGATCGAACCCGCGCCTCTCTGCTCCAATCATGGTACACTGAAACTGTAACCACTGGGCTAATTATTCAAATAAGCATGTTCCTATGCCCCACACTGTATATATTATAAGGATGAATGGTCCATTATCATTCATTTAATAGGAATAGATAAATTGAAATCATTACCTCAATTTACACTTTATCTGTACAAGGCGCAAAATAAACTAACGAAAACCTGGTTAAGTTGCAATTAAAATTCTATCAATAAATGAAATTTCTATCAATAAACGAAAGAATCTGAAGCGCCTAGACCTAGTAACAGCGATGGAATCAACTCGCTAAGTGCAGAGTTTTCGTTGAAAACTGAGGAGTTAATAAAAATTGCGGCGTATCGACATTTTACCGTACAATTGACGACAGTCATCGCTGAACCCACGATACGCAATAGCAAAATGAATTTCTCCTCCTAGCTCTGACCTGGTGAGAGTTTACGAAATAGAAATTTTGGTTCGTGATTTTAAGTAAAGATTTAGGTTTTACAAATTCTGGGACCGCTTCACCCCGTTAATATGGTCATAACACATCCCGCAAGCTGGCAAGTTCATCATGTATTCTAATGAGTCACTATTTAAGTAGCTACTTCTATCGAGTCGTTCCTGCATTAATTCATTATTACTCTCTTATGTTGATTCAATTAAAAATCATCCTTACCATAAAAATGTCCGTTGATGCATGCAACTATAAGTGCAGTATTGCCTGGCATGTGTGTTTAATTATGATAAATTAAGAGAGGATCAACTGATTTGATCCATTTAATTCGCGAGGATAACGTCGGATCTTTTTACGCTCAACAGATGACGCATTATTCATTTTATATTTTCATTATGTAAAACGTAAAAAAACCTAAATAAGTAAATTAGAACTGATCTTGACGAACATCACGCTTCGGCTTCAGGGCTGAGGAGACTTCAAGGCCATTTCGCTTAAAGACGCCGGACACAAGAAGCGGACCAATCAATTCCTTATCGGCATAAACTGAGACCCAAAACTAGTCCTTGAGCAAAGAAACCTAACGTCCTATCGGGCCCTGAAATTCCAATCTAGACTGTGGCATCCTGGTTTCCAGACCTCAAATGTCACGCTGATAACAAGCGTATAATAGTATTTATATGCTTTTGTTTCGCTGTTTCGCCAGGAGGTTACAAGCAAACTTGGACTAAGCACTAGATCAGTTCAATGTTGAAAAATCGCATTCAATGTCTGAGCAGTTGCTGAAGAAAACTTCCGAATGTATTGATGCTTGATTGTGTGGTTGATAGTTTAGCAGGCGTCGGACGAATGGCTGGTGACGAATATATAAACATCAAGGAAAAAAAGCGAAGCAGCTCGGACTATCCCTGTGGAACATACTCAGCTTGGATGTGAGAACCAATGCTGGGGACAAATACCGACATGCCACGATAGTTTGCTAAAGTAGGACTGGGCAACTCAAATACGTTCTTGTACAAATACGGCAGAGTAAAGATACGACTTTTTACTCGATACTAACAAGCAAATAAACTGCGGACTGACTGTACATAAATCTGGTAATTTTCTATGTTTCGGTAGCAGCGTTGCCGCTTGCTACCTGTGCCATCGAACACATCAGATAAGAGCGAATTGTGTGCGGAGTAATGTGATAGGCGTATTCTTAAGGTGATCGTCGGAAAATTGCATGCGACCAAACGTTGACGGTTGTTTAGTCCTTTTTATTTGTGACTACGGTTTCGTTGTCCGTATTTGCACTTGAGAGAGGTAGGTTCACCGCAGTCTGCCGCGCCATATACGGACCGAGCTGTTTCCTGTGGAAATGTTTCACTAAGCTCTCCCGCTGTCACTTAACTCGTAAATGAGATATCACGCTGGGATTTTGAATGCTATTTCCAGCTATATATACATTTATATATATAGGTTAATTTTAAATTAATTAAATTCTCTAAATTATGGATATAGAGATTAATTTTGTAAACTTGGGAATACAACTACTCACATGGAGGAAAATTTTGCACCCCGATGTTCGCGAGGCATTACAATTTAATTTTTTTTTTTCGACATGAGCACCCGTTCTCCTTATTAATAATCCACCGATTAGTATACTATGCATTTTTTAATAAAAAGACTTATGTAGATATAAAGAAATAATAAAATAATTAAAAAGAGAACCGAAGATGTAAACGCAGGATTTCTCCCTAGATTCTTGTAAATAATATTATTGCAGGAGTCAAGTCATGCTCAGGACCTTCCATTGTTATTGCAGCCGTCTGGCGGTCTCAGGAACACGTCGCAGCTCAGTGATGCGGAGCCTTAAATTCAAATTAAAGTCCGTTTCAAATTAAATGGGATCCAAATATTGATGAACCGCGGCTTTCGCATTTGCTCTACTTTCCTAGCCATGCACTCTGAATTTGAATTGTTACTCAATATCTTTTCACAAAATGGCTTTCCTTCGCACCTGGTGTTTACCCAAATTAAACAGTTTATGTCCGAGCAATATACTGCAGTTGTTCCCAAGTGTGACAATAGGAACGCTGTTTACTGTTCTTTCTTTTCCCTACTTTGGCCCCGCATCTGAGAATATGTCAAAGGAATTAAAAGTTTTATTTGTAAATATCTTCCGGATGTAAATCTTCATGTGTTGTTAGTTAACAATTTTAGAATCGGCTCTTTTTAGCGCATTTTCTCATTTATGAAAAAAACCGAAAAGTTTTCTTTTATAAAGATACAGTGAATTTTTGTGGTATTGTCTTTAATTTTAAATTTCTGGTTCGCTTGTTCTCTTTTAACATCATTTTTGGAAGACTCTTCTGACTCCAATTCTTTGTTGTGAGCCTTTTATTTCCAATAATGACTTGATACATTACATATCCGACTCTTATTCATGCTTTATGAAGTAACATCCTTCATTTTTTACAGAGAGTCTCACGCGCAACTGCAGGCTGCAGCACCCAGAGCGTCTCAACGAGTGCGTCGTGGGGGCCGTTAAGATCATGCAACCGAAGTTTGCCAAAGGTTGGGTGTCTTATCTCTTACGTTGGTGCTTAAACTAATATGTGATTGCTGGGTCGGTAATACGCTATATATATAGCAGTTACATGCATCAATGGTAGATGCTAATTTTTTTCCTGCAAGCTCGCCAAAAAGGCCAAAATTTGTTGATTTGCACAGTGGCTAAATGCAGTAAAAACTATCTGACTACCCTTCACCCGACCCTACATCTTCGATTCCTCCGCTAAATCCTCCCTCGCACTCTCATGCACTTTTATCACCCACTATTAGCCTTTCGATCCCAGTCCATTAAGGGAGGTTCGGTTCTTTTTTAAAGCCGATGTACTCTACTAGCTTTGCAAATAAGGCTTCGAGCCAGCGTAGATTTCCGCCACATCAGAGGAACATGCCCGCTTTTTATTTATGGTTTCAAGTTTGTAATACAACGGCAAATCTTAGACCTAAACATCGGCAAAACTTAGACAAAAGATTTACCATAATTCCTGACACATGTTCTCCATACAGGTATCTTCTCTCATCACAGCTTCTACGCCCACTCACCTTCTCCATCATTCGGTTTGCTTATCGTCTTTTTATTATAACACTTCTCTTTCTTCACTTCTTGTTGTTTGTTTGTCTGTCTGCTACAAATCTTATAATCGATATTAAAGACACACTTCTACCTGTCCAATCAATGTGAAATTTTGCACATTTGCGTAAAATTGGAGACAATTCATGCATCAATTGACATAATAAATAATTTTGAAAAATTTTTGTTTTCAATATTAAAAAATTGAAAATAATTTTTTCTGCTACAAATCTTATAACCGATATTTGATACACGTCTACCTGTCCAATCGATCTGAAATTTTGCACACTAGTATAAAGTCAGAGAAAATGCATGAATCAGTTGACAGAATAAATAATTTTTAAAATTTACCAAATTTTTATATATTAAAAAAATGAGAGATACTTTTTTTAATATTTGAAAATAAACTTAGAAATTCATTGTACATGTGTAACATCAAAGACACTGGATTCTTTAGAAGTGTTGTCTTTAAAAAGCAATTTTTAAACGAATATTATTTCGTTTCAATTTCCTCTCTTAGTCGTTATCAATCTTCTATAAATTCTGGAGAAATTCTGGTTTTGCGAAGCAATTCCTAAAATTATTGATGTTATAAGTCAGATTTCCTAATTATTTTTGTATGAAAATCCTCGTGTTCCACAGGCATCCCTGAGCTGGGCCTGCCAAGGATGGATCCTCTGAAGCTTGAGGACTTTAGCTTAAATCAAGCCGATGGCGCCGTGCGGTTCTCCGCAAACTTCAGGAACCTCTCCATCACAGGCGTCGGCAGATTTGAACTGAAATACCTCGAGTGAGTAGAACACTTGCATCGGGTGTTGTGAACAGGTTTAAATACTTAAAAGAGTACTAGAAAAATTATTACGTCGTTTGATGCACCTTCAAGTTCATACGTGAATCTTGCTGAAATAATTACATACATTTGGACTCGGGAGATCTGGGTCTTAGGAGTTCAAGTGGACGACAGAGACGCAGAGTCCACTTGAAAGTTATTTTAGCGGGGACGGCAGAAATACTAAATGGAAAAACTAATTACGGATTACACCTTGGCTGAACTCTCTTTGAACGAAAATAACGTTGAAGTCATGAATTGCTTTCATGGGCACCATGGGCATTATGAATCGTTTAATTCCATAGCCATGGCCTTATCTCTTAATCAATTAATGAATCGCTTTATTAATTTAAATATAGGCACGGAAAGTTGCTGTGGTCCACAAAGCCATCAAGCTCATTTACTCATATGATTCACTTTTCGTATAATTCATTAAACTATGTCCTTGTACTAACACAAATATTTTTAAATCGAATAGGTGACGATAATTAGAGGAAGTTCATGTTATGGTTCTAGTGAAAATTACATTGGTCAATGCACTGTAGGCCAGATTTTAGTGATTGCTTTTGAAGATAGTAAGGCCACGGAGAGAATTTCTGACTGATAATTTATTTTTGCTTAACTTTGTTGTTAATATTAGCCGAAAATTTACCTTGATTCTATTTGAATAACCATCACCTCATTTCTGTCATAAGTAATAATAAGTTCCGAATTTCTTGAAACAGTTAAAATAAGACAATATTACAATAATTTCATGAGTGACACCAAACCATTTCCATCATGTTAAAATCTCGACCTAAATTTATTAAAGGTTTTCGAAGGCGTTCATGTCGTGGCTGTTCAGTCAAAGTTTTTTATAGTATTTAAGAAATGGTTTTCCGCCCTATGGAAATAAACAGTTTCACATTTCATCAAATTTGGTATCGGTTTCTTATGTTAAATTGGAAAGAAAAACGGCGGCACTGTGTTTTATTTGACGTGCCGGCCGGCCACTGAAATGCTGATAATACCATTTTACAGGTTTTCTTTTGAACAGTATATCCAGAAGAAGGCACAAATTTTAAATGAAATACGTAATTAAAATTAAAAGCATAATTAAAAGAAAAAACATATTTATATTGAAAAGCATAATTAAAATGAAATGCATAATTGAAATGAAAAGCATAATTAAAATGAAAACAACGATCTTAATGTTTGTTATGCGGCATCAACTTATGTAATCTCATTCGTGTTATGCTCACTTTGTGTTTGCTCCTCAGCATCAACTTCGACGCCGGCAGCGTACACCTCGGCTGCGTGGTGCCGGCGCTGAACGTGAGGGGTAACTACGATATCAACGGCCGCGTCTTCGAACTCCCCGTCGAAGGCAAAGGGCCCTTCATTGCCCTGCTAGGTACATTCATAGCTCATTTCAACTAAGTACGCATCAGAACAAAAACTGAATTATCTATAGTTAAAGTTTTATTTTAAATCATTTAACTTAGTTTGATAGCGGTTTCAGCGTTTATAACGCCGTAGGCCTGTCGCCGATTGTTAACATCGCAGAACATTCACAGCATTTGCGGTCTCGAACTCGCAACTCACTGCTACAATTCTGCTTTTGCTTAACCGCCCGGCCTCCTTGCCGACTCTGACCAGAAACTGGCGCACAGAGCTGGGATCGGACCCGCGCCTCTCTGCGCCAATCATGGTACTCTGAACTGTAACCACTGGGCCACCACCTACTTAGTTAAGCAAGTATATTTGAAAAATAGAAAGGTATCGATGTCGAACGGAGGCCATTTCATTTCAACGATATAAGCTTTCTGTTTGAATGTTTAAAAATATTAGTCAAGGTAAATATTATTGCGTGCGTGGTCTCTATATTGGAGCGCATGTGCTCGCTGTCAAAATCTTCGCTGCTTATGTCGTTCTGTGAGGATATGCCTGCCAGTGCCTGCTGAAAATGGATTGTTTTTGTTCTGGTGTGTTACGTTTTATAGCGTTGTGTTTGAGGTATGGGGCGCTTGTTGGACCTAGCATGCGTTTTAGGAAAACCCATATTTTTTGGGGATCTCTTTGTGTTTCCAAGGTGCTGATGAGGTCCTGCCATGTATGCATATAACTATACCTGTATGTGTGTGTAGTGACTCGTGTGGAGTGATAAAATGGGAATGATGCGGGGTACTAAGGAGGGAATAGAAGTTTCGTTTAGCTATGTGTCTATTTGTCCCAGTACAGGGTCCGGTTGTGCGGTGATAGCATTTTTTATTTGGTGGTCATTGTGATAGACGTTTTGATGTACATGGGTCCGTCTTTTTGGTTGTTGTAATGACTGTGATGTGTCTGTTCAAGGCTGATAAAATCTCATGACAGATTAAGTTGAATGTGGGATATGGTAGAATTTTATTTGATCTCTTTTCAAAGAGTCGAGTATATATTTTGCATGTCTAATTTTTCACAGAGAGTATCAGTTCGTAGTTTTTAAAGTCATTTCGTCAATATAGCATATGTTATGAGGAGCTGCTGGGTGTGGGGTTGGTCTTAATTGGAACACCTGAATAGTTTGATTAATTGGTATGTATGTAGTTGCCGGAGCCGAGAGAGGAGGGTATTTCCTAGATTTGTCATCGTCATTGTGCATTTATGAAAGGTTTAATGAAGATCTTGTGAGGTCGTTTTCGTGTTTGAATCCGGTCTAAAGTTATGGTCGGTGTCCGACATTTTAGTCTTAGATAGTAGAAGACATTAAAGATTATCGCAGAGTATCTGTCATGGAATGAGAAGTCGATGTCGTAGTTCGCTTTTAGTGTTTTTGGGAGGATGCCACTGAACCCCTGTCAGCGGGAGAGGCAGGCGATATGGCTAAATTAGGAGTACATATAGGCAGTTAATTTTAGTAGCGTGTTGTCGGTCAGTTTCAGGCTGTGCTCTGGGATGTTTGATGTATAACTTGCTTTGTTATTTCGACATTTGTTTGATTGGTTTTGCTTTTGATTGTCTCATTCCATACTTGAAGTTTGTTATGTAACTCGGTGGCAACCGCTTAGAAAACGTTGCGAAATTATCTATAAATGTATATACTATCGCCCTTCTCTCATTGCAGAAGGGGTTGTGGCTGAGGGAGAGGGTTTCACGACTGTCACAAACAACCGCTTGCAGATGAAGAAAATGAAATTTGACTTCAAAATAAGGAACTTTAGATCCAAAGTGGAGAACCTCTTCGGAGGGAACGAAATATTGAGTGAGTTTTACTGGGATTTAGTTTCTGAAATTTCATGTAGACTGACATTTTTTTAAACTAAAATTCCAGGAATAACTGTGATTTGAATGCAGCTACTTTATGTCTTAGAAGTGTTTACGATAGTGGAAACTAGATGCATAGCGGATTCGTAAATTTACAAGGCAACCAAGGCCTTTAATTTAGGTTATTCAAGCTCACGTCCGAGTGGAAAAAATACAGAGCTTTCTCTTTCTCCAACAGGGTCAACTCTGGAGCATTTCTTGTCGGAAAACACCGAGCTGGTGCTTGACCAAGTTCGTCCGACCCTAGTGAGCACAATGGACTCGTTCTTGACGAATGTTGTGAACGTCATCCTCGGACAGCTCCCAAGCGACGTCTCGGCCCGCATCCCCAACGCCAACTCCCTGGACAAGCACCGGGCGCGAACCCTGCGTGTGCAGGCTGAGCGGCGCAACGCTGCTGCCACTGCAAGGAGCCGTGCGGGCTAGAGTTTTGGGTAAACCTAGCTATGTCTGAATTGAATCTAGGGAGCAGGGTGAAAACTTACCTCAAAGCCGATTTTTCTCTTTACTGAGCTAGGTTTAAGTCATCAAGAACTGCGTTGGTTGGCGTCCTGAGAGTACTTCTATATCTAGAAATTCTTGGATACAAGTATATAAGCGCCCTGCCCTCGAAATCAAGTATATAAGCGCCCTATTTTACATTGATTTCGAATGAAACTTGTTAACGACCCTGCTTGTTTTGCTTGTGTAAATGAATTTAATTTCATTCCCTGTCTCTCCGCATGACTATTTCATGGCATTTGTACAAACCAGGAACAATAAAAAAGAAAGTGCACATAAAGTTTTTACCAGAGTGTATCGAACAAACCGATTTAGGCTCGTCAAAACTTCATCGTTAATCGACAAAATTTTGTCACGTCCGAACGAGTGCCCGAAAAAGCAGTTTCCATCATTTGAAGGTTAAATTGTTGAAAGTTGAAGACAACTGGAACATGGCTACCGAATAAAGAAAGAAGATCACATTTCAGTAAAATATCATACACAATGAACAGCTAGTTGCGTGATGGAAGCGATTGATAGAGAAAATAATCAGAGTCCTCGTTTCTTAAAGCTAATTAATTGAGCGATCTTTTTCGTGAAAACAAGCCTTATCGTGGTCATATTCTTTGTCTGTCATTTATTCCTGCGATCTCCATCTTTTTAAAATATCTTGAAATGTCATCATGCAACGGCCCAGAATTTTCTCATCCCGCCTTATATTTCCTCATCATATTTGCTAAGGTTATTGTGTATTCATTGACTCAGAGAGATCATTTTATTTGCAAGTCATTAAATTCAACGGGACGAAGGTACTATACCTTTGAAATCGAATGTTAATTTTTTATCGTTTATGTATTTCACCATATTTTGAGGCAAGGTAGTGAACTCTCTCTTTTGGGTTTTTACTTTTGAAAGTCTTTTATATGAATTGGATAAGATTGAGAATAATTTGACTCGTGTCAATGTGCTACTTATCCGGCCACAGATTTATCTATGAGTGCAATGATTAGTGTAGATATTTACTCTATGTAAACTTCTAAACAATTTAAATATGGACGGTTTTTTCTGCCTAATGGCCTAAAGCCTAAACTTTGACAATGTGTATCAAAATTTGTAACGGAGATTTGTTACAAATAACAGAATTAAAAAAATACATATCTGTGAGCGTGATATCGCATCAGTAGCCTATTAAGACTCAAATTAATGTTTGTATTTAGAGACTGGGTTATAGGAAAAAATAACTTTAAACAAGAATATAAGAATATTTTTTAATTAAATATTTGCGTAGTGGAGCATTTTTATCCCGATCCTTAATTAATCATCAACATCGGTTTTCGATATTTTTCTAAACATTGTTTAAGTTTGTGCAATAATCTGGTACACTTTGCATAGCCTATAGCAGGCATGCTGCGATTATTGTTCTGCATGTAAGTTCTTTTATTTGCGCATATACCTTATTAATACACATTGTTAGGTCTATGTTTTAAGAAATTGAATATTTGAAAAAGTTGCTTTTATTTTGCCCAAAAATAAGTTCTTACTAATAATAATTAAAAAGCTACGGAACACATTAAAAAGATGGGGTACGACAAAACATATACAAAAGATTGAATCAACATAGGTTGAAAAAGATTGAATAAAAGCAGAAACTAAACAGAGGATGCGAGTTGTGCTCTATGCTACTGGAAAACATAAGTGTCGCATGTTATATGAAACAATATGTTCACCTCCTACGAACTTGGACAGCTGCCCATGGTCAAGATCACCATGTTGGTACAGTTCGATGGTAGAAGCCGTTGGTACTGCGTTGGCGCGTTATAAGATAGTAGAATGCCGTTGGTACTGCGTTGGCGCGTTATAACATATTACAGTAGCCGTTGATACTGCGTTGGCGCATTAAAAGATAGCAGAAGCTGTTGTTGTTACTGCGTTAATGCGTTATAAGATAGCAGAAGTCGTTGATATTGCGTTGGTACGTTATAAGATAGTAGCAGCCGTTGGTACTGCGTTGGCGCGTTATAAGCTTGACTTGCGTTTCTACGTCACAAATAAAGACAAAAAAAAACTCTGATCTTTCTTTTCGCATATCGTCCTGTTGATTCTCTCAGCTCTAAAGTAAATATCCCGTGCAATATCCATGGCTGCGCTACACAATTCAATGTTATAACATTTTTTGAGCATGACATTTTTGCATATCTTAAAAAGAAGGAACTGTAGGAATTTTGATAAGGTACGATTAGTGAAATCATGTACGGTCATAAGAAGTGTGCACGAAGATAAATTAGAATGAATGTAGAATTTAAATTAGGAATAATTTAGGAGCATTTATATACTTAGGAAACTAGTTGCAATATTCATGAATTACAGGAGAAACCATGCAATGCACCAGCACATCCAAGAAATTAATTTTGATAATAATAATTAATTAGTTATTTTCTTATAATAATACAGTTAATTAGTTATTTGATTAGGATTTTCACACAAGTAACCACAATCTTATCATTTCATTTCTCTTCCTGGTGATAATGAAATGAAGATGAACGACTGCACCAGTCAGAAAAACTCGTCCTAGCGCTGGAGCTAGGACGAGTTTTTTTTTCAACAAAACGAAGCAAGAGGCGTGGTGCATAAAAACGCCTGACGATTTTTTCACGTGCAAAGTTGAGAGTCACCTTGCCTTAGACACAGTTAAAAAATTCGGACGTTTATTGCGCGGTTGAAAATTTGCAGTGTGTCGCTGCTACAGAACTCGTTGCTATAAGAGAAGTTATCTCCATAGACGCTACAGCCTTCATATTAGACGCTGCAGGGCTCTGAAATCCAGACAAGTAAGGCAGCGCTTATGTGGCAGAGAGGATATAGTCTCACGGATGTTCTATGAAGTGCGAACACTTTACTTTTACATCAAAAATATTAAGCACAAGTTCAAGAGGAAGTAATTATTGCAATAACATTGCAATTTGCTCGAATGATGATTTAAGTAAACGATTATAGTTTATATTGTATCATAATAGTGAAACATTAAAATACCCATCAATGCTCTCTTGAACCTGGAAGTATTCAAATGATTGAAATCATTGATTTAATTCTTTAATTCGCGTAAATCCATTATTTTAAATTGAATGAATGATTTCTAATTCGTAGTACAAATGATTTGAATTTTGATCAAATATGAAGAAATTTATATCCAATATGAAATTTCTCTGCATCCTTGTAATGTAGATTTAAGACTGTCATTGCAAACAATGGAATGTAGGATACGATGAAGCAGAGTAAGCCTTGTGTTCTAATATAGTTGCAGGAACAATACCATGCGAAGTATATGGAAACGTAATATTGATGATAAAACATATGAGACCTTACCAAATGGTCGCCAAAAAAATATATATGAATATTAGCAAAAATAATAAGATAATATAAGATTATTACACGGCAAATGACATGTGAAAAACAGATTAATTTCCACACTTACCATTGTAAAATGACCACACTTACCATTGTAAGTGTGGCACATATCGCAGCAAAAATTACTCCTATAGAAAGTTCTCGCTCAAGACCGAATAGCTGCTACTCTGGCGAAAATATTTCGTCGTAAAAGGACTTCAACGTCCATGTCGCGACTCATCGCGGTTTATTATTATGAGAAATTATCGTTCGAGGTGACAAACATCGGACAAGGCATTTTTGATGAATGGGCAAAAAATGCATTTAACTCATGTACAAAGTATAACTCATAAATTGTATTGATGAGCATAAAGCTATGTAAGCTAATTTTTGGATGAAAGCAAAAACGTACACGCTGGTAGCAGTGTACTCAATTTCCATCTATGCGTAATTTGTCAAAGTGTATATAAGGCTCATTTTTCCTCTTCACAAAACTCAACTAAAGAACTATTCAACCAGTTTTTTTGCGGCCTGCCGGATACTGAGAAATTATACGTTAAGTCAAATATCTTATGGGACTGCAGATAGAAAAAATTGAACTAGATTGTCAGATTTGTGAACAGATCGAAGAAGAAAAAACTGGACCGTCAAATTATCGGACACGAGGTTATCATCTTCGCTTCCATCTCAATTTCAGTAGTGCCCGAGAGACAGTGAATTACGAAATAAATTCATAATTAATAACCGTGCCAATCCGAAAAATTTACGAGCATCAAGATTAAATTGTGTTATTCAAAAAACCTGGGCAAGCTTAGACACGTAATTTTTATTTTTTGAATTTAAAGATACCGACGCTATGCAAGGAATTGCCTCTTATAAATCAAGGAAGAGATTAATACAAATCACAATATTCAAGTGAAATCACTTACATTTTTATGAATTTTACGCTTTCAGTAATTTTTAGAATAAAAGTTCTTAGGCGGACGCCGACTCCTAAGACAAGGCATTACACGAGTGCAATGATTTTTTATTCCAGTTGATTTCATTTTTAAAATGATTTAACAACCACGTAATTATATAAGTTTTATAACTTGTAATATAAAATTTTCTTCTTTAAAATTTACAGAAAGAAATCACGTTTCTGGTACATAAAAAGTGGTAAAAGTTTATGAAATCTCGTTTACAGCAGGTAACCATATAAAATTTGAAATATTTGTAACGCAAAAAAAAAAACATTTCGAAATATTTCAAGTACCAACGGCGCAAAGAGAAAAACCAAAGGAATATGTAGTTTGATGACACGAACATACAAAAAATGGTGTTCGCTCATCATATTTCAAGATACGGTACGATGAACAGGTAGAACTTACGATCGAATGTTGTTGTCAAAGCATTTCTGGACCAGCCATCGTTATCTTCTATACATGCAATTTTCATTTGGACGCAATTAAGCGGCGAAACATCGTACGATTATCTTTACGAGTTAATCGTACGATGTGTTCGACTTGTGAAGGCCAACAATCGTGCACCTACATTAAAACCCGAAGAAAAAATATTAGGGTTGAATTAATCTGAAGTTTAGCTATATAAGCGCATGAATAAGCCTTCTAAATATATTGTCGATCAACTATAATCTCACCAAATGAGACACAATTTCATATAAGATTTTTCCTGGATAGAAATATTTTTTACTAATATAATTTCAAACGGAGACGCCCGATTACAGATCATTTCTATGAAGCGTTGCTATTAAGGAGAAGTTTTAGAAAAATTGTGAATAATTTTAATGATAAGCTCTAAAAGGCAAAACGTGTTTGGATTCCGGCAATTCATTTCAAATACTGAAAATTCAGAAATCCTGCATTGTGGCACACGATTAACGCTTGAGACAATTTAATTTATTTACACTTTTTTATATAGTTTTGGCTGTTGACTTTCTAAGGTATATTATTTAACTTAATTTATTTATTTCTAAGATAATTTTGGACCTCTCAGATTATTAGAACCGTGGAAAGGACGATAAAAAAAGTGGAAAGGCATTGTAGAAATGACTATCAATCGGTGGCTGGATACTCAAAAATGAATTTTAAAATTGTGAAACACTCACCGAACAAATTCTGCAGTTGGATTAAATAGGTCAGTCTATAAAATGAAAACCCTAATTAATATTTTCGGATAATGATTATGAATTGAGTCCCAAACTTGCTCATAAGTCTCTGTCAATGAATTCTCAATATATGCAAATAAAGCAAGGAATGTGACAATAAATAGCATCTTATTTTGGTTATAAATATCCGGTTCAGCAGATATATATAATTACCTTGCCCTAACGAGAGTTTTTGTGCCCATGCTCAATATGTACGATAAGTTTAATTGTACGATAATATTAAACAATCAAGACTGTATGATAAATAAATAAATCTTAAAATCATTCATACATACTTTGAGGTTAAATTATGAACGAAAATTGTTTTGGATGATTTGTTAATACTCACGAACATTCTTAGCGTTTAGGATCATCCAGAAATGTTGCTCTTGAGATCTTCATATCAATAAAAAACTGCAAAATTTTAATTAATATTTAGTGTACACAAAGCCTGCAGACTGAATCTGAAAACTACGTACGCCACTTGAAGTTAGCCGTCCATCGCGATCCAGCAATCTTGTAAGTCCTTGGCGCATACCAGATGTACAACCAACAGAAAACTCGGATTCACCGTAAATTCTTCGAGAATGCAGTCGGAAGAGAGGCCCATGGCCAGTATATTAACTGCAGGTGGAACACGCGTCTAGCACTTCACATCAGCTGCTTAGATTTGGTGGTCGCCCGCATCTCAGCGTTGACGAGGACTTCATTGTTTTCTTTTTATTGCGAGGGCCATATTTTATTTTTGTCACTTTCAACATGACTGCTAATATTCTTAGGAGCGTCGTCGTCTTGCTGGCCCTGCAGTTCGTCTTCTCTCAAGACTTTGGTGAGGTTCTATTGTTTTTTATCTATTTTTCTGCCTTGTTACTGTACGATAGCGTGAACAGTTATAACATTTGATCAGCGAGCACAAACGAGCACAGCTAGTGATCACCACTTGCTTGCGGCCAATATTTTTTTCGGCGTGAAGGTCAGCCGGCCACGATGTAAATTTTTTGGTGAGATAACGAGCCTGCCTCCATTAAATGCTTCGCGGAAGCCAGCTTCTAGAGTCTAGACGGTGAAGTACGGAACTGGCCCCGTTAGCAACACCCGCAAGGTCACAGGTAGCTAGGGTGTTCTTAATTGTTTAACAGTGATTCGAGTCCGATATATCTGTTTTTTTTTATAGTTGGGGTTAAGACTTGTGGCGACAAATGCGCCCACCAGCCTGTTCTCTGTCAGAAGATATATCTGTACTTTTGCTGGATAGAATGCCTTGTCGATCGTTGTTTGAGCATGGCCTGTGATATATATACTATATCTAAAATTCAATCAGAGTCATTTACGTTAAAAATTTTCTTTAAAACATTGTCTGTTAAATTATTTGATACGTATTTTAACGCTGAAACTGTAAATTTATTGATCAACAAGTGGACGGTAGTGGAAGTACCACCATATTTTGATCTTCACAATCATGCATGGGATGGATCATATAAATGACTATTTCATGATATTTCGTATTCTATTTTGGACGGCAACCCTTCCGTTATTTTTTTATCAGCAGAGAGGGGATGTTTGAAACGAAAATGGCCATTTCAATCGATTTTGCAATTATTTCAATGCGTTTTAATTAGACATCTATCGTTAAACAGAACTGGATGCCGAAACACGCATTGTGCTTAGCTCCACAAGTCTGTCAATCAAAAACGATGTGGACCAAATTTAATTAATTTACTATATGGCTTTATTAAATTCAATTCAAAAATTTAATGCGCCGCTGCAGACATAGTCAACATTTTTTAGTAAATTTTATATTTGATTAAAACAATTTATTAACGATTAGTTTACGTTAGCTAGAATAATAGAAAGGATACGTTAGCTTAGAATAATTTGGACAAGGATAGGTTAGGTTAAGTTAGTTTAGGACTTTAGGTTAAGTCATTATGATGTCGTATTTATAAAGGACCCAACATATCCTCATCTAACGTAACCTCTTAAAAATATAGACATTTTTTTAAACCTGTGCCTACAAAAAAATTGACTAAGCTTGTGACGGTGCATTCACAATGATGAGCTATGTTTTATATAGTATCCAGATCGGTTTAGAATTGACGAACCAACGCCTTGCTTACGTGAGGAAAACAAGTGTTTTTTTTGCGTTCGAGTTCGCTAGCAAGATTTCAGAAAAATATTTATTAGGTGGATCTTGTCGAATGAACAAGTTTCGAAATTATGTTCTTATTGCTGCAAAAAGTTTGTTAATAGCTTTAATCTTTTTTTACAGGGAGCCTAATCCGCAACTGCAGGGTGCAACATACAGAGCGTCTCAACGAGTGCGTCGTGGGGGCCGTTAAGATCATGCAACCAAAGTTTGCCAAAGGTAGGTTACCTCTTCGCAAATTAACGCTTGCGTGCGAGAACTCGTAAAGCGCAACCTGAAATTGTGGAGTGAGTGAATCTTTGCTTTTTATTGGAATGGGAGAGATAGTGAGGTTAATTTTAAACGCCTCGGCCGCAAGCAATACACAATCCTGTCTGTACCAGGGATCGTTTAAGAGTCCTCCATAATACGCATCGATCCTTTGAATAGGCATTAAAATAGATTGCTTTCATATCTTCAAACACACAAGTAAAAACTGAAATGAGATGAAGCAGAACCACCGCTGAATTCTTAAAGATATGTTTTTTACAGATTTATCGAACTCGTTTGAGGAATAATTATAAAAAATAATTAATTTATATTAAAACATTTTAAACTGTATTTTCCTGAACTAATAATAATTGCCCTCTGTTTCACAGGCATCCCTGAGCTGGGCCTGCCAAGGATGGATCCTCTGAAGCTTGAGGACTTCAGCTTAAATCAAGCCGATGGCGCCGTGCGGTTCTCCGCAAACTTCAGGAACCTCTCCATCACAGGCGTCGGCAGATTTGAACTGAAATACCTCGAGTGAGTAGAACACTTGCATCGGGTGTTGTGACATGTTTTCCATCATTATTGTCATTATGCATCACGCTAAGGTGCAAGATTTTCCAAATTTCAGACCATTATCTTGCGTATATTTTTTATAAACTTAAAAGATGTTAGTACTATAAGGAGGTCAGAGTTAGGGACTGAACGTAAAGTAGCAGTAAATGCGATCGAGTCTTTTCTCTTCGTTGGCAGTCACTTGAGTGTCGACTCATGTTCCAGACACGTCTCAGTTGCGTATGCAAATACGGAATGTGTCTCAGTACATCGTGGACTCAATTAACTGCACCTGCAGGCGGCTGATTCGTTTAGTAGGTTCTTATATATTATCCCAAACTCATAAATATTCACTGTTTTTCACATGTGATCCCTTTCAACCGCCATGAAGATAACAAACACATTAGATAGCTGAAAGAAAATTTATATTAGGGCTAGTGCCAATATTGAAACGCCATTTATGGGCAAACTGCTAAGTAAATTTTCGATGAGAATTTGTCGAAAACCCATTCACGCTTACATGTTCACCTCAGCTTTCAAAATTCATAGGCTATTGAATTTTAGAGCAGTCGCCCATCGAAGACTGTTCTATTGAAATTTCGGGACCAACAATCGGTAGAATTTCGGCGCCTCAACCATTAATAGGTCTCATATGAAGGCAAAAATTGTGCTACAGTTCATTAATGCAATTATTTACGGAGCTTTTACAATATTTTTTAAAATGTCAACTCAAATGATTAAGAACATGTCTCGATGGTTCTAATTTAGTTTCACAGCTTTTTCACACATTGATTGATGATAATTATACTACAGCTAACAAACCGACTCTGAAAAAAACGGTGGCTCTGTATCAGAGTCGTTTTTATCTATATTTTCCGATTGATTCCTTCTCACTAGGAACCATGGAACAATATATATAACATAAAGGAGCAAAAAAATATCATATGCGAATTTTATTTTATTCGCTGAATATTTTAGAATAATCTAGGGAAGTAAGATAGCGATAGAACAATGTAGTTAAGTAGTGTTGTCGTTTTAGAATAAGCAACATCTTGCCTATTGCCTACTCGATCTGGACATCGTGTAGTATTCATTTTTATGCATGCATTTATTTGCAACTTTGGTCCCCAGTTTTGGGTTGTGACCAATAATCACTTTATTTCAATCCTTCAAACGATAAATATTTATTAAGGTGCACACTAATCTCGAAGTTAATTGTGCAGCATCAACACCGTCGCCGGCAGCGTACACCTCGGCTGCGTAGTGCCGGCGCTGAGCGTGAGGGGTAACTACGATATCAACGGCCGCGTCTTCGAACTTCCAGTCGAGGGCAATGGGCCGTTCATCGCCCTGCTGGGTACATCTATAGTCTATGAAATACAGAAATGGTATAAAACTGACTGAAAATTAATATAAAATTATTAAGTATTTGTGATTGCGTTTGTTTCCAATGTTGTAAACACATTAGCAATGAATTAAAAGATGTCAACCGTGGTATACTAGAAGCCTTCAGCAGTCTTGAAGCAGAAGTCGGAATATTTGTTAAAATTTATCCAAAATTTAATATTTGATTAGGACCAGGGAATATTCTGAGCATCACTTATTACCCGATTGCATTTGGAGAAGCCATGAATACAATGCAAAATTCGAAGAAGCCATGAATGAGGAAACAAAATTATTTGCATCTGAGCAATTCCAATGGCATCCGTAGTACATTCTTCCTTTCGTCCTTTCATGTTAGTGTGCAGTTAGGTACTCGTATTCCACGCATTTATCCTTAGTTGCTATACTGCTGTTTGCTCACTGTCCTCCCATCTCGCACTGCAGAAGGGATCGTGGCTGAAGGCGTTGGGTTTGTGAGTGTCCAGAACAATCGCCTACAGATGACTAGGATGGAACTTGACTTTAAAATTAAGAATTTTAAATCTAAAGTGGAGAGGCTTTTCGGGGGCAACGACGTACTGAGTGAGTTCTGATAGGAATATGCATGCATTGTCAGTCATCGTCCATCAAAAACATGGTAGGAGTATTAATACATGAATGAAATAATCTTATTCACAAAATTTTTCTTAATATTTCAGGGTAAAATTGACATACGTATTAAAATTTTTTAGAAATTCATTTTGATCTGATGATATACTCGTAATTTAGCTAAAATTTATACGAAACTTGAGTTGATTGTCTCACTGTCAGGGTCGACTCTGGAGCATTTCCTGACCGAAAACACAGACGTGGTGCTTGAACAAGTTCGCCCAACGCTGGTGAACAACATGAACTCGTTTTTGACGACGGTTGTGAACGTCATCCTCGGACAGCTCCCCAGTGACGTTATGAGCCGCATCCCCAACACAAACTCCCTGGACAAACATCGGGCGCGCACCCTGCGTGTGCAGGCTGAGAAGCGCAACGCTGCCGCGGCTGCTGGGAGTCGCGCGGGCTAGCGTCCGAGTCGAGCCGATTTCTAAATTAGTTTTAGGCTCTCATGAGGATGATAGAAGTGGTCAATATACTGCATCAAACAGCTCTTTAAGAATAGCCTAATTTAATTTAACAAAGCGGACGAGAGTCTAGAAGAACCCATCTACGAATGGAATCTAGGATACCAGAAATCGAGTGGTATAGAGTTTTTAGAAAAACCACCCCTTAAAAATATCGCGATTACGCGTGCCGTGGCATTCTTAGCGTACAGCTCTCTGTAACTAAGTCATGGACATCAGCGACATGCGTGAAAACGCACTTATAAACTGGTCTTTGATTTGAGTTTAACGCACCAGATGTACTGAAGAGATTAGTCTGTGAATCACACTTATTATCAAAACAATATTAACACGAACCCCGCTGGCAGACGTACTGAGCGAACTGTCCATAGAATTAGGTGTTAAAAACCTGGAACTACGCGGGCCAGACTACTGACCGAACTTCTTGGATGAGAGCCCACCGCTTGCTGTATACAAGCCAGCTGAGTTACTTCATGAATGCATTCTCCCCTGCATTGGTGCTTCAAAAAATATGTTTATTGTAGGACATCCAATAAAAATTTTTGCTGGAATAAGGAGCACAATGTTTCCATAAGCAGGTAGGAGGTTGACTTATATTCACAGAATCTAGTAATTTAACTCGGTGTCAGCTAACTTCTCTCGAGGGAAGATTCAGATACGGAGAAAAAAGTAATAGTAGTTGTGGTGTCAGCGTTGAGTAGGCCTGTCGCCGATTCTAAATGTAACAGAGTCCTTACAGCTTGCCAGAGTTTCAACTCATTGTTCCAAAATTGCCATTCTCATTCATCCGACCTCCCGGCCTACTTAGACGAAAACTGTCACAGGAAGTAGTGATCAAAACCGAAACTCATTGATTCAATCCTGGTATACTGGACTGTAACCACAAAGTCACCATGTCTCGCCAATGTTAAAGCTCGAACCAATAAGGCCTCGTAAACCATTGATAAATTCAGGTACTTCGCTTCACGAACCGTTTGACCCAGTCTATTCAATAGCAGAATGAAAGCTATGATAAGTCATATGTGTGAGCCCGATCAATAGCCCATGCGTTTAAAAGCTCATAGCGTCATTGGAAGAAAAGTTATCGTGTATTACCTAATCATTGTTTGAATAATTTTGCTGAATGTAGCTTTGCTCTGGTTTGCTGTCTCACAGGCAGCCAGAATAATACAGTTTTGTCGTCAATACTTAAGCATGCAGCCTGTCAATGACGAATACCTGTCATTGAGGACCTTAACGTCGAGTTTGAGACGTGAGAGAAACGGTACAAAGCAGGAATGTGCAATTTAGAGAAGATATCTCCAACCCCCGGTCTCCAGCTCAATTTAGGCTCTGCTTACCTGCCCTGGCGGGCTTTATCATGCAGCTGTCGCCAATGGCTCCACATATCGTGCAGCTGCCAACCAGGGGCCGTATTATCAAAACTTCGTAAGTACGCAAAATCGAATTACGAGTGGCGTAAGTGCCGATATGATGACGTGAAGTTGCGCTTCTCTAAATCATGCAGCAGGGCAAACCAGCTGAGTACCTGCTCTGAGCGGCTCTAACAGTGCTCGGTGACTGTCGAGTTTGACCGATTGTGTTTGACCGACGATTTAAAATTATTTTCTTTTGTCTCTCGGTGGGATTGGGAGGAAGTGACTACGATCTCAGAATATAGTGTTTCATGAATGCTTTTAGAATAAGTACATTTTACCGTAATTCTTTGCATGAGCGGAAATCTTTAGACGGCAAATTAAATTGTTTTGTTATTTAATGAATAAAAATTTGTATGCAAGTCACGTGGTGAAAAATCATAACTGGCACTAAAAATGGACTCAAATATTGTATGGTGGATCAAGTACAAAATAATAAAGAAAGCTGCCCACTACCTTGCAAACTATTTTTCCCCTCCTCATCTCGAAACTCCATTTCATGTACGTCCAGTCGTCTCCATTTGAGGCTTCAGTCGGATAGAGCTATTCGCTGATAAATGGACAGTTGTTTTTTCATGGCTCTGCCCGGTTGGCATGCAGTTGTGCTAGTCAAGGTCTGTGCTGGGGCTCTAATTATTCTGGACTCTAAATTCCACTTGGGTGGGCCTACGACGGTAACGGATTTACTATAAAGTGACACTCTTAGCAAGCGCAACAAGCAATTTTGATTACAAGATTACAATCAAACATTAAAGCACTCGCCATATGGTTATTGAATTAGTCTTGCTTCATTTTTTATTCATATATTTAAGGCCTTTATAATAAGGAAAAATTTTTGGGTACGAGTTGAACGGTAACAGCCGAGTCATGCCACTCATTTTATTTGCCAGGTCACTGGTCTCTAGCTTGATACTCAATTTGGCGGCAGGTTGGTATTTGCAGTCAATAAGTTTTCTGAACAATAAATAATAATCAACAATATATCTCATAACCTTCGCTTGAGGTGATCGCGTTGATTTGTTTTTCATCGGCAAGTTGGTCATTCTTATCTCTATATCTTTATTAAAGCTCGGTAACATCAATAAAAGATCTTCGAAATTGTTGGTACATGCGCTCTCAAGTGACCGAGTTGCTCATTTATCGATAACTAATACCAAAGGAAATGCATCACATTTGCTTGATAAAATTCAACATAACCTATACAATGTATGTTGTTACGAAGACAATCGAACATTGGCCATGATACCGCATACCCCATCGACATATGAAAGAATATCTCCTGATCCCCATCAAATTGAAGTCATGAAAAATGGAGACATGAATACACTAAGATCCAAAATTAATAAACCGTCTAAACGCGATGGAAATGCCTGTAAAATAATTGGTGTACCATATCTTGTTTCAATATTTCACTGTAAAAAGATTCTGAGACCTGCTCCATCAAAATTTCAATAATTCAAATGCAGGCAAACGGACAACTAAATTTACATGTTGGATGCTCGCAACAAAAAAGGCTCTAACCATGCATTAATTAACACTTCATGCTAGGTTTCATCGGCGCCATGAATCTGTTAACAACATTTGTTAACAACATTAATTTTCAACAGATGGACCAAAGATCCGATCTTTTCGTACGTAAAAACCGCTTGCGGCCTTCGGACGATTGTAGGGTAGAGTCGCAAACAAAAATCTGGTTTGTTTGGAATTATTCTTAAATTATGGGTACTTAGTTTTGTTCGTCTAAATTTTTGAATACTGTGTATCAATATAATGACAGTAGTTTAATTTATAATAAACGACCACAGTTGTTAATTTGTTTTTTACTTGATCATAGAACTATGTAGGAAGGAATTTAAAAGCAAAGAAAACACCAAGCAAATTCACTATATCGATATTGAAAACGTTTCGGAGTCCAGCTCCGTCATCAGTTCGAAAAACTACCAATGAATAAAATCATATTATTATATCAAAATTCAAAGACAGACATAAACCTAAACAAGATCGAACATTATATGAAAAAAAAACAGGACTCGATTGGAACAACTTTGTTCTAGGGTTCACGAAAATGATATAAAAGCCTAGCGATTTATTATTTCCAGATTATATGAACTAAATGTATTATTGTTCATATAATCTGGAAATAATGAATCGCTAGGCTTTTATATTCTTTTCGTGAACCCTAGGACTAAGTTGTTCCAATCGAGTCCTGTTTTTTTTTCATATAATGTTAGGTCTTGTTTAGGTTTTATGTCTGTCGTTGAATTTTGATATAATAATATGATTTTAACTTTTAATTTTTCGAACTGATGATAGAGCTGGACTCCGAAACGTTTTCAATATCGATATGGTGAATTTGCTTGGTGTTTTCTTTGCTTTTAAATTCCTTGTGAACTTGCGATATAAGCAAACTGATAATATAAGTAAGTTTGTAGGAATATCAATTATTCAGTTCTATGCATCATTTCGCCTTCTCCTGGCAATATATGCAGCTCTGGACTGAGCTTAGTCCTGCCAGACAATACGTCTCCATTTAAAATTATATATTCAGTCAGAATATAGGTTTGCGTATTTGAATAAGATGTAATAGTCAAGATGCATAAATATAACTATCGAGAGCATGAATGTCATGTCCACACGTACGAATGTAAATGTGACGAAAAAGGTGTTGATTAGCGAACAGAAAGGAAAACTAAGAAGATAAACCATTGTTATATTACAGAGAAGAGGATTAGCAACTGTTTGTGTGAACTTGGATAGTTAACAATGTTAGTTGTGAAAAGGTGCGGCGCACTCGAATAAAATATACGTTATATGTATAATATACGTTAATAATAATACGTTAAATTAAGTATTCGTTAATATACGAATACTTAATTGCGTCGGCGATGATGAACTATGGAACTAATTCACTCGTCTCGTCCATAAATTTTTATTTTTTCAGTCTCGGCATGAATAATCGAACGAGGATGTTCAAGGTTGCGCTTCACGTAGATGCAGTAAAAAATGATTTAAAGCTTCAAGTCACCCTGTAGCTGGTGCCTCTGACGGTTTTTTGATTTCGTCCGAAGGTGAAATCAAGGTGAAGCACCTAACTGAGAATCTATAACGCTTATGATTGGTCGATGGGCAATCCAAACCTGTGCATTTGTGGTTACCTAACACGTGTAGTCGTGGTTGCCTAACACGTGCAGTCGTGGTTACCTAACACGTGCAGTCGTGGTTGCCAACACGTGCAGTCGTGCACGCCATGCAAGGCCTTGGCCATGATCGTTACGACTCGCTTTACTTTGTGTGTGGATATTTTGAAGGCCAAATTTTTGTTTATCAACAGTACAATTTATAAAGAATACATTTGTGAGGAGTTCCATACTTCTACCATTCGTTCGGCAATGAATCCTAGCTTTTGGTTTATTCGGCATAAAATGAGAGTAACATAATGTAAATATCGGACTTTTTATTATAGATTAGAATTTTAATAAAATTAATAAATTTAAAGTCGATTTGAATGCTTATTTTTGTATTATGTATTATATATATGTTAGCATTTATTAGGTACTTGAAAAATTCAGGATTGATTTTCTAAATTGCACTTATATGAATCGTGGAAAACTTGCATGTATTGCACGCTATTAGCTTAAGCAGGTCTCCCATAGTAATTAAGTAACATCGCGGGCTTCACAAATCGGGCCATCAAAAAGCACAATTTAGGATAGCAATCTAAGTTTTTCCAGTTCGCACAAAGTGTAAGATCAATGAAAATATTTTTCTAAATATGATTTTGAAAGTTTTGTTTGCTCTGTCATCATTGCTTCTTGGTTTCCGATGTGTAAATCTTTTGTGTACTTATAAGTTATCGATGCAACATTCAATTACTAGCAGAGGCGGGGATGCGGCACTGCAAGAATGGATTAATTTGTCCAGCAGACAGATCAGTGTAATGTACGTGCACGTGTTACACGAGGGTTTCGAGATAAGGAAGAGGTGAACAGTTAGAAACATGATAGGAGACTTCAGACTCTAAACGTTATCCACACCATTTTTTGGAAATTGTAGCAGGAAGGGGGCTCGGGTTTTATATATTTATCACGGGTAGTCGGCGAGCCTGGCATTTGGAACGGACGGCTGGGATAAGGCGGTCGCCAACTTCTCTGCTTCAATTTGAGTGTTGCGCGCACGACGACGACAACATGGCTGTCTTACACTGGACCATAGTGGCCTTGGTGGCTTTACAGCTCGCCTACGCGCAGGACTTAGGTGAGATTTTGATGGCATTTATACGTTCGGGTTTCGTGTAACTGTGTCTCAATAAAGGAATTTTTTTAACTTTATCTAATAAAATATGTAGTAAAATTTCTTCATTGCTCTAGGCTCTATAGTCTAGAGAACATACTCATCTGAAGTACGCAAAATTCTCTCATTGCATTTTAGCATGTATGTTTCAGGCTACATTGCAATTTGTTTTTCTCAGGACGAAATTCTACACGAACAATGTAAAAAATTTTCGTTGTCGAATCCAAAAAATTCATTCAAAAATATTAGTTAAAAACTAGGAGAGATTGTTCGATTGCCGTACATTTAGTCTGAGACTCAGAAGTGGGTGAAGAATCAGTTCGTGTAATCCCGTTGTAGGAAAATTTCGGTTACCTTTGTCACGATATAAATACTGCTGCCAACACCTGACAGTTTCACCGTAGGCATGCAAGAACCAGCCGCTGAATGGAGGCGGTTCACAAACCAGGCCTAGTAGGAATCCAGAAATTGGATCTGATGACAATGCTTTTGAAATAATATGTCCCCGCGGCTCCACCACATGTTGCCATGGTAGACAGCAAGTACGTGCTCGTATACGTTCTCGTATGCGTTCGCTATAGAATATTTGTTTAAAAATTCAACACAAATTCAATCAACAATTCAAAGAGATTTGCCCCAGATTATTATAAAATAAATAAATGCTTCGTATTTTCCTTTGTGTATTATGTTGGGCACTGGAGTCGGACTGCGAGTTTTGAAAAATTACAGCGCAAATAATTCATATTTTGAATGGGAAATTGGTTGACAGCAAATTAATTAATCAATTCGCTTTTCAAAATTCAAATGAAAAAGTGCGCTTAGCCCTGCATTCTGGTGCACAGGAGTGAGAACTGCTGGCCATGCAATCGTCCATTGATTTCAAATAATAAATTCCTTAGCACGACTCGTTGTTTGTAATCATGGAAACCTAAACGATTTTTCCACGAAATAAAAACATAAAATAGCGAGAAAAGTACTGGAGTCAGGAACGAAAAATATCAGACGTGTCACAGTGGCAACTTTTACCAGATTAGGTATAAGGGAGCGGTCGCTTTGGCGTCCAGATAAATGTGAGCTTAAAAAAAATACAGTGATCAACCAATATTTATATAGCTTAGGACAAAAAATAATAATCAAACAATGATGAGCGTTAAAATCACAAAAAATTCTAACAATATAGAGTAAAACATGCAGTTGCCTTCAAAATTAAGGTTTTGCCTTCAAATCGAGGCCTTCGCTCCCTGTAATTGAGGCACTGCATCCTAACACGCAAACGCCCAGACTGAATGGCAAATTCTGGGAAAATTATTTTCTTGCTATCAGTCGTAGAACGTAATTCGAGTTTACAAGAAAAAATTGGACCTCATAAAATTATATCATGTATTAGTCGCACAGAAAATTCCTGCTCATGGATGACGCTGTTGAATGTTATATAGAATTTTTTTTTAATAAAATCAATTCCCTTTTTTTTGTTGGAATGGTGAGTGTGGGAGGCCTTTAAAAAAAAATAAAATAAAAAAAATGAAAAATAAAAAAAAATATAGAAATTGTCGGTGGCGGACCGTCGACCATCCATTTGTCTACATTATTATTGACATCAAAACATAGCTAGAAATTTCCTTCGGTGAGTTTTAGTTTGAAAGAAAATATGGATTTAAATGTTCTTCACTTATTGAAGGCATGAGTAAGCCAGACAAAATCAACAGCTGAGAAAAATGTAAAAGCGATTAGAAATATATACCTATGTTTTATTTATTAGTCTAAATTTAGATGACAGAATAAATGAATGACTATGGTACAAACATTACATAACTGAATTTCCGGCATTGCTTCTATTCAGACGCTATACAGGCCACGTCAATTGCTTATGTAACTTGCATAAAGTGTTATAAAAAGTTCAACCATTCTTATCTAAACAGGAACTACGACTTATTGCCCAGCATATAAACTTTTTGCCTCCGTGCTCGAGATTATATAATGTCTATGGATGCCAATTCGTTGCCGACATCAGAGTTTTTCTACGACAGTTACTTCTTTATACTGTATATGATGGTTTAAACTTTAAAGGTAGAGTTAACGTACGGCAAACAAGGATGCTAGCATGATTATTAGTCGGAGTTGGTATATACGAAAAGTGTATCGATCGCCACATACTCTCCGATGTACAAGCACTACATGCAATTTATGATAAGACATTCCAGTAAGAGAACCTCAGCAAGTTGTACCCTTACCTAGCCTGATAACCTCTCTGTGTGGTTTTCACACAATCGACGGTGGTGTAAAATTAAAGAAATAATCAAGAAAGCTTTTATTTTAATTTATTCAATAAAGTTTTAAGTTTGATTTGAAGTGGAATTGCTTAATTGTAATGGCGGCAATGATCAGTCATCAAGAGCCGAATCCACAAATGCAATTTTCAAAATACGGCAAACAAGAAGTTGAAGGTGGCGGGCTGACAGAACATATGGTGACGAGTGCGCAACGTGAAAATAAAGTTAGGCTGGTCGGTCTCAGGACGGATTAAATGTATTCTGTAGAAGAAAGAAATTTAAATTATAAATCTTGTAATATGCCAGGATAACCTAACTACGGTTATAATAAATAATAAAAATCTCACCTGTGCACGGAAAATACTACGAACCTGAGGTTTAAGTGCTCAGTGTGATGATCACTTTATGAAGAAAGAATAATTGAAGGTTGAAACTAGTGGAAAACTGTTTAAGGGGTGGGAAGTTGGATAGGAAAAATAGAAAGAACATTAGAAGGCTCTGATGCTTTGGAAATTGATATGAGGACTTAAGGCTGGAGTTTGAATAATGATCCTCGCAAAAAAACGTAATATACAGTAATTAACACACTTCTTGAGCAAAGAACACTAAAAAATTGAATTGGACGATTTGATTTCGATGAAGTAATGAGTAAAATAAAAGCGTGTAAGTTTGAATTTGAATTAATTTGAAGTTGTAAGCCTGAGTCCAACGTCCCAACAGATTAAATGTATAAATGCAATAGGGTGAAAAAAATAAACAAAACAAAATTCACTCGGCATTCATACGAACCAAGGAATAGAGAAACATGTTTACAGCAAGACGGTAGAAATACTTGAACGTTGATGCAGGCAAGTCATCAAACGGTTCAGAAACGGTAATTTTCACGAAAGTTCTTAAGTTTCGAATGATGAATTGCATCGAGATTTGAAAACCCTGGGCTGTCACTGGCGGCTAATACCTGTCATTTGATACTTGAATTGGCTAACTAATGATGATGACTTCACAAGCCCGCGGCAGAACCCCAGATCTAGACTAATACATATTTTTTTTTTTATGAAATTAGAGAAGCGGATTCAACAACAATTCTAAGCTAATAATAGATGTTGTAAGCAAACCCAAGCCTAATACAAGCAGACTGTGAGGAAGGAGGAATTTTTCACACCTTCCTGTGAGCTGGCTTTGTTTGGCTCTGAGTTTGGCCTTGGTGCTGCCAGTTCTAGCAGTAACGATTACCAAGGTGAGGATTTTCCCGGTTACGATTATCTGGATAATTTGACGTGATATCATTCATCATCATTGACATAGGGAACCTTGAATCATGTATCATAATGGCGAAGATTGTAATTTTTGCGCCTACCGATGGAAGAGTAGACTGAGTTTGGTTCCAAGGCTACTGCAAGATAAGTAACACCATCAAATAATACAGTAGGAAAAATTACCTTTATTCTCCTCAATGAGAAACTGTTAAGTTAAAAAAATAAATTTTCGGCTTTAGTCGAGTTTATAAAAAACTGCCCTTAAATAAATAGAGAACTTTTGTCTTCTTTTGACAATTGTTTGATGCAAACAAGAATACAGGGTTCGTGTCGAAACAAAACAGTATAAAATAGTTTATATTGAGAAATAAGTCCGTTAACAGAAGAATAAAGTATTTATTTTAGTCAATATTGCAGTGATCACATTTTAAAACAGTATCTTACTTTTGCCCTTAAAATGAGAAACAGATATTGAAACCTGCAATGAAGGCAGGATTTATAGTGAGCAAATCAACTTCTCGCCTTTGCTGTTGTAGTAGCCGTTTTAAACATTGCTGTTTTCGTAGCTTTCACTGTTAGCACTGCTGCAATATTTGATGTTGCTGATATTGTTACAGTTATTTTTGCTGTGTTTCCTGTAGTAATTTATGTTGCTGTTATTTTCAGCATTGATTTTACTGCTGCTTTAATTGTTTGCGTAGGGGCACAAGCGCTGCTAATGCTGCTTAATTAAATGCGTCGATCGTTCTCTTAATATTTCAGAAACAGTAGCTTTTTTCAGAAAATTTAGTCCGGTCTTGTAAAATTTTCGAAGAGATCTCAATCACGTGCACTACGTTAGTTAAACAGGATTGTTACATGCCTGATGTTATTGATAGGTAGCTTCTCGTTCTCGAAGAGTCTTGAATCTTCAGTTGTCTTGGTCGATAATAGTTCATACATTCGTCGGTAATATCAGACTCAAGTGATCGGCCGATAGGAACGTGGGTTAGTTCATTGCCCTCAAACCGCAGCCACCACGGCCAAAATTTTTGACTGGTTAATTCACACAAAAAAACAGTGGAGCAGCCCAATCCTCTCGAAATTCTAGATTTTTAAAATGTTATTAAAGCACGTTGTTCGAGATTAGTTTGGTTGCAACTGTAATACATTCAAAGTCTAAGAATTACTATAAACTAGGAAATGTTCCTCATTGAAAGATCTTCCTTAGAGCCTAAAACCAATTTCACTAATGGTGAAGAAATCATAATTATGGCATAGCCGAAGTTTTTACTTGTCATAACATCAATCTAATGCATGTAATGAATAGCAAAATTATCAAGAGTGACAAAATTATCACCATCATGGTCATTATCAACATAATCATCAAATTTCATATTAGTAAATTTGCGGTCATCTGCCATTCTGCACTCATATGCATGATCAGCAAGTTCCTTCACACCAAGCAAAAAACTCTTACGACGAATGTGCATTCTTTGCTTAGCAATTAACTAATCATGCATTGACCATCCATGGGTCATAAGATAATGGTTTCCCCTCGGATGATTCGGAAATAAATAATGCAAAATAATTATAACTCTCAAATATGCAATTAGAAAGCGCCTAGACGGCCAGTGCGCTCGAAAAATTTTTAATAGACGAAGTTTCTCCCGAAGTTTTTGTGTCACGGAAATGAAGCAATAGCCACCTAAGTAATGCTTCTCAATTGAAGTTTCAGTCAGCAACTTTAATCTGGATTCAGTGAACAAAACGTAGTTTATATACTCTAGTAAACCTGAAAATAACAATTTTTTCCAGCTGCCATGCTGCAGAACTGCAGGAAGAACCACACCACCAGACTGAACGAGTGCATGGTGAGCGCCATCATGAAGATACGGCCGCAAATTGCCGTAGGTGAGTACGAACATGACTCAGAAGTTCCTGACGCAATTTCAGTTTATGATCAGTAACAAATGTTAAGTTATTAATATTAATAATAACTTTCGGCAATGGAGCCGGCTCAGATGCGGAAACGACTGTTTCATATCTACAATCTCTGCAGCAATAATTATTTTAGTGTATTTTTGCTTTTGGGCTTTCTAGCCTTGCTACTTGTTTAGCTTATGCAAAGTAAGACCAAAAATTCGGCAATCAGTGAATATTATTAAATCTAATATAGTATTAATGTCACTTATTTGCTTAAATCGCAAGTTGACTAAAAATTTAAAAGCAAAGAATAGTCCACAAAAATTCATATCTTTATAGAAAACGTTTCGGAGNATATAAGGCGGTGTCTTCCATCATTGTCATCTCATATAAGGCGGTGTCTTCCATCATTGTCATCTCATATAAGGAGGTGTCTTCCTTCATTGTCATCTCATATAAGGCGGTGTCTTCCATCATTGTCATCTCATATAAGGCGATGTCTTCCATCAGCGTCATCTGATATAAGGCGATGTCTTCCATCAGCGTCATCTGATAGAAGGCGGTGTCTTCCATCAGTGTCATCTGATATAAGGCAGTGTCTTCCATCAGTGTCATCTGATATAAGGCAGTGTCTTCCATCATTGTCATCTCATATTTTATTACTAGAGAATCGTGATTTGCTTTAAAAACTGTGCGAATATTGCAGATGGGATCGTGTTTGAGGCGGACAGCGACCTGGGCGTGCGGCCGGACAATAGTATGTTCATGAAGAATCTCAACCTGGATTTTCAAATTAAGGCATCCGAATCAAAGCTCGATAACCTATTTGGTGGCAACCAAGTCCTCAGTGAGTATCTTGTGACAGATTTTTTTTCTAATGAGCAAAATTTCAGTGATGATGCCGAATTTTGGCACCATGTCTGCAACAGAAAAGTTTGTTTTGAAAATATCCGGCCCCATCGTCCCATGGGATAGATTTTATATATGTATAGAGAGTTCGACATGGAGCAGCTATTGCAGCCAGTGAAATCTCTTTCATATTTTATTACAGCAAGATGTTTAGTAATTATACTTGGATATTAAATGTATGATGATTTTTTATCGTTTCGACGTTTTTAATTGTCGGTGTGGTTCCAGTAGGAGTGTGGTTTAGAAAACGTATCTACGATTCTGAAGATATTTGTGCGCAATGGTCATGATAACGTCATTACGTAAACACTTGTCTATGGCCAAATCTAAGTAGGTTTGGCTAGAAGCTGAATGCTTGTTTATTTAATCATAATTTGTATCCAGGTTTCCAGTGGACAGTTTTCTGTTTTTGAAGATAATTGCGGTTATTATGAGTCAATGTACCGCAATGTATGAGTCAATGTCTCAGCCACCGCAACCCCAACGATTGTTAGGTTCTGCTGGCTGCATTTCATACATGATCATCAATGCAAGAAAATATGCAGTTGTCTAGATTCTCAGCAGAAAAATATTTTGATCATGAAAATAAATAATTAATCTGAGAAGTATATAAATGATAAAAGATTGATTAAAAATGATCTATCGACGAGTATTATGGTGGGACCTTCAAACGATGAAATCATGATCATGTTACAAGTTCTGTAATAATAAGAAAACAGAAGTTATTTAAAAAGTCTGCCTGATGATACTAATATGTCTATTGTTTTGATTTGCCTAGAGAATCGAAGGCTTGCCTGCTGCTTCGTTATGACCAAGGAATTTTTGATAGGCGATAATGTTCATGGAATTGATAAAGCACGTGTGTTACATAATTTTGGTTTGTGTAGGACTTAAAGGTTATGTGAGTTCGAAGAGGAAGCCTGTTTCATCAATTTTTCTTTTCCCTTTTATCAAATCCACAACAGTTCATTATTTGCTAGTACGCTTCCTTGCGTTCTGCTTTTGTGTTCACTATTTCCTATCACAGGCGACACCATGAACCACTTCCTGAAGCAGAACGGTGACCTGATCATGGAGGAGGTGCGACCAGCCCTGCGGCAGCAGTGGGGCAACCTGTTGGGGGCAATCCTCAAAGCTCTCATTGACTCCCTTCCTAAGGAGATCGTCACTGACATTCCCAACGAAAACACAGAAGACAGACATCGTCGGAGGACCAATGAAAAACTGGCAGCCAAAGCTCGAGCCCAAGCGCCCGCACAACGTCAAGGATGAGCGCGGATGAAGAATTAAGTCCCAGCATGTATGTCAGTCGCAAATTCTCGCACTGTACCTGTCTTCTGATACAAATATTTTGAAATTATAACAGGTCTATCCAATCGCGTGAAATGAAAGTTTTCAATTTAAACGACATGGCAAAATGTTTCAAGTTTTCCGTGCTAATTCTTGTCACCCAGTGCCACAAATTAAGTGCTAACACAAAGTTACTTTTTCCTCTGTTAAGGATTGTTCGCAATTATCCCTGGCATGTCAAAGCCATTGCTGTATTGCCTGATTTAGTTTATAGTTACAGTATTGTAGCAAATAAATTATTACACAGTTGTATTAGCTTATTTACCTTAGGGTAACTAAATTGTAGCGTTATCTGCTTATACCTGATCCTGTTACATTTGGCTAACGTCGTCTCCAACATAAAGTTTTAGCAACGAAAAAAAATATAACTCAGTACTCACTGCAGTGAGTGACAGAGAGCGCATTTTCAAGACGACGAAAACTTGAGATCACGAACGGACGGACAGACAGACAGACGGACATAGCGAGCACAATAGTGCATTTTTTCATAAATGAGAAAATGCGCTAATAACTGAAGTAGCAAACGAATTAGTGGCATACGATTAATCTAGCTGTACAACTAGCCTTCCCATTGGTTAAATTATATGTGAGCTTCGTTCAATTTAGATAGACTCTTCATACTTTAAAAAATAGATTTCCTGTGGCATTCAATCGCTGCTACTTAAAATCGAAGATTATGAGGAAACGATAGACATGATATTCACAAGAGTGTGTTTTTATTTTTTGTGTTTTAAACTTCAAAATTGTTAACCTTGCAAGCACAAGACGTTTGGACAATTAGAGACCAATGTTGAGAGTGTGAGAGCAAAGAGACCTTGGAAAGTCTTCTTCCAAGGTCATCGAGAAGAGTTCATCCAAGAAGTTCATCTTCTTGGGAAGTGAGGTTGTTCACCTCACAAAAATCGTAACTTTGATGGTAATGTAATCAATATTTTGACAATTAAGCATCGTTAATATTGAATAATGTTGAGCTCTCTTGCTTTCACTTATATTCTTGGCATTCAGTAGAAAATGTGCGTGATCATAGATGTTCCGCGGAGGTCCAAGTCAGTTTGATGGTTGATTGTTGCTCGGGGAGGATACTACTGAAAAATTCCCCTTCCTTCCCTTATTAATTAAGTCCCCTAGTAAACATTGAGATCCAGAAATATTTATACTAGACTCATGTAAACACGCACCATTTCATCCACTCTTAACAATATTTCAATTATATTTATAGAGTATAAATGAATTTTTGCAATTCGCATGTTCGAACCTTCATGACACAAATCATTGTATCCCAAAGGCTTTAATTATACTCAACCATTCATAGATTATTGACAATTTAATTCTACAAGATGGACGATCGTCAATTTTTCGATGAGAATTTTAATGTTAGAGATGAAATTTACAGAAAGATAAATCAAAATTGGAGCGGCTATATGAACTTTCTCCTGCCACTCATTGAGGTGGTTCATCACAATAGTCGGATGGTAAAGACTCAATGAGACTCAGTGGTCTCATATCATCCCATATCTTTACTATCAGTTCTGAATTCATGCTGTCTTGTTGTCGCACTATTAAATATAGTTTGTTCCTCCATCAGCCATACACTGACTGTTTTCCAAACTAAACTCCTCAATCCCAGGCGAGATAAAAGCCTCTACCTGTGCTTGAGCGAGTCTTGAGAGTACCTCCCTAGCTATTGCTTTCTAACGCATTGGTCCCAAAATAATCGAGATTATGAAATAACAAGACGGAGCTGTGACTGAATTTACCGTAGCTTGAAGTAGCGATGCCTCTAGGAAACGCTGCAATACAAAAACTGGTGCGTATAGGTGCCTGAACACAGGGATAGTACTAGCCGCTAGGTCATCCGCCGCTTGAACTGTCCACGCCACTAGCCTCGTGTTTAGGGGTTCAGCCGCTTCAGAGGCATATGCGCCGGCAAAGTACCCGAGACGCGGCCGAGAGGGACAACGATGTGTTGTTTTCTGCACCGAAGAAGTGGCTAGTAGCGCTGATTCAGCCATGGTGAGATTATCTGTGCCGCTCCTGTGAAGTATTTTGAGTCAAGTGAATCATTGCTTGTTTGAACGATAATGGTTCTAAGAAGAGCCCAACAAAGATTAGTCATGGTTAAGTTGTTCCCGACGTTGCATTTTTAAGGGCTAGAATAAAGAGAATAAAAACGACATACAGACTCGAGTTGTTGAAGGTGATCCCACAATCCATCCATCTCCACAGACCTCACTCAACGGCTTCTAACGAGGCACTGGCGGGAGCCTGCGAGAAGATAGCGGCACCTTATACTCTCCTTGTGTACAGGCTTACTTGCCGGATAGTAACGAAGTGACCGACACTTGCCAGATTCACTAGCCGTCTGCACCATGGTTGAATTAATATGTCTGCATATCAACCATGGTCTGCACTATCCGCGAGTACAAGCACCCTATGGTACGAAAAAATGAATAGAAAATGAATTATTGTTGGTGCATCAGACACTGTAATGTGTTTTGGAGCTATGAAAAGCAGCATTTTTATATCGGCTAATGATTTCAGAATCTCATGTTATTGAGTAGAATAGCAATTTTTCACCTGCGAATGACATTTCATGTTACTTCAGAACACTAGTTTGTCTCCCTACAATAAGCTCGTGTTATACAATTCGGTGCCAAATGTTACTGACGAAAAATGAAGTTGCCATTACTGTTCCACGATATAAATTACTTCTCAAAGTTAGTTGTAAAAAGGGCACAGCTAAACTAACACCAGGCAAAATTCTCTTACCTGGCAAGGATAGGCCAGCGATTATGCATGGCAGGTGCGGATAAAACTAAACCATGCAAGGACCGTAAGTGTAGAGGTTAATCATGGTAATTGATGCCAGGCAGGAATTAATTAAAATTAACAACCAATGTTGTTTCCTCGCGTGCAATCAATAAATCTCGCGTATTCTAAATAAATTTGGCTTATGGGTTATTAGTTTTTTTTTTGTATTTCAAGTTTATTCTACATGCGTCATTATAAAAATGCCGTGTTCCAGCACCGCGAGGTCACGATCTTCACGTCTTGTTGCTCGAGCGTCCAACAGTTCTAGGCAGCTGCTCGGATGAAGCGGTCGTCCAAATATTTGCTGTAAAAAGGACCTTGGTGCTTTTTTTGCGTTCCGCAACAACATGGCTGGGGTACCCAGGATAATACTGGCCTTGATGGTGATAAAGCTCGTCTCCGCTCAGGACTTTGGTGAGACCAAGTTATTTAAACGCCATACTGGCATTATTGCCATGAAGTCGTCTCGCTATATAGAATAAAAATCTCGGACTTTGAACTATGCTTATTTCAAGTTCATATTCACCTGCTTAAAAAACCTAATATATTTCACTCATTTTAGGGCGGTCTCCCAGTTAATGAATTAAAATATTCAGATGTCTCGATGTAGAGTTTGTCCAAGTTATCGGTTTCCAAGTTTAGGCTCAAAAAAGTAGTTCCTGTACAATTATTATGGATGAAAAGTAGGATATGACCGATTCGGATGACGTTTTATTACACGTTGATATTGCCAAATTGATAATCAAATCAAGCTGATGTGGTGCATGCAATGTTTGAATTAAGATCAGTGAGTGCATTTTATATACTGCAGTGAAGCAAACGTTTCATGAAGCCACTTAATTGTGACTTAAAGCGTGCTTACGTTTAGTTTGTAAGGCAATCATTCGTTTCTAATTGATATCCTAGCACGATAGAAGGATACGAACAATACATCAGCAATTAAATAATGCATTCCTATAGTCCGGCCTTCTCAAGTGCCAAAATATTAATACGTTGTAACGTATGTTAGAAGTCTATTCACTTAGATTCAACCCAATGTCAGATGAACATCTCGTTTTATTTCCTTTATAAAATTTGAGGAGCAAATCAGTAACTTCGATACTATAGTTGCAAGCGTAAATACAGGAGGCGTCGCAATAAGATCCTGTCCAATTAAGTAGCGGTAAACGTCCACTCGCTCACCTTGAAACAAGTAGGCAACATGTTTTCCGAAATGAAGTGTTTATAAAAGGTTAACACTTTTTATTGGCCAAATAATTGGGAGTTTGACTGAAGGCCAGTTGCAAGGCTGCAAGGACGGTCATGAGGGCTGTAGTTGAGACCACCTAAATAATATCTGGAATTATCTATGCATGGATATACATGAGAGAAGGCCATGAACGAGACCTGAATGTACTTGGTAGGTTCACTTGTTGATCCCACATTATGTATTTATTTATAGCCCGAGTACAGCATATACATACGTTCAGCATATACATACAAATAGTATAACTAGGATAGTTATATACAAATAGTATAACGCAAGATACTTAATATAGTATCCTGTCTATAGTTATACAAATAGTATAACTAGGCCATGAGGGCTGCAGGGACGGCCATGAGGGCTGCAGGGACGGCCATGAGGGCTGCAGGGAAGGCCATGAGGGCTGTAGTTGAGACCATTGATATAATATCTGGAATTATCTTGGGATGTACATGAGAGAAGGCTATGAACGAGACCTGAATGTACTTGGTAGGTTCACTTGTTCACTTGTTGATCCCACATATAATGTATGTATATTTATAGCCTGAATGCAGCATATACAGTACATACGTTCACATAAACATTTTGCTGGGATTAATAATATAAGCATTTTGTCTAGTCGAATATGATAGCACATGACGCGGCAGCAAAATAATGGGAATGGTCGAACATAGGACAATAATATCCTAAATGGTAATGTATAAATGTAAGAGACCAGGATGAGTTAGCTGAGCGCACAAATGTTGAAGTACTCACTAATTAAATTAAAATGCCCCGCAAATGTATGAGAGGAACATAGGATACGTAGCAGTATCCTGTCTATACTATAGTTATACAAATAGTATAGCTAGGAGAGTTAAATGCAAATAGTATAACTATGATAGTTACTGTATATGCAAATAGTATAACGCAGGATACTTAACAGGCCAGGGACACGTCGGTAACGGAGCAGATTAAATATATTTGTATATACGCACGATACCGACCTGACAAAGTGCTCAATGGAAGCGAAAAACAAAACAATATCTGCGTGATATTAATATAGTTTATAGCTGTAAATCATATAATAGAACTTCGCGAGCAGCGCCATCGTCTATTGTTGATGATATCCTTTGAGTTTCATTGATCCAGAATTATAGCATTCCAAGGCTTGCAGCAAAATTTTATTGAAAAAATAAATCTATTATATATATTTGCAATGAAAATTTAATTTGAATTTATATTTATCGTGAGACAGAATTGCAATGAAAAAACTACATTTTTGTTTATTTTATCAGAGTTATTAAACTAATTTAAGCATGTACCTCGGTTTCCAAATTCGTTTTACACATGTACCTTGGTTCGGCCTGGAAAATAATGAGCCCAACTGCATGTGACATCAACATATGCGCTTTTGTATAATGAAATATAAAATTCCCGACATTAATTGAAAAATATATGTAAAAAATTTTCCTTCTGGTTGAATATTCATTAATTTTATTGAAAAAATTGCATGGGAAAGCGGTAGAAATCTTTGAAATCCAGACAAGAAAACTTGCCGACAGGAAGCATGACAGGGAGAGGGGTGGCTGCGTGCTGCTGAAATTATTAGAACCGTAGAAAATAAAAACAAATTGTAAAATTTCTTTCCTAATAATTTTTTTTTAGAGTTAACGGCTTTATTTGAAACCTAACTTTGAGCTTGCGTGCATCAAAGCGATATGTGAAACCTATCCGAGGTACACAGCTAACGCATAATTCTATATATTGTTTCGAGGGTCCTGATTTTAACGCAAGTCTCCAAAATATTTTCCACCTACACACTAGCTTTGGGAAGGAAGATTTATAAAGTAGAAAATCGTCCAAAGCTTCGTCTTCAGTAATTTGTGCTCAGGCTAAAACAGTGAAATTTTTCTTGCGAAAATTTCAAGCAACAAATCTTTGCCAGGAGCTGAAGCACGAAATCTGAAGGAAATATCTCAAAACTTTGCAATCAAGAAAGCGTGAAATAAACAGAATACATTTTAGGCTTTATCCATGTAATAATGATACACATGTACCAGTGTTGGAGCTACTACCACACACAATATTCCTGCAGGTACGATGGTGCGCAAGTGTCGGGAGAACCACGCACCTCGCTTCAACGAGTGCATCGTGCAGGCGGTGCGACGACTGCAGCCTCGCCTGAGTCGTGGTACGAAGCTCATATTAATAATTACCATCAGCGGCAGGTAGTCTCCGTGTGGTCATTATGATATAAAATATTTAAAGTTGGTACTGCCCACCCGCGGCAGGTAGTCTCCTTGTGGTCTTTATGATATAATATATTTGGAGTTGATACTGCCCACCCGCGGCAGGTACTCTCCTTGTGGTCTTTATGATATAAAATATTGAGAGTTGATACTGCCCACCCGCGGCAGGTAGTCTCCTTGTGGTCTTTATGATATAAAATATTTAAAGTTGATACTACCCACCCGCGGCAGGTACTCTCCTTGTGGTCTTTATGATATAATATATTTGGAGTTGATACTGCCCAACCGCGGCAGGTAGTCTCCTTGTGGTCATCATAATATAATATATTTAAAGTTGATACTGCCCACCCACGGCAGGTAGTCTTCATGCTGTGACGCAGTAAGAGTTTATTCGTCCCAATCTGGGGTTGGTAGATTCCATGAAGTCATTGTGATATTTTGAAAGTTTAATACTGTCCAACAACCCGCATGTAGTCTACTTGAGTTCATTATGATAAAATAAAAATTGTATAATTAAGAAAACCACTTCTTTTCAAATAAGTATCACGGAGTAATCCACAACAAGAGTCTAATCTTTTTTATTTAGGTGAATACGGTTTAGTTAATACTTTCTAAAACTATGTGAGTACCTAAAATGTCAATAATTTTAGTAAATTCATAAGAAAATCAACTTCAAATTGTAAATAGAAAAGTAGACGCATGTGTTTTTTTGGTAGACGAGGATATAGCAATGACATGTGGTGATGGTTATTGCCAACATTTTCATTCACTAATTCAATTACTACAGGAAGGTTGTAAGTAAATAAAAAGGGAGATCAAGAGGTTACCGTTTATAATACTAGGATCGGAGCATGGAGGTGATACCAAGATTCCTAAGATGGTTTCTGGTCAGAATCGGCGAAGAGGTCGGGCGACTGAGCACAGCAAAAATTGGAACAGTGAGTTGCGTGTTCGAGACCGCAACAAGCTGTGAATGTTCATCGATATTAAGAATCGGCGGCAGACCTACGGCCTAATAAATGCTGAAATTGTTATTTTCATTATATTATTTGAAATTGTGAGTTACGTTTCGTTCTCAACCTCGTTGCTGATCAAGGGTAGAAACCTGAGCAGAGATTCCTGAGCTGAACCTGCAGCGCGTAGACCCTCTGCGCATCAACAACTTCGTCCTCAGCAGCAACACGGACCTCGCGTCGCTGCAGTTCCACAGCAACGCGGTGGACATCGCCGGCCTCAGCAAATTTGACTTGACCCACTTCGAGTGAGCTCTCTTGATGATAACATACTTCTTGCTAATGATTTCACTCGAAAGTCGATTCTGAGTTATACCTTAGTTTCGTTATCTTCAGGGTTAAAAAAAAACTACACTTGTGTTTATATTGAAACAGAGCTCGCATTAGTTTACTTGACTCAGGCTGCTCAGAATTTGAATATCTCATCCTTAAGTCATGATCTAAAGATCTTTTCCGCCATGGAGATAGTTTTCCAATATAGCTCACGTATACACCCGTGTGCAGCATCGATTTCGAAGGATTGAAGACACATGTGGAAGCGAGTGTGCCGAGCGTCATCGCTAAGGGTGACTACAACATCTCGGGACGGGTCTTTGGGCTGCCCATCCATGGCGAAGGCGACTTCATTGGCAAAATAAGTGAGTCAAACATGCACATATATGAAAAATCCTAATGCTTGTACAGGCTAGTTAAATGAGTTGCTGAGCAATACAATTAAGTTAAGTTATTTGCCAGCGCACATGAATTAATGTCGAGTCGACTTTACCAGCGACAATCTAAACCACTAATTAAACTTAACAGATTTAGAATGAGATTTTCATCGTACTTTTTATAATGCACGCTGTTGCAAATCTTTTCTAAATAAACTGTATCGTTTTCCAATATGAAATTAGATGCAGCCAGCGGGACACAAACCATATTGTCTTAAACGAATTTAAAAACAAGGAAAATGCCACAATTAATGGCAGAAGGTGCCCTTGGCCAATACTTCATGAATTTAATCTTTACAAATTCTTGTTAGTGGTTCAAGAATCTAATTGGGCCGACAATATTGTTTAGAAATATCAATTGCCGCGGCATGATATTAATTCTACCGCATTTTCAGAGGGTATGCTTGTGGACGGCCACGGAGTGATGGAGGCGACCCCAGGAGGACAACTCTACGTCACTGGAATCAACTTCAACTTCAAGTTTAAGGACTTGAAAATGGACCTCAAAAATCTCTTCAATGGAAACGAAATACTAAGTGAATTGCGGAACTCAGCTTCGTGCAAACGCACGAGTGACTTAATTAATTAGTCGAGAGGCAAAATATTATAAACTTCTTATTTGAACAGAGAAAACAATACCTCGTGAAACCTATGTAACTATGCCAATGCAATACATGAAGGTTTGATAATAAGATTTTCTTTCGTTTTTACAGGTCGCACAGTGGCGGAATTCATGAACAGCAACAGTCAGCTGGTGTTGGACGAGCTGACGCCGGAGCTGACTAAAACGTTCAGCTCGTACGTCAAGGGCCTCGTCAACAATCTTCTGTCAGGGCTACCGCAAGACCTGCTCACTTCTCTGCCCAACGCCAGTAGCAAAGACAAGCACAGACAAAGGACGCTGCAACGCAAAACAAAGGCTACATGAAATATTATGTAAATTTTCTAGCATCGATCTCCGTCAGTGACTATAGAATTTCACGATACTTCGGTCTACTTAAGCGTAAGTTTTAATGTGGTGAAATTGCAATAACCGATTATTGTTTGTAAAAGGGTGATTACTGTAAGTTACACCCGTACAAATGTTCGAACTGTTTGAAGAATAAATATTATATAAAAACTAAAATTAATGAACTGAAAACAAGGTTGATGCCACCAAAAACTCACCGTTTTTGCCGTTACCACCGTCAACGTTTTATAAAAAACGTTACGAAGTCTAACTCTATCGTCATGCAAAACCGAAATACTGGAATACAGGTACAAGCACTTGGCATATTCGAAATTCGCAGAACAACGTAAAAAAATAATGACATCGGCATCCACCGGAAATTCATATTTATAGCCCAGACAAAGTCTTATTCAATTACTCTTCCAGGAACACCAAGTCAAGTTCTTGCTTGCTGTTGGCTTTGGTTTTTATCCACACCCTTTTTAAGTCGGACTTTTATACCTTCAATATCCTCTGAAAGGCTCGTTTTTAGCAAGTAAAAATGTTTCTACATCTAATCGTCTCGAAATTCTTGGCAACCTACAGAGCTCAGCGAATAGTCAATTTCATGGCTTCAAATTACATAAAAAGTTATTGTCTGTTAATCAACAACACAGCGACACGCTTTTATTGAAAATTTTAGCGCAAAATGAACAAAATGAAGAATTTTTAAACCGTATAATGGCAAGGACAATGTATTGATGGATCGAAATCGTTCCAACAGTAGCCTTACCGCATTTATCTCAGCTCCAAAATCAATTACTATTTGCGAAAACCTAATGATTTCTCTGTAATAGTTATTTAGACTTTTACGCCTCAAGTTTATCGCCTGGCATTTTTTAATGCTCGCCCGAAATTCAGAAGCTTTATTTTCTTTCGAAATTTAAATTCCGAGCAGTTCTTACTGCACAACACTCCTAGCTTTGAACATTTCAATTTGTTACGCCGTTTTTGAACTGTCTATATAGTGACTAACCAGAATGCAGAAGACAGTACACGCGTGTTTATAAGCAGCTTGGAGAATTTTACAGATATTCATAATTACAGTCTGCCCACATTTGATGTGTAAAATTTATTTTTATAAAAGCTCATTTTGAAACTATTGGAATCTGAATTAATTCATAGACTCAAACAAGCTTCCCAAAAATATGCAATGATATACGGTCATTTGAGAGTCAGCTCGAAATATGACGAGTCATACTACGGGCTGACTGTATACCAATTTATAATAATGTCTCTAAACACAGTTCCATTTGAAAATTCATGTGAAACTGTACACAAAACTCAAACTATAATAATAATCGGATTGGGATTGCATCTGCGGGTTGATTACATTTCTCGCAATAGTAGGACTCCACTCATCGTCATCAAAGAGACCCTCAGCTATAGAAATAATGCTCTCGGTGCAGCAATTTAAAGATAAAGGCACTCAAGTGCAAAGCTAAATTAAACTCAAAACTCATGGCGAGCGTTATAATTGTCCTTAAACAAAATTGATTAACAAACGGACACTAAAAACCAGTCGTGCTAAATAACTATTACAAACTACGCTAATAGGAGGAGACCGCAAGGAATCCTTCAGAACTAATAACCAATTTGTGTAAAAATTTGACCGCTTCTTGGTTGAGCTTCGGACTATAATTTTTTGATATTCTCCAGTATGGGCGACTCTCATTTGTATTTTTTACGAGATTTGTTTTGGCTCAAAATATTAGGGGAATAAATTAATGCATCGTCCAGGCGGTGATACTTCTGCAGCAATAAAACTGCCTGTCCTATTATTTAGAAGAAATCTATCGCGTACAGGTTATCCGAAATATTAAAAGGTTTTATTTTCAGTGAAAACCTTGAAATCTTTTACTTTGAATTCGAGACACAAGCCCTAGCGTCTTTATCGACCGACATTAAATTATTGTGTGAATGATCAGTTCTGATCGGGCAAATCCAAATTCATAAGATATTTTAGTTATCACGATTTTTTTAATATTTTGTCGAAGGTTTTGAAACCAAGTATTTTATAAGCATTGTTTAAGTGCCGATTACAGAATGCGTAAATTAACTGGCAACTGCCTATATGGCAGCTACGAATCCCGTATACAAGATGACAATTATCAATGAACAAAATTTTGGAGTTCATAATTCGCGGTCATTGCACTTATTTCCAAGTTTGCTAACCAAATTTTCAAAAGACTATCAGTAAATCTGGGTCAATCTCAAAGGGCGTTCTTCAATCAGAATTTGATGCACTCAGTTTCTCGACGCAGAAGAAATGCGGCGGAGTGCCATATCCTGAAGGGTCTTCTTCCTGTGCTTGTCGTTGGTGTTGATGCTGGCACCGCGTGGCACTGCAGCTGGCACCGTAGGCAGGATACGGTTGAAGATCTGAGCGAAGAAGATGCCGAGCTGGCGCGACACTTCAGGCCGGATTTCGTCGGCTACCGCTTGGTAGTTGTTGTTCAGGAAGTGGTGGACAGTGTCACCTGCGAACGATTGGTAGTTGTTATTGTGTATTATGATATCTGCTGTGAAGAATATCTCCAATTAGAAATTATCTACCATGTCAGTTGTTCAATTAAGAAGTGTCGGATCATATAACTCGAATAAAAATTTTCTAAATTTTTAAAAATATTAGAAAATTATTATATTTGGAAATTATGGTATCAAAAAAAATTAAAGACTTGCAATGAATATATTTATATTCATTTTAATGCAACTATCACTAAATTCATATTGCATTTATCAAAAGTGAATGAAGCTAAATAAATTAATACCTTTTTGGATTTCGCATAACATAAAGCTCGTGCAGGTAAGGCATGCAAAATTTAATGCATTTCACTCACTCATGACTCTGTTGTTAGGGAAGAGGTTCTCCATCTTGGTAACCATGGTTTTGAAATCGAAGTCCAGCTTAATGTTGCCTATGCGCAAGAAGCCTGCGTGGGGCCTGACTTCGCCGATACCCTCAACAGAGATGCCGGCTGTGCACAAAACGCATTGTATATTTTACACGAAATCTTATAACAAAAACTACTAAAAATTCTATTAAATGGGTGACCACAAATGAATTATTACCTGAATTACTTCGCATGAATTGAATTGCACACATGATTGCGATTAAATATTCCATCCCTTTAAATATTGGCAAATAAATTGGACCAAATAATTACTTCAGGTGAATGAGGAGCATGCCGGAGGGCAGTTATGCCTAACTTCACACTTTCGTTCATATTCCTTTCCGTGGGTAAGAACGCTAGAGGACGTAGCAGCCTTTGAGCTCAAGTTTTCAAAGTTCTAGTTATATAAGTGCACAGCCACTGCTTCAGCATTTTAAGTTGAGCAGGTCTTACTGCATTGGCTTAACCGATTCCGGCTTAACATTTTCTGCCTAACCTACTCACGTCGCTACAATTCTATACCCAAAACAAACCTGAGCAGATCTAACCTTATCTCATTGGCTGACGGTGGTTAGAGAGGTAGAGCGAGTGAGCTGGTATGGCCTGTCATTGGCTGCAAGAACGTTGTGAGTAAGGACAATATGAACAAGTTAGGCCAGAAGAGGTTAGGCCAGAACAGGGTTAGGCGAGAAGAGGTTAGGCAAGGAGAGGTTAGGCCGGAGTTCGCGAGGCCGTAAGCAGAAGTGCCTGCTTATGATTGAGCATGCTAAAGTATTGGCTGAAAAACTACGGCGTTACTATCTTGAACCAATGCTTCACTAGTTTGGATTACGATGTTCCGGCGTAGTCAGCGGCTTCTAGCTGTGGGGCTGAGTATAGTTATTGTCTCTGAGGCTGGGCATTCGCTCCAAAACTTATTCACACCCCCCAGGTTAATGACCGAAAATTATTTATAAAAATCTGTTTTACCTGAAGAATTCATATCAACTCATGAATATGATCATAAATAATCACACATGAATTACTGCAAATTATATACCTCATATGAATAAGCTTGAATGAATTGAGATTAATTTTTTCCAACTTGAATATCATCATCAATACTTGTACAACATATTGCAATACATTATTGAGCAATGGCGTTACAATGAAATGAGTCTTAACAATGAACTGAGTGATGGCAATATGGAGCGTCAGTTCAGTCAGCTGGCCTTGGGAACAGCCCATGACGCTTATCATGATTCGGGAGTAATTGGTTAATTTTGTTGGATAAGATTCATGATAGGTACCCTGTTAAGCTGTTCATGAAGATTCGGGGGTAATTGTTCGTAATAATATTGAAGGTAATTGTTAATTTTGTTGGGTAATATTCGGGGTAAATGATTGTGGTAATCTATGATTTAAGCTGTTTATGGAAAATGGCGTGGTAGGCTCACTGTATATACTACTTACATTTACTATGAATAATTTGTTGATATAAATTAAAGCTTTTTCGTAAAAAAATTTGATTATTGAAATTCGTTTCCTCCTTCCGATTAGGAATATCCCTGATCCCTGCCAGATCTGTTAACCACTCGAGATGCTTTGAAATAAACTAGAGCACTCATTCAACTCACTCGAACCACTTGCTCTACTCATTCTGAGCTCTGAATGAACTTACTCGAGTTACTAATTCAGCAGCTCGACGTATGTATGCAATTCAAGATATACTCGTAAATTGTCGTGACTAACTTGAACTATTCGCCCTCTTAGCAAGACGTACTTACCATCCTCACACAAAGGAATAATTGAAGGTCAAGTAGTCGAAGTTGCCGCATAGTACGGTCGAAGAATACTGCGTGGTACTGGCGCTACTCACACAAGGTACTTGCACTACTCACTCGAGATACTGCGCTACTCACTCGAGGTACTTGCGCTACTCACTCGGTGTACTTGCGCTACTCACTCGAGGTACTTGCGCTACTCACTCGAGGTACTTGCGCTACTCACTCGAGGTACATGCGCTACTCACTCGAGGTACTTGATGTCGAACTTGGGCACGCCGTACACGAGGGTATCGGAGTAGAAGGCGTTGACTGTGACGGGGCCTTCGCGTTGCGTGAATGAGATGTTGCCCAGGTTCAGGGGATCCAAGCTGGACACATTCAGCTCCGGGTTGCCTGGTTAAACGAGGCAAGGCTCTGTGACTTGGTCTTCACTCGTACTTATCAGACATATATTAACAATGATCTAGAAATATCCTGTAAATAGGTGAAAACTTTCCTCTGGATGTAGTCAAATCTGATACTGGATATGTTTATCATTGATTAAAATTAACAATAGTTCTATGCTACCCTATTTAAGTAAAACAAGATCATATCAATGCATACGGTCTCGCGGACCCAAAACTTACGGCCACCCAATATTTTCAAGGTTTGCTATCAAAATGATAATAATAATAATAATATGTAAATAATAATAATATCAATAATAATAACAATAGTAATAATAATATTAGTAATAGTGTTTTCAGCGTTTATTAGGCCTCATAACCTGCCTTCAATTTTCTACATCGCAGAACTTTCACAGCCTGTTGTTGTTTCGAACACACAACTCGCTACTCAAATTTCGCTTTGCTTAAACCGCCCCCGCCCAGAAAGGTGAACCCGCACCTCTCTGCTCCAATCCTGGTACTCTGAACTGTAACCACTGGGCCACCCTGTCCACTGTTCTTACTTTCCAAACTCTGAAAACGCTACGCATTTCACGTGAATGAGCGATGTTTTTTCCTACGTCATTCTGGCGATGAATGCTATAAATATTATGATAGTAAGCTGACGAGAATACGTGCCCAATAGACATCAAAACGCTCATTCTCACACGTGCTCTCGATGGCGATTTTCGGCATTTTCCAGATTAAGATTACAATAAGTTGATATAATTTAACTCTGATTTGTATCAGCCTTCGAGTCAGTGAAACACGATCAGGGACACACACATGTGTTTCAGTAGGAGGTTGACACAAGAAGAGGCCGATTGACGCGCCGCGACCTCCTATAAGACAACTACGTGTCGCGGTCACGTCAACGCGCAGCAAAGCATTAGGCTTAAACCTCGGTACATGATTAACATCGGATTATTACCCATACCCACAACATAGTATGTTTCAGCTTACGATTATAATAACGTCAACGATGTTAATTTAATGAGCAAGCTCTTCACAGCGCTGTACGCACACGTCATCACCCACCTTTGACGAGAGTGGGCTGCAAGCGCTTCACGGCGCTGTACGCACACGTCATCACCCACCTTTGACGAGAGTGGGCTGCACGCGCTTCACGGCGCTGTACGCACACGTCATCACCCACCTTTGACGAGAGTGGGCTGCACGCGCTTCACGGCGCTGATGAAGCATTCGTTGAAGCGGTCCAGGAACTGCTCGTGGCATTGCTTCATCAGCGTGCCTGCGGGTCAACCAACAAACAATGAACATCGGAAATTGCAAACAATGGTAGAAAATAGTTACATAAATTATACTTCATCATTTGAACTAACTATGAAACATTAACTAAATGTTGCGATCGAAATTTTAACTATTGTCGAGATGTTTTCGTTGACGTACCGAGTGTCGTTTTTCTATAGCAATAGGGGATTTTTTTGCGTGCATGATAACGCCGCCGCTGTCGTCATTTGTGAAATAATATTGTTACCAAAAAATGTATTCATTTTTTCATTACATTATTGAATGAAAACGTTTAACAAACGTTTTCGCGTCAGATGAACGGTGAACCATGTTCTCATCGGTGGTGCACGCAACGCGGAGACATTATTTTTTACTAATAAAGAGTAATACCCATGGCTGGCTGGTTAAAATTAATGAATTTTTTGTCAATCTTGAAGATAACAAGACAAAATTAGCTTCTAATTCCTTAACAAGCTTTCGTTTCTATATTATTCGTTAACCAGTCGATCGAAGCACTGAAATATTTGATATTTTTGATAGATTTATATATTCACATAGAAGTATTCATTCTCTCATTCATTTATTTTAAAGCATTTCTTTTCATCAACACGTCAGGGTGGTCGTGTGTCGATAAAATGTATCTTCATAATACAAAAAAGTCACGAAAATCTTGCAGGTCTAGAGTCGGTACCTACATTTTGTGAGGTGCAAATTTTCTATTGAAACAATGAGCGTGTGGGTACGAGTTTAATTGCAAATTTTGAGTGAAGTAACATCTTTTTCCAATTCAAAGCTTGTTCATTATGTCTTTGTGATGGATGGTAATGTTGGAAGTCATTGGTTTTAGTGGATATTCGATTGATGGTATTCGATTAATTAGAATTTAGTATTAGTCTTCAATTAATTAGAATTAAATAAGATGATTACAGTGATAAACTTACTATTCATGGATGTTCATGCAATAGTTATTGCGTAATGCAGTTGTAAAGTTATGTAAAATGAATATTTTATATGTATATTTTTATATAAAAAGTCCCATTTATAGCCTATTACTCACGTTAAATTGAACATAAATAGGTCTAAAGACGCGTGCTGGTACCTTGAATGCAAATAATTTGCAATGGGAAAGCTTGGGCTACAATATCAAGACTTTTTGGGCATATTCTTCTGTTTTCAACGAATTTTACTTTATTTGGCTCCCCTGAACAATTTAAAAATCCAAAAAACGCCATCTTAAAAAAATTATAACTCCAACAGCTTTTAAGAAACGGCAATGAGAGACATACCATTCGATTTGTAAAAACAACACCTAGCAACTCTAGAAGCCTTTTTTTTAATATGTGCATGGTTTGACTTATATATGGGAGAGGGAGGAAGGTGGGGGAGGGTGAAAATGTGAAAAAATGGAAGAACGCGAAAAAACGATGAAAAAAATAAAAAATCGGGGCTCTATATACAGTCGCTAGGTATTTTTGTTACAAATCGAATGATATGTGTCTCGACATTGTAGCATGTGATTTGCTAAAGTTATAAACTTTTTTAGAGTACCCCTTATTAGCCGTTTCTATTAATTCCAGGTTTTCCTTAATTTTTTTAAATTTACATGAACAAAAAGTTCTTAGATTTCTGTTTTACATATGTGTACCAAGTTTCAAAACGATCCGTCTGTAAACAAAAAAGTTTTGTTGGAGGGTAGCCGGTCCCTTAATAGTATTAAATATTATTTAAAAACAAGCATGATAATATAAATTACAGTAATATATAATATAATTACAGTAATTACAGTAATTACAGTAATTACATAATTACAGTAATATAATATAATATAAATTACAATGAATACATAATATAAATTACAGAATAAAACTGTACGAAAGATTTCGGTGTAATGTTGTCAACCTCAGCCTGTTATACTAGTATCAACATGTTAGTTGTTACTTGTTAAGTTGTTACCAGTTACCACTAACAGGTTTTTTCATCTTTCAGTTTGCTTACAGTTATTTTTACACAGTTATTTTTATGTTTCACCTTCCCAACATGGATGTCTACTTTAATCTACCAATCTCAAAAATAATCCATATATATATATACAAAAAAAAGACTGATTTTTATATGTATGTGTGGATAATTTCTTAGATTGGTAGATTAAAGTTCACATCCATGTAGGGAAGATAAAACATAAAAATAACTGTAACTTTTATTTACTGTATCTAATCCTGGGGTAACCCATACTAGTTCGGTTAGGTTAATTGAAATAAAGTTGCATTGAAATAATATTGTTACCAAAAAATGTATTCATTTTTTCATTAAATTATTGAATGAAAACGTTTAACAAACGTTTTCGCGTCAGATGAACGGTGAACCATGTTCTCATCGGTGGTGCACGCAACGCGGAGACATTATTTTTTACTAATAAAGAGTAATACCCATGGCTGGCTGGTTAAAATTAATGAATTTTTTGTCAATCTTGAAGATAACAAGACAAAATTAGCTTCTAATTCCTTAACAAGCTTTCGTTTCTATATTATTCGTTAACCAGTCGATCGAAGCACTGAAATATTTGATATTTTTGATAGATTTATATATTCACATAGAAGTATTCATTCTCTCATTCATTTATTTTAAAGCATTTCTTTTCATCAACACTTCAGGGTGGTCGTGTGTCGATAAAATGTATCTTCATAATACATAAGAGTCATGAAAATCTTGCAGGTCTAGACATTTGCGGTACCTACATTTTGTGAGGTGCAAATTTTCTATTGAAACAATGAGCGTGTGGGTACGAGTTTAATTGCAAATTTTGAGTGAAGTAACATCTTTTTCCAATTCAAAGCTTGTTCATTATGTCTTTGTGATGGATGGTAATGTTGGAAGTCATTGGTTTCAGTGGATATTCCATTGGTGGTATTCGATTAATTAGAATTTAGTATTAGTCTTCAATTAATTAGAATTAAATAAGATGATTACAGTGATAAACTCACTAATCAATCTTTGTTAGTCTGATCCCGGGCTCAGCACTTTTTGTGTGACCTCCAAATGTGGCAGAAACCTGTTTGTTGTGTCCTTGATTTACACCTCTGTGGCTAGCTTCGCATGAAACTTGATGCCTGTAAAATCTAAGATTTTCTGTCAGATCTGAATTATGCTCCTATTCCTCCTAGATTTGGAGTACTTTTTCATTTGGAGTACTTGTCGATATGTCTTACTGTCTGTCCTGATGTGTCTTATTGTAAGGCCAAACTGGGTCAGAATGACCCATAAGGGGCGAAAACTGCATCGTAATGTGGACGAAGTGATTCACTGGTTTCCCTGAGTGCGACTGTCGCCAAGCCGACCAAAATATAAGGTCTTCAACGAGGTGCGACCGTGCGACCGAGGCGTGGCAAGAGGCGAATAAAAGTTCAAAAATGTAAAAGAAAAATACTGAAGCTGTCGACTTCATGGCAAAGAAAAAATCTGAAGCGGGCTAATTTTCTTCACATTTATTGCCAAAAACTCGCATCAATTTAAGCCTTCGCACGTGAACTTTGTGCAACTTCGATAGTTTGGCATCAATTACGTCGGGACATGGTGCGACAATTCTTTGTTTAAATTAGGTGAATTTATTACTGAGTATTAGGTAATGGATGAATTGATCAGAATTTGATTCGAACTCCACATCTGGTAAGTAAATGATCATCAACTTGACTGGATCAGTTTCTAATACAACGATAATAATGTCCTTATGCGGTATAAATGAAGGTAATTTTTCTTATACTTTAGGAGTTAAAATTGTCACTATTCTACTCTTGACCGCTAGCAGTAATATGTAAAACTAGAAACAACAATAATTTGATCAAAAACTATACAAATCTATCATGATGGCCATTTAACCTTGTGGCTGTCTCTTATACACATCTAGATGTGTATAAGAGACAGAGGTAGGGCCGTTCGCAATAATGCGCACTTGCATGGTTGCACCTTAGAAGGATCCAGTACGCTTCCAGAGAACCTATTTGTTCAGAACATTACTTCAGATGTCCTGCAATGACTTTATAACTCAGATGATGATGACATAACATCTTATTCAGATGTCCTGCAATGACTTGATAACTCAGATGATGATGACATAACATCTTATTCAGATGTCCTGCAATGACTTGATAGCTCAGATGATGATGACGTGACATCATAAAATTAATACAAATATAAATGCCTCGTATTTAACATAAAAACTTGCACCTGTAAATGCGTGTAAACTATTCAGAGAATTTTAATAACAATAATCATATGTTGCTTCTATGATTACTTAGATATAATCTTCAATTTCAAGATAACTTCTCACGCGTGTAGGAATTCTCGATGTGATTTGTATCTGTTGAGCCCATAGATAGACTAGCTGCAATTCATTTAATTCTGATCATAAATCAATGCATCGAGAATAATGGATCTTGTTAAGAATCAAATCAAATACAGCTTTCGGTGCACAAATTTCTACGTTCGTTAGTATCGCGCTATAGTGATCGACCTTGAATTCCTCCGTAAATTTGTTTGTAACTATAACGCCAACGATTAACAGTTTATTCTTACCAAGTTGCTGAGCAGAAACAAGGTGTACGCTGAGGAGCACCACAACCAGGGCGTTGAGGGCACGCATCGTCCAAGACTGATCTGATATTTTCGGTCTTGACTCGAGTTTAATTGCTTCAGAGTTTGATATACTTCAGTCTTCTTGGAGCCAATGCAAGCAACGGGATCACTGCCTGAGCCTGACGCCGAGATGCTAACTACTGAAGGCTGCGAGCGCTCTCAGGTCTTATTATACAGGCTATTTGAAGGTCACTATAGCAGCCTGCAGCGATATTGTAACTCATGATTTTTTTGCAGCAACTTCTCAGCCTTATGAAAACGCTTCAATTTGTCCTAATTTGAGTGAGATTTATGTTAATTTCAACTAGCACATTATATGTTGCCACAAGATGTCATATGTGACTTGCATGACAAAGAACTCGATAGATTTGCATGACAGAAAACTTGATAGAAAATGCGCCATGTTTTGCATTGATTTGTAGTTTCATAACGGATTTCAATTAACAAAAGAAAAAGGCTTTTTCTTTTGTTAATTGGGCTTTCTATATCATCGAGTGGTGCAACAGCTCAATTTTGATTGTTCAGTTTCTTGTCGCATGTCCATGCAATTGAGCGTCGCGAACTCAATCTCTTGTTCATGACATCTGTGTAGTTGAAATATTGTTTGCCTACACTCTTACGAAAGTAACATTTAGTTGCATTTGAAACTTTTTCCCCGCGAATAATTTATGCTCATTCTGTTTCCCAAAAAAATTTCAGGTTTTTTATCGCTTTTGCTGCCCATTTTCTCCGAGGGGGAAGACACAGTTGAATCCAGTCGGGAAGGTAAGTATACCAATTCTTCCAAAAAGCGAATAGAAAATTATTGATACTTGGACACATGTAACAAAAAAAAAACATCGATACAAATAAAACTGCTGTACACGGAACATCTAAGTATTTATTCCATAATTTCGTATAACTCGTTTATTGTTTCAGATTTCGTTTTATTCCTATAACTCTTTTGAAATTTTTAAAAACATACCGATAGGTTTGAGTCCGTCTCTTAAATTCTTAAGCATTCCATATTGGTTGCATAGGCCGCAACTGTAACCCGATGGTCATCGATAGCGCAACGTGTATTTCGGTCTCCAGTTTGAAAATTATTAATGTTTTGTTGTAGCGGTGCCAATAGGAAAGGGGAAGAGAACAAGAGGTGGCATAGAGTAGTCAGAAAAAAGGAGAAATTGATAAAATAGTTGAAGGTGGAAAGCACATTATTGGGTTGGTTGTTAGTTTTAGGGGTTTGCTTGGGATTGGGGGGAGGGGAAAACCGACCTTCAGGGGGGCAAAATGATGTATTTCTTGGGGCGAGTTTCATAAGGCGAGTTGCGCGCGGTACGATAAGCAAATTGAGAAAGGAATGATGAGTTGCGAGGATTTAGTTTCGTGTGGGCTAGTCGACTGATTATTTCCCTCAAGAAAATTTTTGATTATGGTATTAATATAATTATCATATACATATTAACAAAACCAAGAAATAAAAAGCAAAGAAAATTCCCTGAAAATTTTCCACAATTTTATTGAATTATGGAATTAGTAGAATATCCGTATTAGCATTAAAATTGGAGCATTAGTAAGACTAATAGTAGTATTGGTGAGAAAATAGTTTAATTAGAATAGGCAATATGTCACGTAACTCAGAAATATCAAATTTAGTAAGGTTTTACTCTGAACTTGTGTAAGTCTTTCATTTGGTTCAAAATACACTGCTTGGTCTTTATTGCAATGATTGTTACTCTATAATTTATGCCAGGATAGCAAAAGGCGACGGTAATGCCGTCGCCATTTACTTATACTTATAAACAATGGGAATAACTGATTTACGGAACAACGCAGCCTAAACTGCCTAAGTAAGTAATTTGAAAAAAAAAGAAACGATTTGATGCTCACTTGAAAATACCGCAAATCACTAAAACGAAAACGAAACGGCTCATTACCTCAAAGTAGTTATTAAAACGTCATGTGATGAAGTGATTTAAAATTGAACTTGAAAGCTACCGGAGGTTTCAAAGAAATGTGTATGATGTATAGCGCTCATGCTTGAAACGTTCATCCTTTGTTCAATTGTTCGCACCGTCAGTTACAACTAAATGCACGAATAGGATTTCAGGGTAAAAGCTCCATCAGCCACGCTGTCCCTGCAGGCGTTGAGACGATTGAGCCTGTGCTTGAGCTTTAGCTGCTAATATTTCATTGGTTCTGCGCCGATGCTTATCTTGTGAATTTTCGTTAGGAAGATCAGTGAGCGCCGGGCCCACGGTTGGTAGGGCTTCAACAGACGCCTTGAGTATAACCCCCAGCAGGCCACCGAACTGCTTCTGCAGGCCTGGTCGCAGCTCTTCCATAATCAGTGCGTCGTTTTCTTTCAAAAAGTGATTCATGGTGTCGCCTGGTCAGAAAAGTGTAGCATAAAACTCAGGGCCTAAGGTACAATATTTGAAAAATACATTTAATCTTCCAGCAAAATCTCACGATGAATGCTTCTCATTAATGCTTCTTTGACAAGCAAAATTACAATTTGTTATAAATTTTTTGAGTCATGACTACCATCACTCGCCGCCTGGGTTAGATAAAAAAATACAAAATAGGACAATAGACACCGGACAGTACCTGGAGACCTGCGTCAAAAACAAGCAGTGGTGCTGGTTTACCTGAATTTTGCAATGGGACCAGCAGAGGAACAATCAAAGGAGCTCCTTCCCTTTGAAACCCACGGAAACGACTGCGGTCTGATTACCTGAGGCAGGCACTACAGGGCTCGGGTGCTAAACTGATGAGCTGCCTGGGAAAGGCTTCCCATGGTTCAAAAAGTAATGTGATATAGGCCACGTCATATCACAACAACAATCAGCAAAGCGGCTCATGAGCAAACTAAACTCATTGACCCTCAACGAAATCAGACTTCACATTTCCACAGTAGTTGTAGCAGGAGCTTGATGGTCGCTTGGTGCAGCCTTCCATCAACCGATGCTAGATTATGCCTCGTCAAGCAAATTCGAAAATAACCTGTATATATACTCACTGAGGACTTTGTTACCGCCGAAGAGGTTGTCGAACTTTGCATCCGATGATTTTATCTTGAAGCTCATTTCGAAGTTCTCCGAGTACCTCTTTCCGTCTGGCCTATATCCTATGTCGCTCTCGGCTTCGATCACGATTCCAGCTGCAACATACCGACAATTTTTGGCCTCTACAAATTTTGTCTTCAGGAATAAGTTAACACTAAATTGTTGCGATTTCATCAGTCAAAATAGCCGCTGTCTCAAATAATTATTAAAGCCTCCACGATATGAGCTCGGTTCGTGAGTTCGGTCAATGAATTAAGGAATGGTTGAATTATAATAGATAAAAATGTTAACTTTTCCGAAACCAAGCAAAGTTTTATCATGACATTGATTTTCCTCCACTTCGTACTAGTGTCACCCTACGTACTCAGGAGGGATGTGTAGGCCCCGGCACCCTCGATGGGGAGCTCGAAGATGCGGCCAGTGACGTTGTATTTGCCCTTTAGCAGGAGTGAGGGGATGGTACAGCCGAAAAACATTTTCTTCAGCTTGATATTCCAGCTGTAAAACCAAAAATTTTCAGTGGAATGCAAATACTTATATAACATTGCAAATTATAATATGAAATACTCGAAAATCCATTTGCTAGCAAGGTAAACAGACACATGACCCATTAAACTCCAGACAACTCAAATTTCGAAGATACCTACTACAGGCACATTACTATATACAGTCAACAGGAACACGCTGCACTCAGCGCATTACATGGAATAATCTTCATATGCCTCACCCACGAGCACAATAACCGGTCATTCAAGATGTCATCTTCGTTTGGTTTGATCGAATAGAGTAAACTAGCTTCACAAAGTCACTCAACTCGACATGCACATTTAATTCAGCAGAAAACAATTAGCCTGCATAAAACACGGGATCGCGTCAATTAAAATTTGTACCTAAACCACATTTCCTATTGTGCTCGCCATGTCCGTCTGTCCGTCCGTGTCTTCACGTTTTCGTCGACGAGAAAATGCGCTCTCTATCACTCACTTCATCGAAATCCCAGACATCACGCATGCCACATCGTGCAGGTGACATCCACTCGCCAATAGTCGCCATTGTCGATCACAACAATCCTGGGTCACTTTCAAACAAGTTAGCGCTGTCAAATCAAATACAGAAATAGAGCCCAACGCAACTAAATTAAAATTAATCCCAACCGAATATTAGAAAATCCGATATTTTGATTGACGACAAAAATTCGCGCACGAATGATCCAAACAATATCAAAAACTCACTTATCGATCATGCACCCTTCACAAATTCTATTCACTGCTCAAAAGCTCAAAAAATATAACTCAGTACTCACTGCAGTGAGTGACAGAGCACATTTTCTCGTCGACGAAAACTTGAGGTCACGGACAGACGGACAGACAGACAGACGGACATGGCGAGCACAACAGTGCATTTTTTCCATAAATGAGAAAATGCGCTAAAAATGTACTGAGGTACTTGAGCGTTATGCCCAGAACCCCTCTTTATTAGCAAAAACCATATGATATACCAAAATCAAAAACCATAGCGCCGACACGCGAGTCCAACTTCGCATTGCACAGAGGGCGGTAGAAGGGCAGCAATCTCTACAAGTTTGTTCTTAACGTTGGTAATTGATCCTCAACGTTCCTACCCACACTCGTGCAACAGTAGGGAAACTCACCAGAAAGTTACGGATGCAGCATGGTGTCAATTGGCCTCACGCAAAATGAATAAATGAAAAAATATTATCGATTTCCGTAAAAGAATTTTATATTAAAATATTGAGATTTTATGTTCTAACTTTTTTCTTTAAAAAAATGTTAACAAATTCAATTTAATGTGAACTGAATAGAAGATTAGATAAATAATCATAAAATCAGTCATTATAAACTGAAATATCATGATGAATATTCGGGGGCTTAACAGATACGGGGGGCTTAGCCCCAACATGTCCTAAAAACCTGCTGACGCCCCTGCACATGAGACACAGAGCGGCAGGACGAACCATCAATGACAGTTGGAGCAACCTTATGCAAACAGCTAAAAAAACTTTTCAACCCAGCAGGTCTGGAGCGAATCATCTCGTCGAATTAGATCAAAACCTTCTCTCATCCATGTGAGTAATGCCAATATATTGATATACTAAAATATTTGTAAATTAAATGGAAGAAAGGAAAATACTATCAATACGTCAGTTAAACTGTGTATATTTTACGTTACTACACCAGCAGTCGCAACCTACTATTGCCTTGATTGTTCTTTAATTCCTTTAATACCGACCAACACCATTCAGCATCTTACTCTATTTCTGCTACTCCTTCGTTTTCCCCTCTGTCGTCGCCCCACATTCTCCTTCTTCCTAATAGCATCGCACCTCCACCAAAATTTTCATATCCCCATGACTGTGAAACATTTTTAAGTATATTCCCTGGAATTTCGTCGTTTAGAAACATTGTAATGATGGCAACCGATTAATAACCTCAAGGTTTAATCACCTGTCACATGGTTTAAACACCTGTCACATGCAACCATGACAGTCACTAATTGAACTCGTGCCACGTGACGCGGCCAAGACAGTCACTAATTGAACTCGTACCACAAGACGCGGCCAAGGCAGTCACTAATTGAACTCGTGCCCCGTGACGCGGCCATGACAGTCACTAATTGAACTCGTACCACATGACGCGGCCAAGACAGTCACTAATTGAACTCGTGCCACGTGACGCGGCCAAGACAGTCACTAATTGAACTCGTGCCACGTGACGCGGCCAAGACAGTCACTACTTGAACTCGTGCCACATGACGCGGCCAAGACAGTCACTAATTGAACTCGTACCACATGACGCGGCCAAGGCAAACACGCATTGAAATTCTATCTGGAGGTGTGGTCATTAGAGTCACTGATGGAACTCTTGCCTTATGACGCAGCTGGTACTGTCACGCATTGATCTCCTACCTCAAGAAGTGGTCATGACAGTCACTCACTCGAAGTATTTGATGTCAAACTTGGACAAGCCGGTTATGACGATATCATCGAAGCGAGAGCGCACTTGCACGGGGCCCTCCAGCTGGTTGAAAACGATAGGGGCCAGCCGGTGGGGGTCCATGGGAGGAAAATTCAGCCGTGGAATACCTGCGCGTGTGGTTGAGAAGTATAAGGCGTTTGATAAAATGGCAGAAACCGTCTGTAATGGAGGGAACATGACGAAGTGGCATTGAGGAGAAGTTTTGACATTGGGGTGAGATTTTCGGTTTGGTAATGTAGGCGAAGGAATCTTTGAGTGGTCATAAGGTGAACTCAATGGCTTGGGATGTGTGGCATGTTCATAATGCATTTAGGAGCCATTAATTATCAATTGGGATAAAATAGCTGATAACTTTTGGCTTTGGAATGAAATTAGCGAAAGTAGTTGGAGGTGAGGGAGTTGTGGAGTATTTGAATTATCTATGACGTGAAACTCGCGATGAGATCCTGGAGGGGAAATATCGGTGATGCGGAATTTTTTAATTAACGCAGACCATGCGTGGTAATGTAAAGGTCATTTTGAAAATTAAGTGTAATAAAAAATTCGTTGGTTTGAGCAAATTACGTTGTATACTTACATTTGATTATATGTTCTTGTGTTTAATCATCAACAATATGTTTTAAGTTCCAAAAGAAATGTAGCTTTTACGTCCTACAGACATGATAAAGCCTCGTGCGGTGGCTCCGGGCTGGTTAAAATGAGCCGTAGCCGGTCAATCGAATCAAAATTTGTGTGAAGAAACATCATAGTCATGCATCACACCCCAAACTTCAGAGTCGTCGTGCATCACTCCTCAAACATTAGAGTCGAGCATCATACCCGGCCAGACTTTAAAGTCGTGCATCAGACCCAAAACTTCAGAGTCGTGCATCACACCCAAAACTTCTGAGTCGCGCATCACATCCCAAAACTTCAGAGTCGGGCATCACATCCCAAACTTCAGAGTTTTACATCACACCCAAAACTTCAGAGTCGTGCATCACATCCCAAAACTTCAGAGTCGCGCATCACATCCCCAAACTTCAGAGTCGTGCATCACATCCCAAAACTTCAGAGTCGGGCATCACATCCCAAAACTTCAGAGTCATGCATCACATCCCAAAACTTCAGAGTCGTGCATCACATCCCCAAACTTCAGAGTCGTGCATCACATCCCCAAACTTCAGAGTCATGCATCACATCCCAAAACCTCAGAGTCATGCATCACATCCCAAAACTTCAGAGTCGCGCATCACATCCCCAAACTTCAGAGTCGTGCATCACAGCCCAAAACTTCAGAGTTGTGCATCACACCCAAAAATTCAGAGTGGTGCATCACACCCAAAACTTCAGAGTCGCGCATCACACCCAAAACTTCAGTCGTGCATCACACCCAAAACTTCAGAGTCGCGCATCACACCCCAAACTTCAGAGTCGCGCATCACACCCAATTTCTCACCAGCGGCAATCTGAGGTCTCATCTTCATGATGGCGCTTACGAGGCACTCGTTGAGACGCTCGATGTGGTTTTTCCTGCAGTTTGTCAACATGGTAGCTGCCAACAAAATAGTTCATGTTGAACTTGTTCATTGATCGTTTGTCATTGATCAATGTCAACCAAGTAAACTGCGGATGCGCACAGTTGCCAATAATTCTAGGTATAAAATTATCGCGATGGTAGAAATAGCTTAATGTATGTCATATGCTATCCCCTGTTTGAAAATATTCTTCAATAGATCGCGAGAAGCTGATGGATGAATAGAAGATTCGTGTATACATATATACACACGAAGATTGGGTACCGCTGCCATGCCAACTGTTTCCTTTGTGTGGTAATGAGAACTGAACAGTACTAAAAATAACACACATTTGCCACTGAAAACTATTTTTAGATGAAACTATGAACTAATCTATAAAACCTCGACTACCTCCATCTTTATCACATCTTCCGTTTTCATCATCCTTCGGAGCGACTCATCTGCCACCAAAGCAACCCGACAGCTCGATACAACAGTCATACAGGGTTCAACTAAATGAGTATAGACCGGAGACAGACCTGAGAATAACTGACAGATTCGATATATTCGAAGCGTCCCGCAGAAGTTAATCCTCCTCAAATCAGACAACCGACTCCGCACCTGGATTCTGCGCCGTGACTAATGGTGCCTCTGCTATAGCTACAAACTGACCTCCAAAATAAAAAGTAGAAAATAAATTGTGGCTCGCCCCAAAAAACGTGTGTCGGGCAGATTTATGATTAAAGCGAAAAGCACACAACACACGAATTTTGGAAATTTGATGGTGAACGTAGTGTAAAATACTGATAGCTACTACTTACCCTGTGTAAAATACTGATAGCTACTACTTGTTCCGTGTAAAATACTGATAGCTACTACTTACCCTGTGTAAAATACTGATAGCTACTACTTTCCCGTGTAAAATACTTATAGATACTATTTGCCCCGTGTAAAATACTTATAGCTACTACTTGCCCCGTGTAGAAGCCTATTCGCGGGCAAAACTTGAGGCGGCGACTTATTGCAGCCCGTAATACGTACGTACATAGCTGCTGCAACATGCCCCGCACCTTAGCGGCAACTGAATTGCAACGCTGCTATTGGTTGCATAGCATCACAACTTTATGTATTTTTTTTCGGCAAACACGTTTCTAGATTTTTTAGTATACGCTGGAAGACAGAATTTACGAACAAAATTCATTATATTATTTAGATGAATGACCGCAGTGCGCAGTGTACGAAAAAAGAGAGCTTCTGATAAAATCGACTACTGTCCTGATCTCATTGTATACTAGAGGTTCCAACGTCCTGATTGCTCACTGGACGATATTATCTGAAATTTATTTCAAAATGTTTAACCGATAAAATATATTTATATTAAAATAAATTAATTCGTGTATTTTTCTTATCGCGGGTCGGTCTCTCGACGCAATTTCAGTGAAATTACGTATTAACCTTCAAATCTCACCTGTGTCCTCCTGGGCGTATGCAAGTTGCAAGGCCAGCAAGATTACGACCGTCCTGATAACCGCCATCTTCTTGAGCATAAAAACCAACCCCAGAAGTTTTGCCAGAGCGCAGTAAGGTTCGCAACCACCGTAAGCGAGTTGCTTCTTAGAACTGCAGAAGCTTTGGTGCTTCGCCTCAAATACATATATCGGAAACTGTCCGCTCATCAGCTGCATTCTCAAAAAAACGTTAATGTTAGTTCTTTTTCTTTTACATGTTTTATTTTATGCTCTTTGTTATAGAATAAAAAAATGATGACTTAATATCTACATCGTAACGAATTCGAAATGTCCGAGCAATATATAGAAATCATGCGCCGGCAATCGAACTTGAATTTATGTTATTACTGCGTCGTAACCAACGAACATCGTAAAATTTAAAGGCCATGCATTACATCTGGAAAAATTATAAAGAATTATGTCGCAAAAATTTTTTAGTTCCCTTCCTCCAAGCTGTATTTCTTTTCAGCACATAGTAAATAATTCTTCAATGACCATCCTACAAGCTGCAGCTCTTTTCAACAGGTCGTAAATAACTTTAAATCCTGTGTAAGAACTTCACCTCCTTAAATATCATCAAAATTACAGGGACTTTGAAACTCAAACTTTTGTGGAAAAATGATCGAACAAACCTGATAGGTTGTTCGATCATTTCTCCGTCATAATTTTTTTGACAAGATTTGCATTGCATTTCTAATTGTGCAACAGTTTGTTCATGAGGACTCATTTTTGCATCGTTGTCACGGCTCCAGATCTCTGACTACTAGCTGGGAAGGCAGTCAGAGATCAGGATATTATGTATCATGCATCTATTAGATGCATAGTTCAACACTTTTCAGTTAGAGTTTTCAGACGTTTAATCGTGAGTTTGTTTTCGCATGTTCAAACGAAATTCGGTTCCGCAATCCAGTTAAATTTTATTAAATTTTTGGTAATAAATAATTTATTACATCTTGCTAGCCAAAAACGTAATTTTGCAATTTTATAACGTATAATTTTGATTTATGCATATTCTCTACAGATTATCCTCAATATAAAGTCAATGAGTTGGATATTGTGTTATGGAAATAATGTTCTGGAGCAGCGCACAATCTTTCGTCTATCAGTTACAAGTGATTAATGATGAACCACAAGATAACGCAAAGACAGAAAAGATGTTTCTTAAGTGAAGTCACAACATCGACATGCGCGACAATCACAGTTCCATTTTCACCCTTTTCAGAAATTTTGAAAAAGGGATAAATAATCTTTACATTTTTTGATGCTGGAGCTAGTACGAAGAAACTATAATAATAATAATTATTCCAGACAGAAATTTTTAAATTTTAAGTCCATGCAAACAACACAATTTAATTAATGACTCGCATCTAGAAGCGCACCATCTTTCTCCCTTTGTCACGTCATCAGTTGCGCCGTCAACTTAGCACACAACCTTGAAATTTTCTGCAATTTCTTCCCGTATGATTGCTTTGATGAAGTAGGCAATAATATTATCTCCGAAATTAATTAAATAGCTCATGTTTCGACACTGAAGCTGGTGGATTCGACATTTCACCTTGCATTATATAAAAGATTTTAGCTGATGCTGGAGTTGGACTCCAAAACGTTTCCATTAAAGTTAAAGAAATGGTGAAGCTGCTTGAGGTTTTCTTTGCCTTTTAATTCTTAGAGAACTTGCGATTTGAGCAGAAAATTAAATTAAGTATTGGTAGATTCGAGTCTTAATTGTTTTGTTTTGTTTCAAATTGATCAGTTCCAATAACCAGTGATCTGAAAAATTTTTACCAGAGCTGCGATTTATCTTTCTAAATTCATATCAAACACCTTTTTTGCTCGGGCCTTAAAAAGCATGGAATAAATTTCGGTGCTAAAATAATAAAAAATATCATTGAACCCGAGTTGTCTTAAGCGCCCGGGATTTTCCGTTCAAAAAACGAGAACAGGCTTCAAGTTCTTATAATAATTTGCTCAAGCATGCTTCTCGAAATTCAAGTTTTTACAACTTTCAGGATGCAAGCATTAATTGACAGTTGGCACTGGTTCGTACTGGATTGCGCGGCTTGGGGCAAAATAGATATAAAAGCAATTATTTTTTCCCATTGTACTGATAATTTTCTGTATCGTATTTTACATTGAGGACCAGTTTACCCGAAAGTTCGGAAGTACATCGGTAATATTGAATTAATGTATCAATAGAATCACTCTTGTTTAACACGTAAGGTGATCGTAACTTATACGAGTTATACCCTTTAATAAAGAAAATACCTACCTAATATAATAATATATGGAATAATAACGAATAATCACCAATCTCAACATAACACAACAAAATGCGCATCCTGGGCGCAAACTAGGATGCACGTCAACGCTCCATGGTTTGTAGTTGCCTTTTCCTGCATAGTTCAACACTTTGTATTTAGAGATTTAAGACGTCCGGTTTACCGCATGCGATAGAGAATATTGAGTTAGAGCTTAGACGTCCTTGAAGTTGAACGGTGCAAGACCGGTCCTTCACGTTGCGTGAATGAGATGTTGCCCATGTGAAGAGGATCCAAGCTGGGCACATTCAGCTCCGGATTGCCTAGGTTAAATTTAAAATGGCCTTATTGGTTAGCTAATTTATGCCATTACTTTTAGTTGGTCACTGATTGACTTATTTTAATATCATGTTGAGTATTGGTCATACACTGCAGAGACATTAGTCCTGAAAGAACTTGGTCAATTAGTTAAGTTCTATCTCATGAACCAGGCGCCTTGCCTGATGTTTAAATAGAATTAATTGAATGTTGTATCCTGAATCAATTCCTGCTCAATGTTACTTCAGCGTAATTTACCTGGAGGGCTGCATTGGATTCAAATTACTCCCTTTTATAACCGATGTCTTGCCTACGTGGAGCAACCTCATTTTACCGCTTGGACATGAATTTCTTTATTTGGGTAAACACCAGATTTGTCGGAAATCCATTAAGCGAGAAGACATTGCGTATGAATTGGCTATTGTTAGATTCGAGCTCCATAGTAAATTTGATGGATTTATGTTTCGAATTTCGATAATCGAAGAAGAGTTTGTCGAGATAGGGATACATAAAAATTAAAAAAAGTGTCATTAACGTATCTGTTGTAGAATATTGGCTTAAAATCAAGAGAGCAATTGGACACTCAAGACAGCCAAAAATCGTGAAAACACATAAAAAATTTTTGCAAAGGTTGGACCGAGAGGAAACCCATGCCCAAACAGGCAATATGTCGGTAAAACTTGTCCAAAAATATGAAAAAAATAGTTTAGAACAGATAATTCCAAACGAGATTTTAAAAATTACGTTTCAAACCTATAACGAGGTCAATAACATCCTTAAACAGAGAATTCAGGCAGATTTCAATGGTTTCATGAAAGGCACTTTAGTAAAGAAATTTTCAACGTCAAAATAGGCCATAGTTAGGTCCTGAACGTCGGTAAAATCATTTAGGCGTTCTACAAACGTACATAAATTCTGCCCAGTAGCATACTTCGGCCCTGCATCCGAAACTATGTCAAGGGAGCTAAAACTTTTGTTCTCAATTTACTTCCCATATGTTAATCTTCGTGTTTTATGGATGAACAATTTCTAAATCTCTTCTTTTTTGGGTCCCCTATATGTTCTATGCATATGCGAGTGTCCCTAACTTATAAATGTAGTTGTGCACATTGTGCATCTGCGTACGTCGGGATGACGTCTCGCAATCTTTATTCAAGGGTCGCAGAACATAGGGAGATGATCGCAGAACATTAAGCCACTTACCATCACGCCCCCCTTATTCGGCTGTGAGCACTCGCGCCGAGCAGTGCGATGTTCCAATTTCTGATAGTGACTTCGAGGTTTTAGCTTCCACTTCTGGTGTTTCCGGTTTATGCATTTCAGAATCATGATATATTTTTAAACAGAGGCCTAGTTTAAATTCAGCTTCTAGCTCCAACCCGCTTAAAATTGTTAATAGATCGGTTTTACCGTTTAGTTTTTTTTGTAATCTTGACTGTGCTAATTACTGATTCTTCTTTGTTACAGAATTTATGTACTGGTGATCGAGCTGGACACTGAAATGTTTTCTATAAAGATAATATGAATTTTGGGGAGTTTTCTTTGCTATTAAGTCTTAAGTGAACTTTGTTATTATAGCATAATGTTTCAATTTAAAATTCATTGCGGCTTGTTTTATTAATGTGGATTCGAGAGAATGTCATGCCGCGTCCTTATTTATCACCATCACAAATCAATAATACCCCTTTCAAAATAATTCTCTTAAACTAAATTGAATAATCTTTTGGAAGAAAAACTGAGGGCCGTTTTCAGGAGTAAAGAGTAATTTACTCGGTTTAAATGATAATGAGCTATTAAATGATAATGAGCTTATTTACCCATACTCAATTAAGCTAATTTAGGTCTCTAATTGCTAGTTTTTATGATTGTATCTGAAAATGTTAGGCGAAAATAGCCTGCATGCCGAATTTCAGATCTCTAGAGCAATCAGAAGTGAGCTAATTTTCGTTGTCAATGTTAACAACAACAAAACAAACAAACAAACAAACGCGAAGCTAAGCTAAGAAAAACGTGTTAAAAAGCCACTGAAATATTAATCTGGGAACCGAATTAATCCGAATTTATCTACGAACCGAAATCCACCAGACCTCTGATCCTCACAACCCACATTTTGACTACTCAAAAAAGATATTGGAATAATGACGGCGGCAGAAATAAAAGCAGAGACGACTTCAAAACTGAATACTTCTACAGGATATTATTATTCGAAATTCAGAAATTCACTCACGTAATTAAAATATTTACAACAGATACCACCATATGTGCAACGCATATTTAACGACGGCGTCTCCACGTTTGACATGAGAATCTAACCCACACAGTGCGAACAGGAGAAATATTTGCATGTCCTCATCTGTTACAAATGCTTCTTATTCAAAGTCCACTAAACCCATCTATGCACCACCACCTCACTTTCCTGTTCAAATCAATACACTGATAGCTACTAGTCGTCCCGTGTAAAATGCTGATAGCTACTACTTGCCCTGTGTAAAATACTGATAGCTACTACTTACCCTGTGTAAAATACTGATAGCTACTACTTGTTCCGTGTAAAATACTGATAGCTACTACTTACCCTGTACGGCTCCAGATCTCTGACTATACTAGCTGGGAAGGCAGTCAGAGATCAGGATATTATGTATCATGCATCTATTAGATGCATAGTTCAACACTTTTCAGTTAGAGTTTTCAGACGTTTAATCGTGAGTTTGTTTTCGCATGTTCAAACGAAATTCGGTTCCGCAATCCAGTTAAATTTTATTAAATTTTTGGTAATAAATAATTTATTACATCTTGCTAGCCAAAAACGTAATTTTGCAATTTTATAACGTATAATTTTGATTTATGCATATTCTCTACAGATTATCCTCAATATAAAGTCAATGAGTTGGATATTGTGTTATGGAAATAATGTTCTGGAGCAGCGCACAATCTTTCGTCTATCAGTTACAAGTGATTAATGATGAACCACAAGATAACGCAAAGACAGAAAAGATGTTTCTTAAGTGAAGTCACAACATCGACATGCGCGACAATCACAGTTCCATTTTCACCCTTTTCAGAAATTTTGAAAAAGGGATAAATAATCTTTACATTTTTTGATGCTGGAGCTAGTACGAAGAAACTATAATAATAATAATTATTCCAGACAGAAATTTTTAAATTTTAAGTCCATGCAAACAACACAATTTAATTAATGACTCGCATCTAGAAGCGCACCATCTTTCTCCCTTTGTCACGTCATCAGTTGCGCCGTCAACTTAGCACACAACCTTGAAATTTTCTGCAATTTCTTCCCGTATGATTGCTTTGATGAAGTAGGCAATAATATTATCTCCGAAATTAATTAAATAGCTCATGTTTCGACACTGAAGCTGGTGGATTCGACATTTCACCTTGCATTATATAAAAGATTTTAGCTGATGCTGGAGTTGGACTCCAAAACGTTTCCATTAAAGTTAAAGAAATGGTGAAGCTGCTTGAGGTTTTCTTTGCCTTTTAATTCTTAGAGAACTTGCGATTTGAGCAGAAAATTAAATTAAGTATTGGTAGATTCGAGTCTTAATTGTTTTGTTTTGTTTCAAATTGATCAGTTCCAATAACCAGTGATCTGAAAAATTTTTACCAGAGCTGCGATTTATCTTTCTAAATTCATATCAAACACCTTTTTTGCTCGGGCCTTAAAAAGCATGGAATAAATTTCGGTGCTAAAATAATAAAAAATATCATTGAACCCGAGTTGTCTTAAGCGCCCGGGATTTTCCGTTCAAAAAACGAGAACAGGCTTCAAGTTCTTATAATAATTTGCTCAAGCATGCTTCTCGAAATTCAAGTTTTTACAACTTTCAGGATGCAAGCATTAATTGACAGTTGGCACTGGTTCGTACTGGATTGCGCGGCTTGGGGCAAAATAGATATAAAAGCAATTATTTTTTCCCATTGTACTGATAATTTTCTGTATCGTATTTTACATTGAGGACCAGTTTACCCGAAAGTTCGGAAGTACATCGGTAATATTGAATTAATGTATCAATAGAATCACTCTTGTTTAACACGTAAGGTGATCGTAACTTATACGAGTTATACCTTTTAATAAATAAAATACCTACCTAATATAATAATATATGAAATAATAACGAATAATCACCAATCTCAACATAACACAACAAAGTGCGCATCCTGGGCGCAAACTAGGATGCACGTCAACGCTCCATGGTTTGTAGTTGCCTTTTCCTGCATAGTTCAACACTTTGTATTTAAAGATTTAAGACGTCCGGTTTACCGCATGCGATAGAGAATATTGAGTTAGAGCTTAGACGTCCTTGAAGTTGAACGGTGCAAGAAAGTCTAACTTGCAACGTTTTCCTATTTATTTTGCTTGCCAGTTCCAATACTTGAAGCGATGTTTGCTGTCCATCGATAGTTCCATCAGTTCAGCAGGAGGTTCGTCAGAACTGATGGAACTCCTGGCTGCGGAATTTACTGGGCCATCTTGCCTGGATTCAGACCCAAAAGTCCACGGTATTTAGTTCTATAGTTTCATTATAAATCTGGGAGCAATAAAACTTGAGGGAATTAGAATGCATACGACTGTATTGTAAAAGCGATGCGCGGTAAATGTTCACAAACGCTATTTATAGTAACAAGGCTGCTACGTGATTAACAGTCATATAGACTATAGACTTTATTTCATCTATCGGTCTTATAGTTGACATATTTAGTTTCGGGTCGAAAGGATGGTTCAAGTAATACTTATACAATGAATTTGTGAACTAAAGTTCACAAATTAGAAAAAATTGCGATTCAACACTAAACATATACCTAGTAATGAAACGAAATCTCATTTATGAAATTTTACATTTATATTATTTTTATCAACTGTTAATGCCGGAAGGCATCTACCCTTGTTATCACCCTACCAATCTGTTCAATTTTTGTAATTTTTCAGGAAACATCCCTCATTGATTTAGACCAAAACAAACTGCCATCCAAAGCATTAAGGTTCGATGCAAAACATGATGAGATTATTGAGCCTGCATCTTCAGCTATACCAGAACAGCATCAGGAACAACAGGACGGCAGAACTGCTGGGAGCAAAAAGGATTCTCCCAATTCTGTCAAGGCCCAAGTGGGGTCCCAAGGGTCATGCCACAGGTACTATGCCATGGCAGGACTTAGTTGTGATGGCTCCCATGGCTCCTTCGGGTCATTATTGCCCTCTGAGTCATTATTGCTCTCTGAGTCATTATTGCCCTCTGAGTCATTATTGCCCTCTGAGTCATTATTGCCCTCTGAGACATTATTGCCCTCTGAGCCATTAATGTCCTCTGCACCTCCACTACCTGGTGCTTCAAGGCATTCGAGACTTATTCCTAGGAAGGTGGTCAACATCATAGGCCTGGGAACGATATTACTCCGAGTGACTGTCTCACTGAATGGTAAGTCAGTAGTTGCTGTCATTGGCTCGGGAGCAGAAAGTTCACTTATTACATTAGAACTAACCAATCAGCTACAACTCCCAATAATTAATGACATTCATATGTATCGTGTTGTTGGTAATGGACAATTCAGGACTTTGGGAAAGGCAACTTATGCAGTAAATGTTCAGGGTGTTCAAATGAATGATTTGACCTTGTCAGTATTCCCTGCAATATCCAATCATTATGTTCCTCTTATTTTAGGAATTGATTTTCTAACATCAAATTTAATTGCATTGTGTATTAGAAGGCGGTTATTTGTGAAACATTATCGCTCGTGTGCCAGAATATAAATTTACCCCAATTATTCTGGTAGTGCTTAGCAAGTGTTATTGTGTAACTTCCCCTTTTCAGTCCTTTAGTGATATAAGGCTCACGGCAGGAAAAGTGGAATCGATCCCAGTTGATTTTGTTCTTCCTATTAGTGAGCCTGAGCAAATGTTCTTGTGCTCTAATTCTTTGTAATTTTTGTAACACTGAAATAATGTCAACAATGCAGCCTCTTTCATATCATTGGTGATTTTCACAATTAAAGTAAGCCTTGCTGTCGAAGAGATTCCATAGCGTACAACTTCACATCGGCGGTATACTTCCGCAAAGAGAGCCATAGGCGATACTAGAATTCTTCCATAACACTTGATTTTAACTGGCTTTAAGTTGGATTCATGTTGCACCTTTTATCCGAAACAATTGTTACTTTAATTGACATATTAATGCAAAAGTTTAGTAGGATCAACTCGAATCTCAATAGAATAGATTGATCATAGAATATACAGATCGATAGAATTTGTTTTCACAATTTTAGACATACAATTCTATTTCAAACCAAAGAACTTCTAGTGTTGGTGGTGCTTAATTGACGCAACGCCACTGCATACCGCCACACTCAGTCCAATCGAGTGATCGAACGTCTGCACAGGATTTCGAAAAAATCTCTCTGAGATCGAAACTGAGTATACCTTATGCCGATCGTGCTTTCATGGTCGTGCTCCAGCAAACGAGCCAATATTTTTTTCTATTAACAGTTGTTGCGGAAATCTCTACAGCCATCCCATCCAAAACTAAACGAAGGATTATCTAAATAAAGAAATGTTTTAAAAAAATTATCACAGATCAAAGAACAGTTTATCGCGGCTCCGAAGTCATACGTTACAACAAAACTGAAAAAGCAGTTCGGCATCACTACGTCTATGTATTTGAAAGCATCAAGTATCTCACGATCAGACACTTTTGAGTTTCTAGTTTGCCATTGGAAACTCCTGGAAACTAGAATATACATGTCAACGCCTCCCGCCAATCCGACGTATACAACTGAGTGCTAAAGTCAGCACTCAGCCCCTGACGGACTGATCATTGCGGCGAAGTGCCATATCCTGAAGGGTCTTCTTCCTGTGCTTGTCGTTGGTGTTGATGCTGGCACCACGTGGCACTGCAGCTGGCACCGTAGGCAGGATACGGTTGAAGATCTGAGCGAAGAAGATGCTGAGCTGGCGCGACACTTCAGGTCTGATCTCGGCAGCCAACGCTTCGTGGTTGTTGTTCAAGAAGTGGTGGATGGTGTCACCTGCAAACAATTATGGCTTATTGCTTTTTTTAATGTAATCATGTAATTTTACATCATAGTGATTGCAAAGATGATAGGATTCCAAGTGATGATACATAGAGTCATTATATAATATAGTAACCGTCTACAATTTAGAAGAACAATTGGTCTAAGTAGAATTAATTAAAAATCTTTTAATCAATATCTAATAACCTAATCACTGTCTTACTTCCTCCTATTCGTTCTATATAATATTCCCTAAAAATAGTTACACACCTGGAGAGTATAATATTTTATAAATAGATATTGATCAAGATTTTTCTGATGCGACTAATTTTCATCGCCCCAATTTGATAGAGGCGTTTCTTAGAATACCAATGAAGACATTGTTCTTCTAACTTCCAAATAAATCAATTTAAAATAAATTAACTTTCAAATATCATTCTTGGTACTTATGACAAATGCTCTTGTAACGTTATGACAGCAACTTTATGGTTGGAGCCTTATTTTAAAAATTCTGCAATCCAAAAATATTCCCTAGATCAATAGCTATGTTCCAAGCAAGCAACAACAGCGGATTGCAGCACCATAAAGTGTATACGTTTTACATGTTCAAATACGTGGTACAATTGGTTGTCAGGCAAGAGGTTATGCATCTTGGGTGACGACGTGTTGTAACTAGAAAGTGTACAAGTTTTACATGTCGGAGCACGCGATACTCACTGAGAACTTGGTTAATTGTCAGGGAAGAAGTTATGCATCGTGCTTGACAATATATTGAAATTAGGAAGTGTACAAGTTTTACAAAGAGGAACACCCAATACTCATATTCAATGAGAACTTGGTTGTCAGGGAAGAGGTTACGCATCTTGGGTGACGACGTGTTGTTACTAGAAAGTAGACATGGCAGGGTGGCCCAGTGGTTACAGTTCAGAGTACCAGGATTGGAGCAGAGAGGCGCGGGTCCGACCCCAGCTCTGTGCGCCAGTTTCTGGTCAGAATCGACGAGGAGGCCGGGCGGTTAAGCAAAGCAAAATTGAAGCAGTGGGTTGCGAGTTCAAGCCCTCAACAAGCTGTGAATGTTCTGCAATGTTAAGAATCGGCGACAGGCCAACGGACTAATAAACGCTGAAACCTCTATATATACGTATAACCGCTATACATGTCGGAGCACGCGATACTCACTGAGAACTTGGTTGTCAGGAAAGAGGTTATGCATCTTGGTCGACAACGTCTTGAAACTGAAGTCCAAGACAATGTTGCCTATTCGTAGGAACCCCTGATGAGGCCTCACTTCGCCGTAACCACTCACTGTCAAGGCCGCTGCATGCATAAATTGAGGCAGATGAGATATTATCAATAAATTCATCCCTTCGATAAAAAAAGTTGGAGATTATTTACAAATGAATAATTGCATCGATTGCAGTGCAATGAAAACATTATACATAATTTCATTCCTGAACTAAAGCAAAGAAATTTTGGACAGTAAATGCGCAGAATGATTCAATGGATACACCTACAGTCCTACACGCTTTGCGAACAGTACATGGCAGCCTTAACGCCACCAAGAAGCAGGTAATCAGAAACAAGAGCCAATAGCTATAATGAGGGGAAGATGTGATTCAAATATTTCAAGTTAATAATTACAAAGGAAAATAAAAACGGGAAATGATTCAAACTAATGTTTACTTAGGTTTGTCCCAAAGGCGCCCTCTCCCACCACCGGGAGCTCGAAGACGCGGCCGCCAATTTTGTACTGTCCGCGGACGAGAATGGATGGAACCGTGACGCCAAAAAGCATGGAGCCATTCTGCAGGTTCAGGCTGAGATATAGAAAATAGATGTGAGAGATTGACGAGATTAATTAAGCGTCAGGCAGTCAATTACGTCGGCAACAGAAATAATAAAAACGGTCGTTTCCTTTTCTAGTGTATTCGTACTTTCGATTTAGCTTATTTTCAGTACATTTACCTTATTTGCATATTTGACAGCACTGGCATGCTTTCAAGTTGTGTTATATCGCAATAAAACAGATTTATTACCTCCTACCTCATCAAGTTTGTCAATTAAAAGACGAAAACTTGTAGTTGAATGATCGTATGAGACACTCATCGCGACCTGGAAATGTTGTGGCCTTGCCTGTAGTTTGACGACGAGCGATCCGAAAGGCGAATTTTGCCGGCATTTAGTCTTTACTTGCTTATTTGGCAGCAATGATTCTAAAATGTTATTCTGTATTGAAACATTAATTCAAATTCTAGTAAAAAAAGTGTGCTTTGCTAAAAAAGAAGTAAGACAACTTCGCCTTCAAATCTAGAACATTGTGTGCAAGCATGAAGAAAATTATTACTATTCCACAGAACCGTGTGGTGAGTGATGGCAGTTAACGATTGCGCTCATATATATCTCTTTTCAATTTTTGAAAGTACAGGGTGGGGCAGATCCGATTGAGCAGTTTTGAGGTAAAATAAAAGAGTAATGGAGGTACATAAAGAAGGAAGTTTATTTTCCTCGATGTTGCATAACATACCATTTATTTAGAATAGTATTAATGTCACTTATTTGCTTAAATCGCAAGTTGACTAAAAATTTAAAAGCAAAGAATAGTCCACAAAAATCCATATCTTCATAGAAAACGTATGATATAACGTTTTCTATAAAGATATGAATTTTTGTGGACTATTCTTTGCTTTTAAATTTTTAGTTATTTAGAATACTTATGTTTTGAAAACAATATCAGGAAGATGGGGGCCGTTAGCTGCAACACACTGTTGGAGTCGTTCTCGGAGGAGGGAGTAACCGTGTCAGTGAATTCCGAACGCTATGCTGCAATGTTGCAAAATTTCTTGCAGCCCAGGATGGAAAAAATTGTTAAAAATGAAGCATTGGGAAACGTGTGGTTCCAGCAGGATGGGGCTTCAGCTCACACAGCCCGAGTGTTATTCAATGTTTTGAGACGCATGTTTCCCGGAGGTCTGGTCTCTGAGGGGTGATTTACAGTGGCCTGCGAGGTCACCTGATTTGAGCATTTTCTATTTCTGTCTTTGGGGACATCTAAAAAAAAGGGTTTTCAGAAGTCGCCCTCACACCCTACCACAGCTAAGGGAACGGATTATTGTAGCAGAGGTTATGGCCATACCTCGCCATATGTGTGAACGTGCTGTAGAAAACTTCCGAGAACGACTCCAACATTGTCTTGCAGCTAACGGCCACCATCTTCCTGATATTGTTTTCAAACACAAGTATTCTATAAATGGTATGTTATGCAAATTAACATCGAGGAAAATAGACTTTCTTCTTTATGTACCTCCATTACTCTTTTATTCCGCCTCAAAACTACTCAATCGGTTCTGCGCCACCCTGTATACTCAAGATTTTGTCTTTCTATAGTTGTCTTGCACTACAAATTATTCACCATAACTTTCAAAATGTAGTTTGAAGGTGAAACCCAAACTGGAATAAATTTGCGGTAATTCGAAAAAATATAAGTTTTAAATAAAGTAATTTTATTTATATTTTTTATGAATTTCTTTACTACTCGTTATCGTCCCCAGGCACTTGTTTCACTCACTCTAAGTACTTGATGTCGAAATCAGCCACACCGGACACGGCGACATCGGAGTAGAAGGCGTCGACTGTGACCGGTCCTTCACGTTGCGTGAATGAGATGTTGCCCATGTGAAGAGGATCCAAGCTGGGCACATTCAGCTCCGGGTTGCCTAGGTTAAAATTAAAATGGCCTTATTGGTTAGTTTATTTATGCCATTACTTTTAGTTGGTCACTGATTGACTTATTTTATTATCATGTTAGTATTATTTATTTATATTATTATGTTGAGTATTGGTCATAGACTGCGGAGACATTAGTCCTGAAAGAACTTAGTCAATTAGTTAAGTTCTATTTCATGAACCAGGCGTATAATAAATAAAATAAAAATTAAATAAAATAAAATTAAATGAATGCTGTATCCTGAATCAATTCCTGCTCAATGTTATTTTAACGTCATTTACCTGGAGGGATGCATTAGATTCAATTTACTCCCTTTTAACCTATATCTTGCCTACGTGGAATCCAGTGTGTCTTGATTTCAAAATAATGAATCATATAAACAATATTTAATGTGTAATAAATAATTGAATATAATTTATCAATCAATAAACAACCACATGATGTATCCTTCTCACGTCGATTTTACACTAGTATGTTTCATTCATGCTCCCATGCAATGTCAGGTCTCAGAAATCAAGATACAATTTAGCTTGGTTAAAATAGTATAACGTTTCTATTTAAAATTTATTGCTGCTTGTTTTATCGATTTGGTTTCGAGATAATATCATACCGCTTCCTGATTTATCACATACACAATAATACACATTACCAAAATTTCTCTTAAACTAAATTAAGTCGTCATTTGAAAGAACAGTTAATGAGGGCCGTTCAAGAGTATAGAGGAATTTAATCGATTTAAATGATAATAATGAACTCATTATGCTCAGACAATTAGCAAGAAGTCTTGATGGGATGAAATGTGGCGAGCCCCTGGATACGACATATGTGCTATGTGAATACGAACATGTTTTGCTTCAACACCCGTACATTACAACAATGTGTACAGAGGGATTGCTACAGCTTTCATGCACTGTGTGCTCATCAATGTGCGAGAGCTACACGTGCACATGTTAGCGCGCTATGTGATCACCTTTGACGGTGGTGGGCTGAATGCGTTTCAGGCGCTGTACGCACACGTCATCACCCACCTTTTACGAGAGTGAGCTGCACGCGCTTCACAGCGCTGTACGCACACGTCATCACCCACCTTTGACGAGAGTGGGCTGCATGCGCTTCACGGCGCTGATGAAGCATTCGTTGAAGCGGTCCAGAAACTGCTCGTGACATTGCTTCATCAACGTGGCTGTAGAAAAACATGACAACAATGAGCCACAAATATATATACTACGTATGTGCTGGAACAACCAATTGATTTTTCCGTGTCAATAATGTTGGCATTTTTGAACCATATTTAAATTTACGAAAAGACTTTACCCGGATTGATCTAACCCCTGCAGTGTTGTGATCCTAACCCTAATCTAACCCTTTTTACACCCCTAACAATAACTCTAACCTAAATAGGTTGGCATTACATGGCATGTCGCCCAATAACGTTCATCTTTTCGTTGTAACGCAATAAACAGAAACTAATTACCGGCTAAACCGTGCGAAGCGGGTTTCGTCGTACAATTATACCTACTTTCGCAGAATTACTTCAAAATCGTCGCACTATAGACTGGCCCAAGTTTATAAAAATATATAGGTTTGATTGAAGACCAGAGCTTACTTTTTATTAACAATTTTTTTTTTTCGATAAGCCGAACGAAATTTCTTGCTGGTGCTTGGAGATCAAAAAGAAGATTACCAAGTGACATTTTACTGGAATGCGACGTTTCGAATATATCAATATTCATTATCAAGCAAGTGAACAGGTATTACAACGCTTAAAATTGAAATTTGGACATGACATAAGTTCATACAGAAGGTATCGTAAATACGGTTTAAAATCGAAAGTCAAATTAATCCGAGAATAATATCAACGTCCTGACGAATCCGGCAGTTTGTAAATTGATAGCAGGAGACTCGTCCTTCATGATGAAAGCCTCCGCTATCAACAGTCTCGTAGCATTGGGGCACCGCATGACGATGCATGCAATGGTGATCCATGCAAAAATTACAACTTTACATTTTTGTCGCGATAATGAGTATCAGTTGTAAAGCAACTGATACTAAGTTGTAAGCAACTGATACCAAGTTGTAAAGCAACTGATACTAAATTGTAAAGCAGCTGATACTAAGTTGTAAGCAACTGATACCAAAAAACGTTTCGGAGTCCAGCTCCATCGTCAGTTCGTAGAATCTAGAATATACATAGAAAGTCACAAGTTAATACAATTGAAAGCACAGAACACAATTAAAACCTAAATTTACAAGTAATAGGGCATAAAAAACCTATCTATTCACAATTTCAAGGGGATAGGGGGATAGGAGCCAACAACTGAACTTAAACTGGGCCTTAGTTTAAAAATGCACAATGGTTCTAAAATACGCAAATCTGAAGTACCGGAGGTGGAAGCTAACACCCTAAAGTCACTGTCAGAAATAGAGACATCACACTACACCGGCAAGTTTGGTGTATACTTAAATCAAGAAATTCATGTCGAAGCGATTCAGCGAGGTTGCTCCCGAGCGCGATAGTAGGAACGTTATTTATTGTTCTTTTCCATACTTCGGCCCTGCGTCCGAAGCTATGTCAAGAGAATTAAAAGTCTTGTTCAATAAATACTTTTCATACGTCAAACTTCTTATTGTTCTGTTAAACAATTTAAAAATCGGTTCTTTCTTTAGATATAAAGATGTGCTCCCTGTTCATATGCGATCGTCCCTGGTTTACCAATTTCGTTGTGCAGAATGTGCATCTGCGTAAATCGGGATGACGTCACGCAATCTTTATTCCAGGGTCGGTGAGCATAATGGCAGGAGTTGTAGGACCGGACAGTTGCTATCGCGCCCTCCTCATTCAGCTGTGCGCACTCACGCCGAGCAGGTCTCTATTTCTGATAGTGACTTTATAGGGTGTTAGCTTCCCTCTCCGGTACTTCCGATTTGCGTATCTTAGAATCATTGTACATTTTTAAAACTTAGGCCCAGTTTGAATTCAGCTGTTAGCTCCTATCCCCTTGAAATTGAGAATAGATAGGTTTTTTCATGCCCTATTACTTGTAAATTTAAGTTTTAATTTTGTCCTGTCCTTTCAATTGCCTTAACTTGTGACTTTCGATGTAAATTCTTGATTCTACGAACTGACGATGGAGCTGGACTCCGAAACATTTTCTATAAAGATATGAATTTTTGTGGACTATTCTTTGCTTTTAAATTTTTAGCAACTGATACTATTTACTTATTTGTATTAGAAGGACGAGTCAAATTTAAGCACGCGTGAGTCTTGGGTACAAGGAAACTCAGGCCTAATTCAATATGCAGCACTCATTACACTCCTGATGTTCTACATCATCGAACTCTCTGACCTAAATGTTGTCTGGTCAGATAAAAACTGGATCTTGTTCATAATAAACGGAGGAGCGTTTGGTGACATGGCAATATTTGACATTGCCTTACTACGGAACGCCTATACAGCTCCGACATTTCACGAACAATAAATTTGAAGTGAAGTTTTTCAAATCTTTCCAGTCGGTCAATTTAGAGTTTTAGACGAACGCTTATCAAAGCGGCTCTATGACAGCTACATGAATTCGTCGACAAACTGCATGCCTCATCTTCCATTTTTATACAAGATAATTACAAAAAATATATATTTTTAAATTTATCATTGATCATATTTCACAAGGTCGAATATTTTAATTTTTTACCTTGCTCCGCCACCCTTAGTCTTGTTGACCTCAGCGTCTATAACAGGAAGTTTTGATGTCCAGGAAGCTGAGCTACATATAACAGTGATACGATTAAAATTAATGATGAAATATTTATGTAAATAGAATTGAAATCAAAATGAAATGATTTGTTACGAAGTGAATTAATGATTAGGTGAGGATATGTTACGAATGAATTAATGAGTAAGTAATCTTTTTGAGCAAGTGATTAATATATACGAATCTTGATATAACAAGACTGTTACGTTCGCTAAGGAAATCGCCTAGCGATTCTGCTTTATATCAACTTGCTGATGACAATACTATTGTTCTATTCGAAACAGTATAATACGTAAACACGTAACAATTAAGGACCAAGCTTCTTTCAAGAGATAAACGATTACCCTGTGACTCATAAGGGTCCAGAGTCTGGCGGCTGATTCAGTGGCTAATCGTTGACCACTCGTCGGCCGTCCTTGGACTGGCTGGTACTTTTAACGGAGCCCGATAACTTGAAAACTTATTGCATTCGTGGGAGTTGTTATCAATTCTTAAGCCATAAGTTTGTTCAGCCTAAGGAATAACTTGAAACCGAGCAGACAAAATAATATCAAATGTTAATAACTTAGATAAGCGTAACGAGGCGGTGGGTGGTGACGGTGAAACATTTGTTATTTGTCAACGCGGTTGCATGAGGTCTAATGACTTATTAGATATGAATTGTTTCATTAAAACCTTTTTTATTTCATTTTGTCAGATTTTAATTTGTATCAGTAACAACAATTTCACTCATTCATATTTTTATTTCATTCAATGTATTAAAGCAATTTAACTGATTGCAAGCAATTAAAATACTTTATATGTGCTTAACAGCAGAGCTTTTCCTTAAATTTCACCGTGGGCCATTCTCCAATGCATCCGATTGGAATTCATGAGACAGGTTTTTTTAAAACATTCATATCTAAACTTGTTCAGCAATGATTAGCTGTAAGATTTCTTTTTATATTATATTCATTATTACTATTTATTTCATATGAATTTAGGATAATTGTCGAAATTTCACGCTGACCTGTCACTAGCACTCGTTAGTAACCTTCGCGAAGGTTCCTGTGCAAATTGAAATTAATTTTTTTAATGGAACCGTACATTGGTGTTGAAGCGGTATTTAGGAATTTCTTTTTATGTCCAGTTATAAACTTTCTCAATTCCAATTGTTCATACAATGAGAAAATATCACAATCGTTATTCCTAGATAATATTAGTGTTTTAAAATTCTTTATAATCTTGCAGGGTTGCAAAGACGATCGAATAACTGCATTATATGCTTACCGAATTGCTGAGCTGAAACAAGATGCACGCCTAGGACCACCACAATCAGAACGCTGAGTTCACGCATCTTCAAAAACAGCTCTAATATTCCAGATCTATACTCAATTTCTATGCATTCAAATTCAGATAAATTTCAGTCTTCTTTAAGTCAATGACAATAGACGCAGCTCACGGGATCATTACCTGAAGCCGCGGCACTAACGACTGAAGCCTGGAGCGCGTTTCGATCTTATACCGCGGCCCATTGAAGGCCATACGTACAGCGCAACTCCAGCTGCAGGCGCAAAGGGGCCATACTTTAAAAATTCGCTATGTGAACGTAAATACTTACGCTCTATTTTCTTGTCTATGATTGGTGGATTTGGCTTGGAAGGCCGTCAACGATTGGCTGATGAACTTACGATCTCTTAACTTTTTTTGAAAGTACGTATAGGCTCTGGTGTCGTTGTCGCAGTCCTGCGCGTATAGCGAACGTGTATCCAACATTTGAATTGAGCTCATAACTCGGTAATAAAAATCAGGACCAATTTTTACTAGTAATTTTGATTAAATTTTAGTGAAAGATAAAATCAAAGGCTTAAATTTCAATTTTGATGTTTAAATTATTCATTATTGCTTCTGTCGGATGCGGCGGTACTTTGCACAGACGCTCAATTCAGCTTCACGATATCAAAATAACGGTAAAAATTTATGTAAAATATCCTTCGACTCGAACAAAAAAAACTTGCCGCGGATATAAATTAACTCGGTGGAGCATCGCATCGCACACGCATGAAGGTTCGCCGTGCTAACAAAATTTTATTGCATTAATCATCAGTCATTTAGAATAACCAACATTAATTATAAATTATCTTTAATTTAATGAATCATTTCTGAATACTTTGCCTTAGGTGAGATAACTTACCTCAATGCCAAAATATCTATAATAATAACTCTAATGTACGTCACTCGCGGCCCAGGCAGCAGTTTCTGCTTTGTTTTTTTATGCACTTGAGTTATCGGTAGCTGGCATTGGAAAATGCCCTCAAATTTCTCCATTCATCCTTGGACGATGAAAAACTTGATTTAGTCATGTTCTCAACGCGTCAATATTTAATTGAACTGTAAAACATTCACTTTAAGACTGCAAAAATTCCATACTGAGTTTGACTGCACAAAGATTCATACAAGTAAATTTCTTCTGCAAATTCCAAGCTCTTGTAGAACGTGGAGACGTTGAGGCGCGTTGCCTTATGTAGCACAAAGCCAAGAACGACGACCTCACAAGTGCCATATGCAATGAATACCTGCACTCTCTTTTTACCTGATAAAGTTAAATTCATTGCGATGGGTTTTATTAACGATCGAATTTGAACCTTAAAAATTATTCTCTGTAATGCTGTTGTCCAGGAGACCAAATAAGACACACTCACTTTGCTCTATAGATTATTACGTTCTGCTGAGAGTTGTACAAGCTATACATGTATAAGCGGGTGTCACATTTACATTGCTATGCCTAGCACTTCAGCTAAACACTTACTCAGACGCATTGAGCCTTTGGTTGTGGCCTTTTAGGGCTTCAATTAGGACAAATCATAATTTGGTATACAATTTTTCACTGGAAACAATCAAATTCTGATTTTTATTCAGTACCTTCATGGTGTCCCTCTGTCGTGTAACATCGGCATTAAGGAAGCACCGAAGCTTCATATGAGAATATTTGACTGTCCTTTAGATACAAACAATGCTCATTGCTCCAATTTTTCATTGCCTAACTGTCCAGCCACCTCGGCTATTTTGACCAGTACTGTCGCAGGTAGCTGCATCAAAACCACAACTCACTGCTCCAATCTTGGTACCCACAACTGTAACCACTCGGCCATCATCTTACCACGCCGAAGAGTGAGTGATAATTTTCGTGTCCATGAGCTTCCACTCAAAATATTTATCACAGTGTTGAGCCGAGTAGAGTAAAGAACAACTCTTTTCTGGGTATTGGTGTCTTAGAAATTATAACAGAACATTCATGTACCCTTTCTGGGAGTATAATATGCTAGCGAATGACTGTCAACTTGCAGGTCGGACAGGTTCTGATATCCTATTATGCACGCATTTTTTGCACGCAATGTTTGGAAACATTTTCTTCCAAAGCCCTCGAAAATGTGGACGTCTCTTTGATTGGTGGAGGACAGTTTATGGTCCATCGCAGAGCCATGGCAGCTCATCTTGGAAAACCTTCTGGACGCACAATTTCACATGCTCTGACCCGAACGTGTGGCGAATATTTTTTACCGATATGACATCCGCTCGGAACTAAGATGTTAAAAAATTTACCCTAGATATTGGTTGCATTATAAATAATTAAAGTAGAATTGAATTACCCAAAATAAAATTTAAATCGGTAACATTTTTATCTGTACCCAAACGATGGTGTACTTGTGTGCATGAATCACGGTTCGTACGTCCACTATCAACTTTACTCCCTGACAAAAACTGATCTCATGTTAATAAAAGATGTGACAGGCACGACAGCGAAGCAACACGACACTTGCCGAAGCTACACACTGCTCCACTGTACACTGTACAGCTCTGCATCACAAAACAGCAGTAGTACATCTCCATTTTGAAATGCCGTGCACTCATTTCAATTGAGAGAACATTTTCAGAAATTGTAAGCTAAGACTCTTCAGGAAGTCCGTGCACCAATTGAAGTGGTGCATCACTGCAGTGCAGTGCAGTGCAGTGCAGTGCAGTGCAGTGCAGTGCAGTGCAGTGCAGTGCAGTGCAGTTTACCAGAATGAAAAGCTCATCAGTAGAGAAGATTCCTAGACAATAATGCAGCGCATTGCCGTTATGCCGTGCGTACTGCATGAGTAACAGTGACGCACAATGAAGCAGTTTGTGCCTTAATGAGGAAGTGAACTGGTGAGAAGAAGTACTCCTATAAAGTGAAGCATCTCACCACAGTGAAGTAGTGCACCTCAAAGACGCTACTCCCCACAGTGAAGCAGTACTGATTAAGTGAAGCAGTACTTAAGTGAAGCAGTACTATTAAGCGAAGCAGTACTGTTAAGTGAAGCAGTGCTGTTAAGTGAAGCAGTACTGTTAAGCGAAGCAGTACTTAAGTGAAGCAGTACTGTTAAGCGAAGCAGTACTTAAGTGAAGCAGTACTGTTATGTGAAGCAGTACTGTTAAGTGAAGCAGTACTGTTAAGTGAAGCAGTGCTGTTAAGTGAAGCAGTACTGTTAAGTGAAGCAGTGCTGTTAAGTGAAGCAGTACTGTTAAGTGAAGCAGTACTGTTAAGTGAAGCCTTGCAACTGAGAAATGCATTGCATCATAGAGAAGCAGTACTCCTATGATAAGCATTAAGCCACAGTGAAGAAGTGCACCGTAATGAAGCAAATCACTTCAATTCAGCCTTGCATCACAGTGAATCTGTGCATCCCAGTGAAGCAGTGCACCTCAATAAAGCAATACACCGCCATGAATCACTGCCCTACAGTGAAGCAAAGCAACGTAGTGAAGGCCACCATTTACATTAAATAACTTATATTTAAGCTATATATTGCGTAATTCACCACTCAGTGGTGAACAATGCAGTTTTCCACCAGACGATGAACCACCGCGCAGTTTGGGAGTCTAGACGATGAACCACCGCGCAGTTTGGGAGTCTAGACGATGAACCACCGCGCAGCTTGGAAGTCTAGACGATGAACCACCGCGCAGCTTGGAAGTCTAGACGATGAACCACTGCGCAGCTTGGAAGTCTAGACGATGAACCACCGCTCAGTTTGGGAGTCTAGACGATGAACCATCGCGCAATTTGGGAGTCTAGACGATGAACCATCGCGCAGCTTGGAAGTCTAGACGATGAACCACCGCGCAATTTGGGAGTGTAGACGATGAACCACCGCGCAGCTTGGAAATCTAGACGATGAACCATCGCGCAGCTTGGAAATCTAGACGATGAACCACCACGCAGCTTGGAAGTCTAGACGATGAACCACCGCACAGCTTGGAAATCTAGACGATGAACCACTGCGCAGTTTGGAAGTCTAGACGATGAACCACCGCGCAGTTAGAGAGTCTAGACGGTGTTTCCGGCACGCACCTGCAGGGTTCTTTGTCTGTGTTTGTCCTGAGTATTGGAGTTTTCGATGGTGGACAACACCTCATTGGGTAGCGAAGAGATAAGCGCCTGCAGCAAATTCGTGACGAAACCGCTGAGCTGACGCGAGATTTCTGGACGCACTTCGTCAAGGACGACCTGACTGTTGCTGTTCAGGAAGTGGTGGAGAGTCTCACCTGTGCAAAACATTCATAGCAATTAAATATATCACTTGTCCTGTAGAAAATATTGAGTCATGAAAAAGAAACCCTCTTTTCATTTTCTGCAAAAACTCAACGTTAAGTCAAGGGTAGGTCGAGTGATCACTTCAGATTAAAAAATAAAATAAATGAATAACCTGGAGCGCAGAGATCATTTTAAAAACGTTGCTTTACGTTTTGGATTTATATGTTCTATCGATATTTATATATTTCTATCTCTCTGAATTTGACATACAACAAGGCACAGTATGGAAAGCAGAGACATGGAGAGAGTATACGTACTGAGAACTTGGTTGCCGTTGAAGAGATTCATGAGTTTGCTCTTCATTTTCATGATGTCAAAGTTGAGCTTCATGTTGGAAAGTCTTGTTGAGCCATCGGCAGCCACTGAAATTTCACCGACGCTCTGAGCAACGATGCCATCTGCAAATTTTGAGAGAACCTTTTACGTGTTAACTAAAAAACTGATATAAGGTCAATATAAATCCAGACTGGAAAAGGACTATTTGTTTGAATTGCGCAAAGAGAGAACTTTTAATTTGAAAATGCCGATTCAAGGTGGAAACTAAATTTTCAAATTCAAACTTAATTTTAATTTGAACGGTAGCATCGAGTGTGGGCTAGAAAAATTTATCTTCGAGCGTTTTTCGAAAGCCATTTCATACGAATTGATACAATGAAAGTAAGTTTTGAGAACTATAAACTACTTGTTCAGGTCACAGTAATTGACAGATACAGGTAACTGTGTTATGCTCATCAGAACCTTTTAGCTGCTTACAGAAGCAACTGAGATGGTTTAATAAATATATTGCTAAGTCGTTAACTAACCAAATGTTTAATAAATATATTGATAAGTTATTAACTAACCAAGTGTTTAATAAATATATTGCTAAGTCGTTAACTAACCAAGTGTTTAATAAATATATTGCTAAGTTGTCAACTAACCAAGCATAACAACGAAGTCGCCGTTGCCCTCGACTGGGAGTTGGAAGACGTTGCCAGTGAGGTTGTACTGACCAGTCATGATCATCATGGGGAAAGTCATGCCGAGGAACATCTTTTTTTCCTCAGCAAACCAACTGCACAGAAATCCAAACATCTCTCGTAAAACAACCACTGGAAATGCAAATATAGTGAGAAACTCGAGTATGTTATTCGTGACTTGCTTCTGGTTATGTCCAGACCATTTCGAAAATGTATTCTACTCTGCGTGCTGCCCATTCTGTCTTTCAATAAATTTCACAAGTTGCCCTTATTTCGCTAATATAGAAAGTATATCTCAGCCTACTTAAAAATTCAAGCTTACAATTAGTGTTACTTCTTTTGTATAAATACAGCGCACGAGCACTGTGTGCTTTAGCACTCTTCTTCATATCGAATTCTACCAAAATGACGGACATAAACAACAGCATAACACCAGCGCTCTCTAGCAGTCCTCCTTTGAGTAGGGCGAATCTATTCACTCTTGCTAAAATTATTATTATTCTTATGCTGCAATATGACACCTACCCCACAATTAAATATGATGCCTCCCTGTATGTATGAAAAATATGATGCCTGTATCTTGCAAATGAAGCACTCACTCGAAGTATTTCAGGTCGAACATGGAGGCGCCGGTAACCATGACTTTGCGGTAGCGCGCCTCGATATTCACAGGACCTTCAGCCTGCCGGAAGAGGATGTCATCCAGGAGCAGGGGCTCCATGGGGGGGATGTTCAGGGAAGGGATGCCTGGAAATTTTCATCTTATAATCTTATCAATATGCGATGATCGAATATAAAGTGTGTTCTTAAACTTTTTTCGGCGATGAAGTGCAACGTATATTAGTTGTATTCAGCACGAAAGAAGTTAACCACAGTAAAATAACAACGAATCTGTAGTAAACTTATTTGTATTAGAAATTTTTCTTGGCACAGGATAATTTTCACAGGATAATTGAATGAATATCATAGACTTGAGCTAAGGCAAAGAAGCACTTTAATAATAATGTGGAACCGACGCCCTCAGCAGGCGTCCCTTAAATTTATTTGCATGGCAGGAGTATTCTATATCTGTATAATATGTAACATTAACTGTAACAAGTTTACTTGCACTCTTTAGATGCACTCAACTCACCGTCACCCAGCTGAGGCTGGATGCACTCAACTCACCGTCACCCAACTGAGGCTGGATGCTCTCAACTCACCGTTACCCAGCTGAGGCTGGATGCTCTCAACTCACCGTCACCCAGCTGAGGCTGGATGCTCTCAACTCACCGTCACCCAGCTGAGGCTGGATGCTCTCAACTCACCGTCACCCAACTGAGGCTGGATGCTCTCAACTCACCGTCACCCAGCTGAGGCTGGATGCTCTCAACTCACCATCACCCAGCTGAGGCTGGATGCTCTCAACTCACCGTCACCCAACTGAGGCTGGATGCGCTTGATGGCGCTCACGAGGCACTCGTTGAGGCGTGACAGGTGTTTGTCTCTGCAGTTCCTCACCAGCAACCGTCACCCAGCTGAGGCTGGATGCTCTCAACTCACCGTCACCCAGCTGAGGCTGGATGCTCTCAACTCACCGTCACCCAGCTGAGGCTGGATGCGCTTTATGGCGCTCACGAGGCACTCGTTGAGGCGTGACAGGTGTTTGTCTCTGCAGTTCCTCACCAGCAGGGCTGCAATATGAGCACAAGACATTACTTTAATGTATAAACGTATACTGTGTCACGGTAAAGTGCTAAATATTTATTACATATCTTTAAATATGTTTATTACATGACATCATACTGCTAAATGTTTATTATATCGCTTTAAAGCTAAACGTTTATATTACATAACGTTCACGAGCTAAACATTCATTTATTATACTCTCGCGCAAAACGTCAATTCCGTCATTTAAACATGTTAAACAATTATTTATGTTTACAACGGTCTTTTATAGAATAGCTATGCATTTTACTAAATTTTATCCATACGATAAAACTGATATGTTCATTGCATTTATTCAAATAATTGCACGTTTTTATTTGATACTCTTATTTACGCAATATAAATTAGCTTCAATGTTCATAATGTTTATTCACATAATAAATTATATTCTTTGATGCCTCACATAACTTTTTATTGTTTTTCTTTGGAAATTTCTATAAAAAATGAATGAAATATAGAGAAATTGAAGACAATGTATACTTGGCTGTTAGATCCATTTGATTGAAAAGAAAAACATTTTCATTATTTTTCCCTCTAAATGATCTAGAGTTTTCTTACGCATAACAGATCCTGGAAAAAATATTAGAATACTTATAAAGTTTTCCGTGAGAGTTCCATGTTAATTTTCTTCGGTTTTCCCATGACAATTGTCGGCTTTTTCCTAATTTAACCGTTTGAGTGAAGAGAAAAAGCATTTCCGAGCTTTTCTAATTTAGTTGCAGCCGACATTTTTACTTTGCTGGGTTGAACGTTAAAGTCAATTTAAGTTGGAAAATATATTTGCTTTCGTTATTTCAGTTCAGGATCGATTTGAATCAAATCGGTTGATAATAAAGTTAGCAAATAATATTAACGGGCTCACCGAATTCCTGCGCAGAAGCCGCTTGCAGGAAAACGAACACGACGGCGACAAGGCTAATTTTCAGCATCATCTTGGATGATTTCTAAAGCTTTTCGTTGTAGGAAGAGTCTCGAAAAAATTGGAGCAAGTCCAATCTTGCTGTGAAAATCCTTCTATTTTCGTACGTTATGCTAACTTGTATTGAGTTTGGTGTGTGACGCGTCGGCTACCACAGCAACAGGGAACAGAGCAACAGAGAGCTTGTCATACGGCGGCTCTCCAAGTACAACTCCTGCCTGCCGGACTTCGCATGGTCAGTTTATAGCGTCCAGTGAAGGTCAATGCTTGCGTTCAATACGGAGAGTAACAACACGGAATCTCTCGACCAAAAAACAACTCCAAAAACCCGGGCATGATTCTCGACACAAAGCCTCGTGCGCGACAAGAGGTTCAACAGTTCGCAAACTTCCATGTAGGAACTCTCGAGCTCCAGGAACTGATTGCAGTGCTGCCAAAAAAGGACTTCTCATACACACGGCGCTCATTGTTCTATAGCGTGGTGATCTAATTTGATTCTGACGATTTTGGGTGAAATCTCGGTGCCATGTGACGTGCGGAAGTGATGCAATTACTGATGTTATGAGAAAAAAAGTAGCAGTTCAAATCTTTAGTTGTTGCTGTTGGGTAACGACTTCTGGGTGTAATTGGAGGAGTGTTACCAGGAAGTGTATGACTTGCTTCACAGTGCATTTAGAATCTGCTTTTATTTCCTGCATCACAGACAGAAAAAATTCGGTTTCAAAATCACTATTATTAAATACTGTTAATTGCTACAGGCAATCTTGCATTTCAATTATTACTATTAATATCGATTAAATATAATTTTCAAAATATTACACAATATTGAAGAAAAATTTTTTAGATTAAAAGAGTTAACATATGTAAGTTATAATAATGCTCACACAACATACAAGACAATACAAAACGCATAAATTATCACCTCTCTCAATATTAGTATAAATGAAGTGGTATTTCGTTTCTCGAGACGAGAAATGCATGACTTAGGCTATCATGATCTATTTATAATTCTACTTACTAACTCGTAGTTCACGAGGGATAATGTACTTCTGTAATGTTGCAGTAGACCAGAGAGCGGTCCTCGACCTCGGCAACCCAGAAATGCTGGACGCGAATTACCCTGCAAGGAGTTGGGGGTCCAGCTGAACTGTTCCGCTTACGGTGCCCAGTAGCGACCAGCCTCATTACGGGCAACTCAACCTTGAGGTGAGAGCGACAACAAACACTTCTGCTGGAGGTAGGTGCAGGAGACTGATGTAGGTGTAGAGACTGATGTAGGTGCAGTGCATGTGTAGGAGGCTGTTGTAGGCGCAGTGCTTGTGTAGGAGGTTGTTGTAGGTGCAGTGCATGTGTAGGAGGCTGATGTAGGTGCAGTGCTTGTGTAGGAGGCTTTTGTAGGTGCAGTGCTTGTGTAGGCGGCTGTTAAAGGTGCAGTGCTTGTGTAGGAAGCTGTTGTAGGTGCTGTGCTTGTGTAGGAAGCTGTTGTAGGTGCGGTGCTTGTGTAGGAGGCTGTTGGGGGTGCGGTACTTGTGTATGAAGCTGTTGGGGGTATAGGAGGAAGCCTGTTGAGGTGGATCCACAACTTCCTTACAGATAGCGTAAAAGCAGTCGCAATTGGAAACTCGGAATCGAGAGAAGCGAGGGTGAAAATCGGAGTTCCACAGGGCTCAGTGCTTGGACCGATCTTTTTTCTCATCCACATTGCTGATATCGACTCAGAACTTACCCATGCATCTACATCGTCATTTGCGGACGATACAAGAGTGCTGATGAAGATCCCAGATGACCTAGTCTGCCAGAGGTTATAGGATGACTTATCGAAAATCTACGATTGGGCCCTATAGTGAACAATATGCAGTTCAACGGCACCAACTTCGAAGTAATGAGATACAGAGTCCTCACAGAGATCGGGATGCCACATCGCTACTTGGCATCTGGAGATGGCACAGAAATTGAGAAGAAGCAACTAGTTCGAGATCTCGGAGTGTTGATGAGTACTGAAGCCACGTTCGATGCCCATATCGAGGAAATAGTCGCGTGAAGCCGGCAACGGATGGGGGAGATATGGCGGACATTTCGAACGGGAGAAGCAACACCAATGATTACACTCTTCAGAGCCCTCGTGCTCCCCAATCTTTAGTAGGTATTGCTGCCAACTTTGGGCACCACTCAAGGCGGGTGCGGTGCAGAAACGCGTGGAGGCAGTGCAGAGGACTTTCACGTACAGGATCAGCGGCATGAGGGAGTTGGACTTGAACTACTGGGGAAGGCTGAAACACCTGGGACTGTACTCGCTGGAGAGGAGAAGAGAAATGTATATCATACTACACACTTGGAAGATGATAACCGGACTGGCTCCCAACTTTGAGAGTGAGACCTCCAGAATAGTGACACGTTACAATGAAAGGAGAGGGAGACGGTGCGAGGTTCCCCCATTTAATAACCGAGCCACGGCCAGAGTACAGACTCTTCCTGAAGGATCGCTGTCCGAAGTAGGACCGAGGCTCTTCAATGCCTTGCCAAAAGTGCTGAGAGGAGGGGAGTTCCCCCTTGCAACATTCAATAGATGACTGGACAGTTGGTTGAGAAAGATCCCGGATTGTCCAGTAATGGGAAACTACCCTCAGCAAGTGACAAGCAACAGCATCTTGCATCAACTGGCCAAAAGGAGGGCAAATAGACGGAACACGTCCAACGTTGCATCCGGGATGACCTGCCTTGCGACGACTCGGAGACGGAGGACGACGAAGGCGGCGCATCAGCGTGACCAGGGACTAGGAAGTCCCGAACTTATTATAAGGTCATAAGAAGACTGTTGTAGGTGCAGTGCTTATTAGCCTGCAGGTCACTGAAGAGAATACGGAAAATAAAAAAAAACAATAAGCAACCTCTACAACTGCCGGGCGGTAAATAGCAGCGGATGTTAAAATTAATCAAGTGAAGAAGTGATAATAAAGAAGAAACGTGGTGAGACTCATTGTGCTGAGACTCATTGGGATGAGACTCATTGTGATGAGACTCATTGTCATGAGACTCATTGTGATGAGACTCATTGTGATGAGACTCATTGTAAGATGGCACAGATATTGAGGAGAAGCAACTAATTCGAGATCTCAGAGTGTTGATGAGTACTGAAGCCACGTTCGATGCCCATATCGCCATATCGAGGAAATGGTCGCGCGCAGCCGTAAAAGGTATTGGGTGGATATGGCGGACATTTCGAACGAGAGAAGCAGCACCAATGATTACACTCTTCAGAGCTCTCGTGCTCCCCAATCTTGAGTATTGCTGCCAACTTTGGGCACCACTCAAGGCGGGTGCGGTGCAGAAACGCATGGAGGCAGTGCAGCGTACTTTCACGTACAGGATCAGCAGCATGAGGGAGATGGACCTGAACTACTGGGAAAGGCTGAAACACCTCGGCTGTACTCACTGGAGAGGAGAAGAGAAAGGTATATCATACTGTACACTTGGAAGATGCTAACCGGACTGCCTCCCAACTTTGAGAGTGAAACCTCCGGAATAGTGACACATTACAACGGAAGGAGGAGGAGACTGTGCAGGATTCCCCCATTTAATAACCAAGCCGCGACCAGCGTACAGACTCTTAGTGAGGGATCACTGTCCGTGGTAGGACCGAGGCTCTTCAATGCCTTGCCAAAAGTGCTGAGAGGAGGGGAGTTCACCCTTGCAACATTCAAGACCCGACTGGACAATTGGTTGAGAAAGATCCCGGATTGTCTGGTAATGGGAAACCACCCTCAGCAAGTGACAAGCAACAACATCTTGCATCAGCTGGCCCAAAGGAGGGCATATAGACGGAACACGTCCAATGTTGCATCCGGGACCCTAGGGCGGGGTGATCTGCCTAGCGACGACTCGGAGACGGAGGACGACGAAGGCGGCGCATCAGCGTGACCGGGGACTATATAGGAAGTCCCAAACTCATCATAAGATCATAAGAAGACTGTTGTAGGTGCAGTGCTTAATGGCCTGCAGGTCACTGTAGGGAACACGAAAAATAAACAAACGAATAAGCAAACACTGGAACTAACGAGCGGCAAATAGCAGCGGATGTTTTAAATCAAGTGAAGAAGTGATAATAAAGAAACGTGATGAGGCTCATTGTTTGAGACTCATTGAAATGAGACTCAACATAGTAACATACATAACACAACTTAGTGTGAGGTGAATTACTATAATTAATCACTTCAAATGCAAACTAGAAAAAAATAACGATTTACATATGCTCTTTAACCCGCATCAATTGCAGGTCAATATGGTGTGGAATTTTGACAAACACATTATTATATCAAGATGAGGACGTACATTGACTTTTATTTCTTCCCATTATTCATGAATATACACAACAGTATTCTGATTATGGTCCTATGAATATACATACTTGTTATCGTATTTTCTTCCACTCTCTCACTCACCTACCCCAAATTGCAAAGCTAGCAACTGATACAAATGCTTCATCTCAAATTTTAGCGCATAGGATACATGCCAACAGAAGGATTCAGGAATCACGTGTCGCAAGTCATCCTACGGTCACTCGATCAGGATGGCGTGTCGCGCTAAGTCATTTCCTGTGCGGCACAACGGGGCATCCAAAAATCAACACTCAAGTTTACTGAAGTCGATTCTCTGAGCATCGAGTTCAGAATATTTTTTGTTGTTGGTAAAAAGCTAAATACATGTTTTCTTAATCTTTTTATCAATTTAAAAAAATACATTTGATTTCATAAAAGCGGGTTGCTATTGACATGACTGTACTATTGTATTGGCTATGGTTTTATTTTTATTTATTGTATTGGCTATGGTTTTATTTTTTTATTTTTTGTTTATTATTACTATTATGGCTCAAGTTAGAGGCACCGTTAAAAAGCTCAAGTTAAAATCAACATATATCTCGAGTTTGGTGAAGATACAAGATCATTATAGTGGCAGTTATCAGTTAAGTGCCTAGTTTAGAAAGGACGGAACCCTCATACCTGAAAATATTGCAGTTACCGCGCTGGTGTAAAATTAACAAATTTCAGATCCGTCGGTCAGATTAGATAGACACTAATTTTTCATCGCAATCTCATCTCTTCGTTTCGTGTTATTCAATTTTCAATTCATTTTGTGATTATTGTCCGTTGCGAAAAAATTCTCTAAATAAATCATTCATCAGTTCAACGTGCACATAAAAGAACAAATT